CTCCCTTACTCAGCGTTACTCATCGCTCAGTCAGCGTCCTCTGGACGTCACATGCTCTCTTCTTATACGCTTACTCATCGTCCTCCCCAGTAGTATATAAGGAGGACTCTGCAGGCCTCTGCTCTTCAGTCGTTCTCTCACAGACTGAAGAGTAAGTCCCACACTACCTATGCTTCCTTACATGTTTACTTACTAGTACTTGTAGCCTCTCTTTGTGCGGCTTACAGGTACAGTACTATGCAATCATAGTCGTTCTCTCACAGACTGAAGACCTCTCTTTGTGCGGCTTACAGCCTTCCAGGTTCAGAGTTCATCAGTAAGTGATTCCGTCGAGCCCGGAATCCACTTGGGTGAACGTAATCTCCATGTCCGTGTCAAGCGGGTTGGCGATCTGCGAAGCAATGGCAGTTAGTAACCCTTGAAAACGCCTAGAACGGCATCAAAGACGTACATCGAAGTCAATCGTGATGAAATTGTCGAAGAGGGTATCCAGAGTGATGAAAGCGTTGATATGCGCCACGATCGGCGGAACGCTCAGTCCTGCGCGGGATTAGACTGGCTTCTAATATGCGTAAAACATTGTGACGTACCCTTCAAACTGGTCGTCAGTTCCACACCCTCGAGCCCAGGTTGCAGCGATGCGAAGGGAGAGCTGTCCGAGTCGCCCTGGATAGTCAGAGAGATGCTGTCATCGGTCTGCAGGAACTCCGTCAGGAATGATTGCGCGACGGTGTCGTTTGCGTCCGCCGGAGCGTAGTGGAACTCCGTCGCGATCGTGTTCTCGCCGGGGACAAGATCAAGGGTGTCGATCGCAGCGCGGCCGAGTGTGACGCCTTTGAACGTGACTGGGAAGGACACGTCGACGCTCTGTAGCGAGATGTTTGAAGGGTTTTCCAGCGTAGTAGTGAGCGGCGCCTTGACGAAAGCGCCGCGGCTGTCACTACCGCTTCCGGTGATAGACACGTTGGCGAGAGACGCCCTTTTGTCGAAGGCGTTGATACCTGACGAATATGGTGCATTAATTGAAGTACATTATGAAGCGCGTGGAGAACAGCGTAGCGTACCTTTCAAACTCGTGGAGACGTTGAAAGGAATGCCCGAGATTGGGACATCACCAATGGTCGTACGGGCGACGACATCCGCAGTTCCCTTGAGCTCGAAGTCCGCTCCGGAAGTGTCGGTGACCGCGGCAAAGAATTGGCTGAATGCGCCGTCGTTCTTCGACTGGAGGGTCTGGTTTTGGAATGTGATGATGAGCGGAGCGACATTGCCCGTTGAGACGCCCCCCTCCTGGGCGGATTGCGGTAATTTGAGCTGTCGGATCGTATTTAGCGCAAGCAGATCGATATGTAAACCACTCTCTTTTACCTCGGCGACATCCGTGCCCCCGGTTGCCAACGTGATATCCTCGGCTCCTTCAATGACTTGCAAAGAAAACCCGAAGGGGTTTTTATACTGGGCAAGGACATGCTGAGAGCTTGCACCAGGGGCAAACGCCTGGTCTTGCTCAGTCATGACGAGCTCAAGGTCGGACATCTCGATCGATTGAATGATCTACAAACCGTCAGGGTTAAGGCGGTAGCCCAATTATACTCCAAGAGGCTTACCTCGAACGTCTCGCCCGGCAGTGTCACGTTCAGGGTGACGGTCTTGAATGCCGTGCTCAGCCACTGCACTGGACCGTCTGAGCCGGTAGGCTGCACGGATTCACCTTGAACGCTGAGTGATTGGTTCTTTCCGGCAAGAAAGTCCGAGAACAGCTGTCCCATGGTGTTCAAGTCGTCGCCGCTCTGTGGGACCATACGACCCGAAAGATGGAGGGTCGTGTCGGCCATAGGTGCGAGGAAGAGATTGCTTCCAGAAAGCGCTACTCGAAGGCTTAGAGAATGAACTCGCGCAACACGGCTATCAAACTCACGTCCGATGGTGGTACCCTGGAAGGATGCCTCGAAGTTCACTGTTCCCAAATCGATACCGAGTTCTGCAAATTGCAGTGAATATCTGATCATGCAGCACATCTTGAAACGACTCACGAGACTGAGAAGGAATCACGGATTCGGTCTCGATATGGATTCCTCCAGCGGGGTCGTCAGATGGTAGCTTGAAATTACTGATAGCGACACCGGGGAGGTTGTTGAAGGCCTTGAACGATATTGACTTGCTGAGCGATACATTATCAAAGATTGTTCCCAGTGCCGTGACGCGGAGCTTGTCAGTATGGATGGTCCACTCGAAGCTCGGGTTATGCAGCAAGAAGGTAGCGAAATCCGTGAACCTTCGGAAGGTCAGTCACTGACGCCGGAAAGCAGGGACTGCCACTCACTTGTCCGAATCAGTGATCGTTAGACGAGCATTTGTCTCGTAATTAGGAACTCCAGCATTTGCACCCGCGCATACTAGAAGGCGTGTAAGCATACACCGTGGCGAAGCTTGATATACACTCACCAGGAGGAAGGGCGATTGACGCGATGTCATTGCCATTCCATGTCACTCTGCGGGATAATCTCAGCATACCAGGTAGAGAACATACCGTGATGTCATGTACATACGTGACGGGGTCCACAAAAGTGATCTCGGCGTCCAACGGACCTGTGCCCGTTAATGCCCCCTTCAAAGACAGGTCGAAGCCACCATCCGAAAGGTTCCTGCGGGATGTCAATTCTCGTCCACGCTAACAATTGTGTCGGAAACGTACGTGATGTTAGCGGCATCAAACGTCAGATTTGCCTGGTCCACAAGGCTCTGAACGATCGGTGGTGCCACTACACCAATGAGGTATAACGCAGTCCGATCGGTCTATAGATACAGCAGCGTCAAAAATGCGTTGACAGCGAACGGCAGTGACGCTTACGATTGCGGTGACGTTGGACTGTTTGAACGCAAGGTTCGTGGCAACTGCACGCACCGTTAGCGTAAAGCCTTGCTGGTGATACAATCGAACGTACAATCGTCAATCTTGACCGAGCTATCGATGTCGAGCGCAACCTGCAGGTTCTTGAGGGCGTTCAGAATGGCGTCGTCAACATCGAACTGGTTGCCACTACATGCAACTTGTTAATAGAGGTACAGTCATGGAATTGACACTTGAACGCACCTATCGCAGGTGGCCTTGTTCGTGTCGACGGTAGCAACGATCTGGATATAATGTAAGCACATATTGTCGTACTGCAAAAGGTATGCCTACGGGGGTATTCGCCCCCGGATTGCTCGTAACGATCTTGAACAAGTCCGGCAAGGGGCCGAGGTCGACGTTGTTGTTCTTCGCGCCCTGGAGCAACAGTTGAATGATCGTTACCGGGTCCATATTGAACTCAAACGGGAGCTGAGGAGACTCGATCTTGTTGTGGCCATCCGCATGAATCGGCGAATTGGACCGGTCGACGTGATCGATCTTGCCGAGGGTAAGCGAGCCGAAAGTCGCAGTCGCAGTGACCTCGAGCAAATTAATGCTCGCGGTGAAGGGATTGTCCAACGAGAAAGACGTCTGCGCGATGCCGGTCTTCACGATATCCGTGGGGAAGATGAGCGAAGCCGTGGTGATGAGGTTCTGGTGCAGCGCAGGTATGTTCACAGGTGAGAGGCGAATGTTCGACATAGCGAGCTGCAACGACTCTATCGGGGTAGAATCGGTCGATCCTTGAATTGTCGTCGCCGAAACCACGCCTTGCAGGTAGTTCTCGAGCATTTTCTGACCCGACGCGACGGCGCTACCCTGAGGCTTGTACAGCACATCTGCAAGCATGATCAGTATATATCTTTACAACTAGAAGCAAGGCACACGTACCGATGGCGTAGCTTGCGTTTCCAGGAATGATGACCAGGTTGCTCTGAAAGTCGGCGGATAGGTCACGCATATTCCGCACTAACAGCTTCGCTATTCACGTACCAGATCTGCTTCACCGACCACATCGTTCCTACATCGACATCAGGATATGGCGTACGGAGAGAGTATGATCCACTCACTGGAACAACAAAGAGAATGCGATGCCTCCGGAGCCTTTTCAACGTCACAGTTAGCAACGCGATGTGGTAAGTATATAGGACAAACTTGCCAAGAGTGATATTACTGCAGTGCCGAGCTCGTCAGCGTTACTGCGTACTGACCAGGGGACGGACACTTACCTAGGGTTGAACAACGAGCTGTTCGCCTTAATCAGGAGGTGATCCGCAAAGCCACGGTTCACGTCGAGGGTCGAGACTAGCGCAGGTCGGGTATTCAGGCCCTGCAAACCCGCAATTGACGTCGTGACGGAGAATGCGATGTCCGACAGGCTAAGCAGCCCAACCGCTGTATCGGCATCGGTGTTCGCTACGCCCGCCAGCTGCATCTGTGCCGCCTTCGATGTTGCCGTGGTGGAGAGGAACTGTTCGAAAGTATCGTCCTGCCCATCGAGTACGGCAAACGGTACATTCGAAAAGTTGAGGTGGATGATTCGCTGTTCGACCTCGGTCGTACTCGGTCCCTTGGGGATAATGAGCTGAGCGAAGTCGTTGCCGCCGGTACCGACTGTGATATTCTGCTCGAGTGCGACGATGTTAATCGGGAAGTCGAACGGAAGCGTGAAGGCCGCAGTGGTATCGTCGCTACTCGTAGCAGGGCCGAAGGCTGTATCTTCGCTGAAGCGAAGATCCAGTTCGTTCAGGCTGATGCTCTTGATGATTTCGAGCTGGCCGCGGTTCGGCAGGACTGTCTGTACCTCGAGACTCTTGATGCCCTCGTTGAGCCATGTCACCTGTCAAGCGCGCGGTGAGCTTCGTGACTTCTAAATGTAAACGAAAAACGTACGTCGGTGGGACCAGCGCTGTCGCCGCGCACAGTAACGTTGCTGTCCTGAGCGTGGATGAAGCGGTTGAAGATTGTGGAGACGGCATCTAACCCCGCCTGATCGCTCTGCGGGATGAGACGTCCAGTGAGCGGCAGAGCTACTGTCGACTGTGGTGCGAGCGTGAAGCCCTTCATTGAGGCAACTGGCCCGATGTTAATATCCCCGAAGAAGTTCTGGAACGCGATAGACGAGAGCTCGACGCCGACTTGAGATGGCTAGATCGCAGAACATATCAGCTGCGAGTCAGTGCAGTCTCGAGGGCACTTACGTTGGTCACGTTGGTCTGGAGGGTGAGGTGAATTCCACCAGCTGGGTCGTTGTTGGGCAGGTCGAACGTCTCGATGAGGACACCGTTCTTGAGGTTGTTCATACCCTTGAGCGTCACGCCCTTGTTGGAAAGCTCGATACCCGGAACCGATATGCCTGGACATGTATTAGTACAACTTCAGCTACCTGGAAGCTATGACGAACCAATGGCGGCAACTAGGGAAAAGAGTCAGCACATTCGAATCATCAGGCAAAGTAAAACGCACCAGATAAGTTACTTCCGGAGATAATCCAGTCGAACGATTCCTCGGTCAGCATCACTTTCGTGAAGTTCGTGAGGTGGTCCACGTCCGCAACTTCGAAGTTGGCATCAATCTCAAACGTGGCTCCCACATCGGACGCAATGTCAATGTCGGGCATATTGATACTGCCAATTGGAGCGCCGTTCCACTCGATAGTAAGCCCGGCCGGGAAAGAGATCTTGGCGTCGACTATTCCCAAGTCAGAATCAGCTATTGTATAAGAAGAGACAAACGTACAAGGTCCGGCTTGGGTTATCGAACCCTTCAACGAGGTGCCTATGTAACGCTTTAGCAAATATCCACACGTTCTTGCACTATGAGGGGCGCACCGAAAGACTTCTCCTGGATGTTCTTGATGATGACCGTTTCGATACCCAAGACCGAGCCTGATACGATCTTCTGAACAATAGGCTGTGCCAACACCGGTAGGATGTTGTTGAGACTCTTGTCCGTCTTCGTCTCGACGTCAGTCTGCGTGTACTGCAGTGTCGTCGGGTACTCGCCTGAGGTGTTCTTCAGCAAAATTGACCGCTTCAGGAGATGAAACACGACATACCGATCATGACACCCGCGCTGAGCACCACATTTGAGTGCAACTTCGTGAACGCCTGGTCGACATAAGTCGGGAGATCGAAGCCCCTGGAAGGTGAATGTCAGGGTCGTCAAGTAAGGAAATCTACCACGCGAGGACTAACTTGAACAAGGTAGCATTGTCCACCCTCCTATCGAGCTGCGTTCCCCTCTTGCTCGCGCTACCATCGACGTTCAAGTATTGGTATCCGCCCAGTGCGACGATCATGTCCAGTTGCTCCGTGCCAAGACCCGCCTCCTGTGCGAGGAGGCGCGTAACCGTGAACAGCGATGGCGGATCCATGTTCAAGTCCAAATCAAGGATAGGCGAGGAGCTCGTCGCCTTGCCCGGCGACGAAAAGTTCGTCGGCGTCTGAATCGTCCCGAGGTGGATAGTACGGAAGGACACGTTGGACGCAACATGCGTGATCAGAAGTCCAGCAGTGAACGGGTTCGCTAAGGAGACCGTTGCGTGCGCCGTGTTGTTCTCTCTGCCGGTGGTGGAGAGCACTGCGTGTTCGTTAGATACAAGTCAACATGAAAGTCCGAAAAAGAAACGCACCCTCGAGGGACGCAGAGTTGAGGAGCTTCGTCTGGAGGGCAGGCAGCACAGCGCTGATGTTCAACTCCTTGAAAGCTTGCAGGAGTGACGTGATGACCGTGCTGTTATCGTAACCTGCAATTGCGACCCGAACATCTATTCAAGAAGAACCCGATCAGTGCCCTTCTACATGCGATCGCAAGCAGGTAAACGAACCTGTGCCGCCTACGAAGTCGTCGAGGGTCTGCATGCCTTGTGGGCTCAGATTAGGCGTGAAGCTACCTTGTGCCGTGACCGAATTGTTGCCCATCTCGAGTGTAAGGTTCGGCATGAGCGTCGTGCCCATCAGCGCATCTTCCCTGAATAGCTGCAAGACTGTCCAAGAAATGAACTGAGACGCGCCACGCGCCCCACATCAGTGGATGGCTTACCCAGGTCTCCCGTAGAGAGTTTCAGGTTGGAGGGGTTGACAATGCTCACTAGCACATTCTGAGGTCAGCTCCGCGTGCACACTTGAACATTCCACTCGAGATACGCACCGTTGATCCCGAGCTGGATCGCATCCTGAGTCCCGCCGATGACGTCCACGTCCCCAATGGTCACCAAGTTGTTCAAGCCCTGAAGTCCCTGCAAACCAGACGTCACGTCGAACTTGATCGGATCCAGGGTGACCTGCCCGATATTCATGTTCGCAATGGCGCGCGCATGACCCTGCAGCTGGAAAGGTGTGTGCGACGTCGTTGTCAGGTTCGCGTCTGTGTTACAATGTCAAAATGGTCTTTCCGGGACTTTCGGGGGCATCGGGGAACGTACTGAATTTGGAGAAGACAGGGCGGCTTGGGTCAGGGACGTCCAGCGCAGTGTCCTCGATGGTAATATCAATCGTGCCTTGCGTGAACGTCGAGTTGATCACTTTGATGTCGCTCGTCGACCTCCCCGCAGGCTATGCGATTCGCGCGTCAGCTCCTTGACTCCACGTAGCTTCACAACATACAAGTAGAGATATACTCACCGTTGACAGCCCCGCAACAACCGCGCCCGCGCTCGTGATATTGAACGCGTTTTGGATCTCGCCGATCGATAGACTGAACCCAAATGGCAACTCCATCGCCGCTTGCACCGTCCTGCTGTTCGCGACCGGGTCCCACGGCGCCTGCGGGCTGAACGCCAGCGCCATATCTCCGATGCTAATCGACTTGATAGGGTTGATCGCCTGGGCGGCCTTGAATGGCACATGCAAGTCCAACGCGGTCAGGCCGACGCTCAGCCACGACACCGCGCTTCCGTCGTTCTGGATCGAAGACTGGCCGCGCGCGATGACGTCCGACTGTTCGCCGTTCAGGTACTGAGTAAACAGTTGGGAGATGGAGGTCAGCGCGCTCGGATCGGTCTGTGGGACGAGCCGCCCAGAGAGCGTGATGTTGTTCGGGCCCGGGGCGATCGTCGTGTTCGCGCTGCTGCCGGAGCCGAGGTTCACGCCCTGGTATAGAAGGTCGAAGACCACGGTTCCGAGGTTCACGTCGAATGGGCTCGGGTTGTTAAGCCCCGTGACTGCGATGAAGTTGATACCTCCCTCAGGAGCGTCGCTTGGCAGTTTGAAATCGAATAACTCGATGTTCTCATCGAAGTTGTTCATTCCTAGCGCAACTCTTGAGCTTTTACCGCAAGCCTGTCGACAAGCAAGCGCGACTTACCATTGAGTGTAAGGTCCTTGTTGAAGTTCAGCCCATTCGCGCGCGGGAACTTAAGCGCCTGCACGCTGAGCTCGTTGCTCGTTAGCCTCCAGGTGAAGTTCTGCTGCGTTATCATCGTCTGCGTGAACTGCGCGAACGCGTCCTCCTGCTCGATGTTGAACGGTACTGTCTGGTTGATGTACGCGCGCTTTGACTTGACGGTGAGTTCGTTCATTTGGAACGAGCCAAGGTGTACGACGTCGCCGGAGCTGTTGACCCATCCGACAGAGAGCGGCTCCCGAAAGTCAATTTTCGCGGAGAAGATGCCAGCGTGCGAGACCTGCAGCATAGATTTAGTCTCCGTCTCGGGTGCTTCTCCAGCGGGACTTACCCATCCATCCATGCGCAATGCGAAGCTAACCGAGAGCCCATTTTTGTAAGCACTGAAATGTTCTGCGAAGAGACGCCGAACACTCACGTATTATTCGTCGGGCTCGTGATAGCCACCCGGTCCACGTTCAGTACCGACACGTTCACGATATGCTGGGCGATGGCATGCACCACCGGGTACAGCAAAATGAAGAGGATCGCGATGCCGAGACACGAGCCGACGATATTCGCGATGATGAACCACCTTCTCTTGTACAGCGGTGGTTTCGGCGCGGACGCAGTGCGGGGGACATCCTCCGGCCGTACTTCTTCGGCGGCAGCGCCGGCGGTCGTTGCTGCCCCGGCACCTACTGCACCTGCGGGTGTGGACGAGGGGGCGGACGCTGGGGCTGGGTCGGCGAACGGGTTAACGGGAACTCCAGCGGGAGTCGTCTGCGCTACGCTCGCGCCAGTGGCTGGCGCCTGGGCGGTCATAGGGCTGTCGTCTTCTGTGTCCGAGAACCGTTCGACAAACATAGTCAGCGAAGGTCACAATGGTGGCTGAAAGCAGGGAGAAATGGAAGGAATGTGAAGCGGGTGGGTGTCTAGGTGCGGCCGCTGCTATCCGGACTTTGAAGTAGCAGAGTGCACGCAGCACGCGTTGAAACGCGATGAGAGGGCAAGGACGGGAGGATATGAATATCGCCCATTCCTTTGTATATCGACATCTCAGGAAAGCGACGCGCGGGATCTGGAGGCATTCCTCACGCCCGGCTTCGGAAGATCGACCGGGAAACCCGCTCTTCCGTTCTTGCAGGCGCCGGCGTCTGCAGGGTCGGCAGCGCTGCTATTTGCAGCCACGGATTCCTCATGGACGTGCTTCAGGGAATCTCGGATATTTCCTGAGATGCGCCATATGCCGCGCAGCTGCAGGAGCAGTTACGGCGCAGGGGACACGTCCATGGCTGGAATGCTAATCCTGTGCCAGTTCACATGGAGACGTTGGGAAGACGTGCCAAATAAGACGCCCTTCCTGAAAGATGAGGTTCGCATGGCCGCGTGAACAGGGCAAGGCGACAATGTGTGAGAATCGACCAGGTCATGATACGCGACACCACCCGGAAGCCGTGATGACGAACAGCAGGCTTCCAAGGGGCCGTACGTTCAAGAGCACAGAGAAAGGGAAGAAACAATAAAATTGGATGTAGTGTTGGTCGGTCAGCGGTTCACCATAGATGACCCGCAACAGCAAATGTGCCCAGATGCAACTTGAGAAGATTACGAATATGTGTGGGGGCGAGGGAACTTGGAAGGGGGTAAGGGAAGGGGAGAAATACAGGGCCGGAAAACACGCGTCGTAGCGGGCCCACGACGCGTCGGATTGAACCGCGACTCACCAGGACTCGTGAATGAATTCCGTGCCACGTTCTCCTGCTGTCCATAGGGCGGGAAAGCGCCATTTCTCCTGGATTCCGCCATGGAGGATGTCGCCGCACCTCTTGGTGAGGGTCTTCGGACGTTGGGGGAGGTGGAGGGAAGAGGCCGCTCGGCTACAGAACGCCCAGCGGCGACATAAAATCTGTCCCGAGGTTCTCATGACACAGCTAGGGATCAGCTTCACTTCGTGCGCTTCCTCTTTCCACGCGGGTGCAGTAGACGACGCATCCTCGCAACGGGGACCACATGATCCAATGGGAAACATTCTTTCCCAATTTGGAAGACATTCGTTTAGCGCGGGATCAATGTGGGCTGATGGGCTCTCCGCGATGTTGCGCGATCGATGCGGGGTAAAATGAAACCTGCCGCTGGCCATTGGACGAAAACGCGGGGGTGGCGTCTTGGTGAAGGCGCGCGACGCTAGCAGGTCAGACGAGCACCGGGATTTGCTCCACAGGTCCTTCAGACGAGGATGGGGGTCCGACGGCGGGCCAGATGGGAGACTGAATAGGCCAAATCGAGCGGCAGGTTCCCCACACCACGAGGTCATGCGAGCCTCGTGTGCCCCGGGGGTCCACAGAATCGGCGCCACCGCGAATGGATAAGCCTAACTGCAGATTCAGAAGGTGACCCGGCGATCTCGCATGACGTCTTCACCGTCTTTTTATGCCCATGGGACCTCCTCTTGTGGCTTCGACGCTGCGCCTCCGGTGCCGAACGTTCGAAATGGGCTCCGGTTCTACAAGTTGCGAGCGGAGCTCAAGCGTTCATCGGCCTACAGCTAGACGCCTGTATTAGTCCCCGTGGCCAAGGAGTCTTAAAAGTCATACCTTCGATGTCAGTTCACAGGACGGGGCGCTGGCGACCTGATGCGCCTCGTAACGATTGACACTGACAGCCACTGTCATCCAGTTGCAACCACAGTGCCGGTTAAGTCACCCCGTTGGTCATTCGCACTGCTATCACCGCCAGTGCCCTGAATGAAAGGACTTTCGTTAGTGACGTCTTTGGCGCGCTCCAAAATTCGACCGACTGACACGGAAGACTCCGGCGTTGAAGTTCAGAGGTTCAATCCATTTACCACCGTTGCTGAGCACGAATGATACTTGCGGCGATTTGCGACCCGAATAGACTCTGCGAGCTTAAAGACAAGGACACATCTGTGCAGTGAGCATGTTTCAGCGACAGGTCATATGGAATCATGCAGCGACGTACTCGCCTTAGCATAGGGACACGCGGTCCTGCTCTCTGACAACGGGCAATCCACCAACCGAGCGTGCAGGATTCGGCACAAGTATTTTTCCGCAGATGAACAAGATGGCGCTTGGAGATATCGTCACGGAAGATGAAGCCAGACATTGACGTATCAAACTCTTACAACTCGGTACCTTCGTGAACGTCGAGATATACTGTACTTGCCCGACCAATCCGGCGGGTCACAGGTCACAACGACCTCCGCCGCCCCGCATTTGGGCTGTTGTCCCGGGTCACAGGAGGTCCCGCCGCTCCAGGTCGTATCTCGCGGCCGGTCACACCCCAAAACGGCATTTTTGGCGGCCCTGCGGGGCCGCCGCGCCGCTTTGAGATATGGGTGGTCACAGACGCGACCGGGCGCGCCGCTTTTTGCGGTTGCGCCGCTTCCGGACTCGCGGTCACACCCCAGACCCCCCGCCGGATTGGTCGGGCAAGTACAGTATTTCGAGCGCGAAAGAGCAGGCGAATGTGCCAGAGACGACCTTACGCTGATATTGATGTAAGCATGGCGGGTCCAGAAATAGGCAACACAACAGCCGCCAAGTGAATGTTGAGCTTGTCTAAGTTTGTACCCCGCGGCGGAGGGGAGAGCCAGCAGACGCACGTCAGACCGAGCTCCAGACGCCGCTACTAGCAAGTGAATGGACGGAAACCAATCCCAACGTCCGGAACAGCAGTGACTGCGGGCGGGAGAATGGAGAGCTTGTTCGTGATGCGCGCCATCGAAAAAGGCAGCCTCTCGAGGGGCAGGAGAAGGCGAAGAGCGTACGATTCGAAGCGCGTGGTGGAATTCGGGTGCAGATCATGGCGAACACCTCGCCACCCGGGAGAGTGCTATAGAAAGGCGCAAGAGGCTCATAGCTGCAAGTCCAGAGCGAGTGGGAGGATGACGCAAGGGCGAGGCACCCAAGGACCGGTGTGTCATTGAACCAAGTTCGCTCCGAGGCCGACGTCGAGTTAGTGTTGTTCCCGACACTAGTCACGTCGCAGTAAGCCCTAGCACTTCTGGAAGCAGCAACCCGGCTGGTACAGCAGCCAACCCAGCACTGTCCGTTTGAGCAAGTCCGATCCCGGATCACCGTAGCGGTGGTCGCTGGCCTAGAACGTGCAATCGGCAGAAGCGGCCTCGCGTGAGAGTGGTCGTGCGGGTGCAGTGTGGCGCGCCTTTGTGGAAAACATGGATGGAAACTAGAAGCCTTCGGCGGAGCGCGCGGAGTGACGGTGGATTTGGAAGATGTTCGGACGTTGGAGTTGGCATGGGTGTGAACGCTTGCAGCGGATATAGAAAGGCAACTCGGAGGGGTGCCGCCGACGGTGGACGGGAATGTCATCGCACGTATGCAAGCATATATACTTGATCTCATCCTGTTGGTTGCAAAAATGAGGCTGAACTATGAACATGGACGATTGGAAGCTCACCATAGACATATCCTCCGACGTCTACCTCCCGATCAGTCTACACAACACCACCACGCGAGCGCGTACCCTTAGCATTCATTTCAGGGAGGTCATGGGTGACCGGCATACGCATGGAGTGGCGGAAGTGGAGGCCGACCCGACCTGACGGAGAACTCACCGTGTCCAAATAGATGCAGAAATGCGTGAGAACACCGTGCGGGTGCAGACGCAGAGCTTCGAATACGGCAGCGCAGGACGAGTTCCATAATTACGCGGAGTCTTCAGGAACACCCTAGAGGAAAACAAAGAGGATGGAGGGGATGAATTTCACGGGAGTGAGTGCTATATACGCGCTATCCTGTTAGCAAGATTTCCATTCAAATACCGAGACCGTACGGTGTACGTATGGATATCGATCGAATCCACGTTCGAACGCGACATACGCGACGAGATCGGAACGGTTCAACTGCCGGTGAGCGGCGGCGGGCGAAATCACAGGCCTAAGGCTAGGGAATAGCGGGGTGCGGTACCGGTGATATCGACGAGAGCGTGATACGGATACAAGTGGATATATCAAAACATTTGTTTCTTTGGCGGGCTTCTTGTTGCACATTGAACTTACAAACACGGCCCATAGGGACGCAGAGGTGGCCAGGGATGTTGCCGGGGCGAATCCGACGATCACCGAGAGAGGTCGACTGAGCGGCGGGAGGAAAGGTATAGCGAGCATTGAGCGTGATTGGAGGTCGGGTAGCGCCGACCTCGACCGATAGAGCGAAAAACAGGTGCCGGAGGACTAGAGTAGCGTGAATGATTGTTCGATGTGAGAGCACGAGGTTGAGTGAGAGCGAAGTCTGCGGACTTCGCGCACGGGAGCAGTGGCCGGAACAACGGACGCTCGGAGATCGTTCGAGGGTCCGTTGGGTTACTTTGCTTCATCGGCATTGCCTGGACCGTCCTCTTCAGACTCGTCCTCTTCTTCGCTGGAGCTTTCTGGAGGGTGATGGTGGTTTGGGTTCGGAACTAAGAGGTCCTCGCCGTCTGCCCCATCGTGAGTGCCTACTAAAACACATCAGCTATTACGCTCGGCAGTCCAATTTCGGTGAACGGTGATTCATGGGCGGACGGGACACCAGAAGTTTCGTACACGCTCACGCATACGTCAATTAGCCTCGATCACGGCGTCATCCCATGAGAAACATATGACACTGGCACGGATATCATGAGGTTCGGGTATGTTTAGCAGGGAAAGCCTGTTTTCACACAGTCCTCTTGCAGTGGGCGGAGTGGAGACGGCTCACCTGATGTCCTCCTTGACTCATCGTAGCTCTTCTCCAGCTCAGCAAGAATCTCCTCTTGCATAGCGCTTACCGCCTCTGCATTCTCGCAGGTCTTGTATTTCTCCAACATGTGTCTGTGCGAAGTTCGCAAAGATGCCTCATCAGCAGTAACTTTTGAAGGAACAAGAAGAGGACATGTCAAGCCCGACGAGGTACGCACTTGTTCACTTCATAGAACGAGTGGCCCCATCCAAAACCGCTAAGCAGGCGCTCCGCGTACGAATCGTACCCTGTGATGTAAAACGCAGCGGCGAGAGCCTCGACGCAATTGAGCCTCCATGGCTTGCCGTAGTTCACGGGGTTCGTGGCCACAAGGTAAGGTACTGCCGCCATACAATGAGAACACCGACGGTGGTAATATGCGCAACATACATACGGAGACGTTCGTTAGGACTTGCGATCTTGTTGAAGGGCACCTCATCAAGCCGTGCCCATGAGCATTCGACTACCGCCAGTCCACTCTGTGCGACAATGTCGCGATCGGCGGGGCTCACTGGTTGCGTCCCCTTTGGACTAATTCGCATTCACAAAAGCACATTTCGTTTAGAAATATTCGCATGATGAAATGCTCGAGCACTCACGAGATCACAACACCGCGAAACCTCTGTCCGATTCGCAAATCCTGTATGAGGCCCTGGCGCGCGAGTTTCTTCCCTGAGCAGCGGCGAGGGTCACAATGGTCGAAGTCCTACTAAATGCATCAGCAAAAGCTTGCTCAGCATGTAAATTATTCTGAAGACCTACCCACATCGCGACCGGTACCTCGATGTTTACCTGCTCCTCCGACTCTGCCCTCCGCCACTAGCATCAGTTCCCCCTTCTTTATCCGCCACACTGCGAGAACTGACCGGAGTCACTTCCACTACCTTCACCGCTCTCGTCATCATCGTCCACTGCACTTTCAGGCCTCTCCACGCCGCCCAGAGCGGAGGATGGTCTTGCATCGTCGAACCGGCGCTGTCCCCGTCCTCTTTGCGCATGCCCGCCTCCTCTCAGAGCCGCACGACCGCCACGCTTCCCTCTGGTTGGTTTTGCCATCCTTCAGGCGTAGATCCAAGACAACAGCTAGTAGAATGGTTTTGGGATTGCGATGGCTCAGGGGGAAAGCAGAGACAAGATGATCGCTGAGGCAAAGTCTAAATCTATGGAACGCGCATGGGCGCCTACCGCGCAAAGCAGTAGACGCTTGCTCTCCCGCTGCTTTCCACGCGACCACCACCACAAAATGTTCCCGACGCTAGCATGCCTGTCCAAGGCCTCTCGGAGGGCACTCACGCCGAAGCGCGGTAACAAAGATTTTTACAAGGGTTCGTCTCGCCGCGCATTTGATGACGTATTCGTTGGCTGAAGATTCCACTTCAACAGGCACGCGGCAAGCGTTTCTCCCCGGTGGCCACCGCACTGGTGCACCCGGAAAGCACGTCGTCCGAGGGAAGGCGAAGTACCGTTTGGTGGATGAGCAGGTCAGGTTCTACGTGGCGCCGCCCATTGAGGAGATCCAGAGCTCGTCGGTGCGTCTGTTGAACTCGCATCATGCACACACCCTCCTGACAGCATATACGTTTGCACACCTTCCTGGGTTGCTCAAATTCGGTGTATCTCGCAGCTCAAGCCCTACGTCTCTACCACAGTCCCCGTCTCGCGCGCATTCACGAAGGAGCTGTACGGCAAGCTCCCGCGTGGGGGCCTCACTCCCGAGCACTTCTACAAGATCGCTCCTCGGCTCGATCCCGCTCAGGTCGATGCACCCCAGGCGGACGCCATCGCACAACCACAGCAATAGAAAGATATCGTTCCTTTCTTTCGTGCAACAAGCGTGCTCCCCTCATCTGGATTCTGCCCTACTCTACCCATGTCTAATGCAACATAGTAACACCTTGCCCCGCGAAGGTGTGTTAAACACTGAGTTGCCAACAGAGACGTCGTGGCGTCCGTCGCGCTACACATTGCACTACACACGATTGGCCGTATGAAAACAGTTCTACTTGGTACACTTCTTCTTGATACACTTCATATTCTTCCGCCAATGTGAGTTTAGAACGTCAAGATGCGGTATTTTCGAATGTGCGATTGCTGTAAAGACACCGTGAGCATCGACATCTCGGATCATGAGTTGCGCACGACTCACACTAGACACCATCACGAGCGAGTCCTCGCTGACCATCACCGCGTCGAAGTGCCCCTCGCCCTCTGCGCTGAACGGCCGCGTCTTGCGCATGACGTGCGGTAGCGCCGTCTTCACCTCCTCCCTGAAGATGTTCACAGGGCGGAACACCCGCTCGTCCGTGACGGAAGTCGCGCTCTCCTGAACGGCTGCGCGCTCCTCTGCCGTCATTTCCGGATTCTCCGCGGCCTCGCGGGCCTCACGCGCGAGCACGCGTCCGACGCTGTGTGGGTTGAAGTCGAGTGCGAGGATGATACGCTGCGAGCCCTGCCGGATAGACATCGCGAACATCATCCCGTACACGTAGCATACCCATACCGACGTGTGCGTGGGCGGTGCAGGGATGAGGCGCGACCCGGCGGGGCCCCACTCTGACCACTCGAATACGCGGCCAGTCTCTTCGGGAGCGATTGTGCGAATGCTATTCATGAATGTCGTAGACGGGACGAGGGAGATGAACGGCATAATGTGCATGTTGCCCTCGACGACCCAGAGAGTGATTACGAACAGGCGGTCCTGGCGCGCGACATGGAAAGGGACTTTGAGCGATGGCGATGGCTTCCAGTTCGGTGCGGGGTCGGACCGGATGGACATGGAGATGGTCGCGAAGTTGTCCGCGAGCGGAGGGTAGTGGAACGCGCACAGATAATCGAGATCGCCGAAATCGATTTCGTGCCGGTCAGACATGCGCTCGAGGTCGATCACGAGTAGGCGGGGGTCGTCTCCGTGGAAGACGTTATTGTCGTCTAGCTCCATGGTTGGGAGTGAGGTGAGGAGCATGTACCTGGAAGTGAGGAATGCAAAGGACGATAGGTCGGAACCGGTGAGGTGCTGGGATTGCGGTTAGCGAGCGTCATTGGGGGCACGGAATAATCATACCAAGCGACGAATACCCGTCTTCCAGTTCCACATGAGCAGCTCGGAGTGGTCTTCGTCTCCGCTCGTCATGAGAATTGCGATACGGTCGTCACAGACCTGGATAGTATACGAGTAGCGACCTCTCGTTGGGATGTGCGAGACCGTAGCTGGACGCGGTGCGGCGGGGTGAGGTTCACCTGTCGCGAGAGATTTGAGGTGTACCGCGCACGCCATCCCCGCGCTGCGTGCCCCGTCAGCTCAAACCGACACAGGTGCTGCTTGTATGCTCACGTTTCCATCCGGTTCTCAATGATAACGAGCAGGTCCTGCGCAGGGTCCATACCAAAGTCGCGAATGTTGACCCCTACGTCCTCGATGCGCCACTCGCGCTCCTCGATCCCCCGGATAGCTGAGGGCAGCTGCTTGAACGCCAGTGTCCGCGACCCGTCCCCTTGCGCGAGCACGCCTCCGTACAGCTCCCACACCCCTCCCTGGTGCATGGGCACCTCTTCACGCGATGTCCAGGCTAGCTTGTCCCAGGCTTCCTGGTGGGCCTTCAGCACTCGCAAGCGCTCCGCCGAGGTGAGGGTGCTCGATGAGCCGTCCTCCATCCCCGCCGCGGCGAGCTCGATCTTGTATTGGGTGCGCACGTCGGCGTCCATGATGTCCTTGAGAAGGCGACATACCTGGAATAGCGCTTTAAGTATGACGCTCGCGCGGGAGGAGTTAAACTCTAACGCACCTCCCGGCATCGGACCAGGCTCCGGAGATCAAGCTCGAGGAGAACATTGATGAGCAGCTCAGGCGGCAGTAGTGTGAGCTGCATTTCCCATAGGCGCTTTTATGCAGTAACTGGTGGTGAGCGAGTGGTGCAGCTGGTGGTAAGAGACGGGAAAGGATCAACACCTCCGAATTTCCGGATTGCATCACCATAACCTCTCGGCGGTAAGCCGGGCCGGGACCTGGAGCTTAAAGGCCTCCCTTTTCTGTCGCAGTCATTTACAGAAGAGGATTGTCATGTTATGGTTACAGGTATAGCCAAAGGAAACCATCCTAGTCGTAATTAATAATGGTCGTACAATCAAGTCGGATACATATAATCATTGTCCTGCGGTCCTCGAGTCTTTAAGTTTCAATCATGCTTCTTGTCTCCTCGCTGCGGCCGCTCCTGCAACTCGATGCCCTCATTTTCCCCGATCGCAGGTAGCGGCTCTCCTTCCGGCTGCAGATGAACACCCTTGCCGCCTTCTCCGTCACTCGCGGTCCAGTATCCAAGCGCGCCAAAAACCCTGGCGTTCACCTTGCACGCGAACGTCGCCGCTTGAAGGCCAATGCGGACGAGAGGTACAAGCGGAGGGATAATGAGTGCAGCGAGGTCCTCCGGGTGGTAGAAGTCCTCGTGTTCGGCGATGAGGTATACTGTCTTGGACGGGTCGGTCGGCGAAGGCTCGGGGCGGAGCGTGAGGTGTACGAGCAGCCTGCGACACTCGGAATCAGTGTTGAAAGTGTAAGAAAATCAGGGACTACTCACCTTGCAGGTGCGGGGTTAAGAGGGGACCACCGGATGTGGAACGTTTGAGTGATATCGAGGAACGCGGAGTGTTTCTCCTCGTCGTATGTCACCGAGTTGACGTGGACCGAGATCACTGGTGACATTACGCGGTACCACTGCAGAATTGAGAGTATCGCGTCGCGCGAATTGGGTCCTGACTTGACCGCACATAGAGGATGACGGAACGAAATATTCGGCGCGTAATACCTGCGCATATTTCTGGTTAGTAGTCTGCTCAAGTCTAGAAACAGGAACTAGGGGCGCACTTCAGTACAGATGCTCTTTGTATCTCGGGGTTTATAGCGGCAGTAACGAGGCCAGCAACCGTCGCGATTTCCTTTGCGGGGTCTTCCATGTCTCGGGGGCGTTGTGAGTTTACGTTCGCTGTGAATGTGCTAGTACTAGTGGTGTCACTCGCAGTCGTCGCAGTCGTCGTGGGGGTTACTTTGGTAGTTGTGCTTTCGATGGTCGTGGTTGGAGTTGAAGCTGTATTTGGTAGGGGAATTGAGTGGATGTGGGTCCCCCAAGAGAGAGGCGGCTTGTGATTGATGTTGCGCTCGATCGTTCATGACGTCATTTTATACTCACCGCCGCCATGTGGAACGGGCGCTAATGCTTGGAACATTCTATCGTTAATGTTCCTGCAATCCATAGGCAACAATATTGCAATTGTGAGAGATTCAGCCAAGAACAATTTCGCTAAAAATACATGCAATTTCCAAGAGTGTCCAACACTAGTACAGGCGGTTAAAGGAACGACGCGGAGTGAAATGCGTAAAGAGCGGTGTATGTATGCGGAGTAGTAAGGAGTGGAATGAATCAGATGTACGTAATGAAGCCACTGTCCATCTAAATTCGAACAGAGAAGCCAAGTTCGACGAAAGGATGCAAGTTAAAACTACACGGAATGAAACATAGGGGGGTATGGGGAGTACAGATACAGCTATATGGCGGAAACAGAAGGATAGTAATCCAAGCAAGTAGAAGGGTAGTGGTTGGTTGTATGAAAGTGGTGGGGCGGAGGATGCGAGTACTGGATACAGGGAGATGCTGGGTACACTTTCAGCATGATAAATATACCAAGAAATAAGCCACGAGCGTAGTCCGGGCTTGACGCGGTCGGATGTGCGCAGCGGTCGTGTCCAAGAATTCGAAAGAGGGCGGAAAGGGTATTCGGGTGCGATCTTGAAGGGGTGACGCCAAAATCGTTTAAAGAGAGCATGTCGGTTGAGATGTCGGACGGGGTATCGCAGAGACGAGGGCAACGAAACGGAGCCAGGTCGTGACGCGTTCAGCTGAGCCAGTCCATCTCCAACTTCGCGGGAGTACCGGGCGTTTGCGAGGGGAGCGGGTCAGACGCTGGGCGCGGGGCTGCCAATGTTGGGATGCGTTTAGTCATTGCGGAGGACCGGCAGGACGCTGGCGACATGAGCTCACCGAATGTGAAGGCCGGAGGGGGAAGCGCGTCATCCACGGCTGCGGTCGACGCAGTCGCGGGCGCAATAAGCGTCGAAGAGACTATGTCCTGCGGAATGGGTCCTGCGCACGCGGAGAGCGCGAGAGTGAGGACAAAGGCGAGCGACGCGAAGGCAAGGCGGGACATGGTGCGCGTGGTCGGGTTGGGTAGTTGAGGGATGAGGGGTATGTCCAGCGAGCTGTGGCGAGGATGCGAGAGGGTAAAGAGGAGATGCTTCAGGAGAGATGAGAGTGTTAAGCGAATTTGACTGGGAGTTGGGGGCCTGCCTCACCTTCCTTATGTACAAGCGAGGCAGCGCCGCTGCGGAACGGGCAGAGCCAGACGACGACAGCTCCTCGACTCACCATGACGCAGGACCGCCTACTCCAGTGACTCGCTTAACCGGCTATGCAGCAATGTAACAAACCCGCGGACGCGGGCCGCGGGTCGCGGATGGGTCGCGGCGCACGGAACGCGTCCCAGCTTCACCCATCCGTGATACACGTATTCCAAGTACGCAGAACACCCGTGCACCGACCGCCCAGTCACATACACAGGCTTTCTCCAGTGCTGCGTCGCACGTCGCGCGGCCGCCCGACAACTCGACGAACGGGTGCACTGCTCGGGTGCGCATATGTCGCTATGCCGGCTTTGTGTGCGAGCGCGACGAGGTGCGCCTGGGCCGCTGCGGCGGCGCCGAGATCGCGTGCGGACGTTCCGCAATCACGGGAAGCCTAAGAATGTCGATGGTGCAGCCTGATATGGGAAGGAGGAGTAGATCAGGCATTGTATAATGACAGGTCTACACCGCTTTCGCCCAACGAGACGGTGCGCGACACTTACAGGTGTCTCCCGGGCGGGACCGTTTGAGATGCATCGAGCTGCGACGTAGCCGCTGAATGCAACGTACCTGTTCCTGCTTGGATGGGAGCCCGCGATGATGGATGTTGCAGCTGATTCCGTGTGACCGCGACGGGAATGCTTGCAGACGTGGTGCGATAATGCCTCGTAGGCAGGGAGAGACTGCAAGCAAGTTGGACCAGGTTGGCACAGCAGTAGAGCCAGATCATCTTCGGCACCGCCGACCCTAGGCGTTGCCGCTGCGTTGAAAATTGGCGAACGTCGCGACGGGGTGGCTGTAGGTGGCTGTACGCTGCCGCCGGCGCCACCGTCGGCGCTTGGAGTAGGACTCATACATAGCAAGTCTGGTAGTTGTCGTTGTCGTCCGCCATTCGACGGAGAACGCAGTACCGCGCCTCCAAAGTGAAATTTGACACTGGGGTGGTCGTCCTGCCAGTGAGTCATTACGCCTATACGGGTTCCCAGAGGGTTGTGGCTGCGGAAGTCAAACATGTGCCACAGTAAAAGTATGAACCCCCCCAAAAGGCACGTACGGATGGGCCTCCCCAGCCCAGGTACTTGCATGGGAAGCAGTACGACAAAGTGGGGGTCCAGCGGTGCAAGTCCGACTTGCTCTCTGGCGCCGCCAGCACCCACGCAATGTGGCGGTGGCAGTGACATCGTGGCACTACCGCATCCAGCCCGTTGCGGTCAACACTGATTCCAAGGTAGTCAGTGTTGAAACGGATCCTATCAAGAAAAAGAACGACTCAGAACACCCGAATCTCGCGGAAGCTATCGCCTGACGCACCTTTACATGCATCCATTATACTGCAACGTTATGATAAAATATCAACAATTGGCACCCAGCGGGGATAATGATAAACCCACGACACAGCACGAAGAACCCAATTCTCTGACCTATAACCACAACCAAACAGCTCCTGGTGTCCAAAAGAACGGAACTGGCGCCCGGTCGCATTGAATGAATAAGTGACAAGCACCGCGCTCACCAGAGCAGACGAGCAGACAGCGACGCGGACAGCCCCGCGACAAGCATGGCAGTCAGCGCCGACGTAGCGGCGGGTGCGCGTCTGCCCACCGCCCCGTTCTCGCCACCCTGACTCGTTCCGCCGATACCGCGGTTCTTCCCGCTCTGTCCATTCGACGTCGCGATCACGGCAGGGTCGACGGTGGCCGTGTTCTTCGTCTTCGTCACCACCGTCGTCGCGTAGGTGGATGCGCTGTCGGGTGCGGACGCTTGCTGCTGCGCGGTGTCCGAGATGAAGACGAGCGCGGCACCGGGCGCGGGCACCCTGATTTGACAGGTGTTTGCCGTCTGGTCGCACTGCACGGTCTTGACGTCCTCTGTGCCCTTCAGCCGCCCGTCGACCTGGAAACGGCCACCGAGAGTCTGCAGGCGCAGAAAAGACGTAAGTCGACCTGGCGATGCGAGAACCTGCGGCGCGAAGACTGACCTGCCCAGCCCATGTGATATTCTGCTTTTCCGCCACCGAGGGGGCGAGCAGGTATCTGCGGAAAGCATGGTAAGCTCCGCCTGTACGGGACCGAACAATGCACAGGATACTCACTTGACTTTGACCTGAGCCGGGACCGCGTTTCCCTCGCCGAACTGCTGGCCGCCGACGTTGATGGTCGCGGTATAGTCGTTCGCGCCGCTCGGGTCGTCGAGGAAGTTCACGAGCATCATCCGCGCGAGCTGGTCGTTCTCGTAAATCGCGTACGCGGGCGTGAACTCGTTGCCGTTGTTCGGGAACAGGTCTTTGACGCGCGAGGTGTTCGTGGACCCGAGCGCTTCTGCGACGGCGAGGGCGGAGTAGAAGATCGGGCCGACCGTCCACTGGTGGAATGAAGACTCGTTTGTCGGAGCAGCTGAGATGCGATCGAAAGGTCAGTCTAAGATCACATCCATCCGCTAGTGTTGAAAGTATACCTGTGAACGGCTTTAAGAGCATCAGCCACGTCCGATGCGAGCAGTATATGCGCAAACTTACATTGTAGGTCACATTCTGCCCACCTGCATGGAAGAGGGCTCCAGTGAAGTTGCTGTTCGCCATCTGCAGGGCATAGTCGACGGCCCAGAGCGCCGAGGTGAATGCATCACTGATGCCGGGGAAGCCGCCGCATGACGCCGTGTTCGTCTCGAACATCAGGAACGGCTTGCCCCACGTCTGTGCGAGCATCGTGGAGTTGAGGTGCGGCTGCACCTGGCCCAGCCCGTTGTTGTGCGTCAGGTACGGGGCGAGCTGTGCGATGAGGTTCAGCGGCTCGCTGTCTCCCGGGAAGATATCGGCGCAGTTCTCGTTCGGGTAGCTGCAAAAATGATGCGGCTCAATCTCCATCTCGAGAGACAGCGAGGGAAGAAGCGTACTGTTCGACGGAGAGCGCTGAAAGGTACTCGTCGTATACTTGAACGAATCCCGTGTTCCACACAGCTTCGGCGCCCATCGGCCTGTTAGTGGGGTTCAGGGGGTCGGGCCAGTTCCCGCCTTGGGTGCTCGGTGCAATGAGCGATTTCTTCCTTGTTATCTTCGTGTCGCTGGCGTACCCCTGCGTGAACTGCGAAAACTCGCCGAAATAGTCCCACGGGCTATAAGACGCATTACGGTGACCGTGACTGAACCTACGGCCGCCAACGCGCGTAAGACGCGAAGTAAGGACGAATGAGAGTGGATACGACGTACGCGCCGTATAGGTCAGGTTCGTTCCCCGCTTGGAAGCCAATCAGGTTGTCGCCGAGGATCTCTTCGCCGTGCTCTGCGATCTCCAGGCGCAAGTGGCTGGTATCGTTGAAGGGTATGCCTGATCGCCGTAAGTCAATACAAGGGCTTTTCGCGACGAAATCACCTACCAAGGTACCACTTCACATTCACCAAGCTTGATACGTTGCCAAGCATATACAGTAGGTCTACCGTATAGTCCAAAACGGGAGTGGATGTCTGTGTGGTTCAGGATCATGGTCTCGATGGTGTCAGATATAAGAAACGTACGGGGTTGGACGCATCCTCCTTATCCTTCTCCATGATCTTCCCATCAGGGAACGAATCGACCATGGATGCAGTCTCCTGGGTGTTACCGCCCACACGAACGTGCACCGCGCCCACCCTCTCCACCACCAGCGCCATGAGGTTGAGGAAAGGAACGAATAGCCGTGTCCTGCAATATCCATTAGGTACCGTAGGGATAATTGATTTCGGAGTGACCTACGAGTTCGTCCCGACTGTCCGGCAAAAACCCGATGAAGTTCGTTAGCCTTCAGATGTCATACCAAGAAAGGATGTCTTACTGAGCTGGGTTGCAACGGACATTTCGATCGAGAACCCGAAGAAGGTGCCTGCTTGAGGTATCGACAGCCCAACGACGTTCGAGGCGCTGTTGGGGACGTTGATAGTGAACGCCGTAGAAGGTGCCGGACTTGGTATCGGAGGCGGCAGTAGGTAAACATCGTTGTATGCGGCAAGGGATGTAAAACGAGCGGGTCCGCTTGTGGTCACGAAGGAGGTTGTCGTGGTTGGAATGTCGGTGCCCGATGGTACAGGCACTGTTGTAGTCTTCCCGAATACGCCGTAAATGGTAAGATCGGCCTTCGTCGATGAGAGAAGTGCGAGGAGCACAGAAAAGAGTGGAAGGCGCATGGCGAGCGCGGGGTATGCAAGAGACACCGGTAGTGTTGCGCAGGACGCCAGGATGTGCACTATATGCTCGTGCCTGGGGCTATGCGGGCCTGTCATTTGTTTTGCGAAACGCGTCCAACCGGCGAGAACACCGCAGGCGGCGCCAGACCATGACGATCAACGTCGAGGCGAATAGGACCGAGATCAAGATACGCAGAATCATCAGCGGTCAGCGTTGTTGTTTACCAGCGCCACCAAAATCTCGAGGAGCTCACACCGCCTGGAGTCGGTAAGGGGTGGCTCTCCTGAGAACGCGGCCACTGTCATAAGTCCATTTGTCTAAGGAGGTATCACGGCTCATGCGGATCACTTGGGGGAAGTTCCGCTTTACACCGGACTTGCGATATGGTACCTTTTGGAAGCATACGTCTGTCAGAATATTCGTCCCAATCGTCCAGAGTGACTCATACCTACGTCTTCGAGGCAGGTCGACGGGCCGTCCGTTATGCCTATAACGCTTTCCTCAGACCTGAGAGGCAGATCACGGCTATCCACGGCAACCGTGGCCAGCCCCGGACGCTAGAATTTGAGTAGGCTGTCGGAGCCGAGGGTTGACGTGTCGTCGTGCAGACGACGTCGGGTTTCAATGTTCCTAGATGATTGGCAGATAGATAGGCCATTCACGAAAACGAATGCGGTCCTCTCCATATGAATGTAGCAGTAACTCCTCCGAGTTGCTAATACGATAGTGAGCTCAAATTATAATCAATTTGAGCGTGTGTCTCACCGGCGAGGTCGTGATTGAGCTGCGCTATCGCGGCGGACGAAGATAAAAACTCATTTATGAGTATCAATATGTTTGCTGTCCTCTCTCTGAGGCATGAAGCTTGAGTCATGGCCGTAGGTTGGTCGTAGGAGCCTCTCACTTCAACTTGCAATCGACGCCAGGAACGCACAAACATGGTAGCGCTCAAGATCAGCATCAGCGATCTGTCAGCGCCGAGCCCTCGGCGCTGCCGCTTTCCCCGGATATTTCCGCACATCCTCAGCGCCTCGCCCAGCCTCCAGCCTCGACCAGCAACCCACCTGCTCACTCGACTCTCGTTATGCCCAGTGGGAATGACATACTATCCCATCACCGGATATGCCAAACGAGGATTGCAATGCAAATGTCGCACGATATACCTCATCTCATCCCGGATCCCCGCCCCCTCCCCGTTTTTGTGAGTGCATTCATGCACATCCAATGTTTCCTCTGAAAAGTTTAAGGCTATACGAGGCCCTGCTGAACGAAGCAGAGACTGATTTGCACATGCTGTCTCGCGATGCATATCCCGTCGCAGGATAGTACTCTCCGGCTCACGCGCGAGCAGTTTGGCGGTGCTCTACCGCGATTTATGAGGTATGTTGACTCGAAGCACACATTTGCTATGGACGCTACTCACAGAAGAATGCTAGAATTGCTTCAGTAAGGGTACCTTGTTTTCCAACTATCATCTGCGCCTCGCTCACGAGTGCATTGTACAGAATTACGCTATTTGTTTGCACCGCTCATTGCTCGGTGCCAGCCCCTGCACCATGCGGAACGAGGATGCAATCGGCATCTTCCGCTAGTGCTCGTCCCTGCCCCCTCTCATAAAGCACCCTGGAACGTCTAGATTTGCCTAGGGGAGACTAATCTTCCGCAATGCATCGCGAGTAGACGGTACCGGTAAGTCTCCGGCGCACTCGGTAGAGCGTCGGACGAGTATGCTGCACTCGCTCGGCAGTAGGAATTCCTGCTTTCAGCCGCATTGCGCGAGCACGCTTCCCAGCTCTCACAGTCGTGTGCAAGGGCAGGGCAGAACGGGAGACTCCGCCTCACATGGTTATTGCTCACGAAATCTATTGATTCCCCAAGAAGCCGGTCTTTGCCCACGCAGAAGTATTAACGTGTATAATGCAGAAGTCACCCTTGTCTCGGGGTCGCGGATCCTGGGGTGCAGCATCGCGCCCGACTTCCGCCCCACAATGCCGCCCCCTCCCAACAGTCGACGTATGCGTAGTCTGTGGCGCGTATCCCTCCGCTGTGTAAATGACAAGTAACGGCAGAGCGTGTCGACATCGACCTCGGTCCGCCCGGGGAGGTGAGCTTCGAGGCGGGTTGCAGGAATCCACTTACAGCAACCTGCTCCCCGTGCGGAAGTGTGTGAGGTGGCAATGAGAAGCGTCATGCCGCGGCCCCTGTGTTCCCCTGGTCCCTCAGGCCTCCGCTATATGTACCGGACGCTATAAACACGCCCTCAAACCCGCCCTCTCCTACCCTCCTCGCCCAGGCCACGTCCCCGACCACCGATCGCCGCCACAATGTTGCCTTTGCGCGCCGCGGGGATCTTGTCCACCACAGTTCAGGGCGTTCTCTATGGTGAGTCGCCTCCTGGCTTCTCGTATCGCGCAAGGGCGAACCACGCGTGCTGACCCCGACGTCCGCCGCGACAGGCTACGCTGTGTTCATGTTCATGCTGGCCATGTGGATCATGCTGCGGGATCGTAAACATCGACAGGTCAACTACGCACTAGTAGGGGCGGGGTGCTCGCTCATGGTGCTCGCGACTGCGGTACGTGGGCGAGTGAGTTCTCACGTTGCTGCTAGCCCCTGACGCGTCGTACTGCAGGAGATGGCGGTCAACATTGCTCGCATCTACCAAGGATTCATCACGATAGGTCCTTTCGTGCCCGGGGGGCCGGAGGCGTGGTTTAGTGCCGTGTCAGACCCTACGTTCGTTGCGAAGAGCGTGTTCTACAACACGCAAACACTCATTCTTGACGCTGTCGTGGTAAGTCATCGGTGCTCACTTTGCGACGCGTCGTCGATGCTTACCGAAACAAGATTTACCGGACATATATCGTATGGCAAAGTGTGCTCGTTGTGATCCTTCCCATGATTGGCTGGTGTGGATTGTTAGGCAAGTTCACGCCAATGATCGGTCCGACGCTGTTTGACTTACGTTCGGCTCAGGCGGCTCGATTGGCTTGAACATCGCCCTGGTGAATTCTTCGAAACATTCTGGGGATGTGTTCGCGGTCCAGACCGGTCGATGGATCACGGCAGTGTACGCGTTGACTCTGGGCACGAACCTTTCATCCACACGTAAGTTACTTCCCGAGCGCCTGCCGAAGATCCTCCTTTCAAGTCATATCTTGTTTGCAGTCCTTCTGGCGGGCAGGATCTGGACAGTCACTCGGCGGTCGGCGCAGTATCGCGCGTCTGACTTCCTTGGCCCAGTCTTGCGCGTCATTATCGAGAGCGGCGCGATCTACTCGATGACCATCACCGCGGCTCTCATCTCCTTCGTCGTGAAGTCCAACGGCGTATACGTCATCCTCGACCTCGTACGTATCCTTCTTGCATGCCCGTCGCTACTCTCAGGCTGGTGACGGCAGCGTCCTCGGGGCTTCCGGCCACGCACACACGAGCTGACCTTCCCCGACAGATCTCTCCCATCATCTCTATCGTGTTCAACATGCTTATCATCCGCATCGGCCTCGCCAGCGACCGCAGCTTCCTCGCTGCGGGCAGCAACACCGCGCAGGGGACTTGGGCCGCGGCTGCGTCTGCGTCTATCGTGGACCGCGCTGTGCGGCGGCGCACCGACGGCACGTACGCGATGAAGGACCTCAAGGTCGAGATCACGCAGGTCATCGAGAACGACTCCGAGTACACGATGGTTGACGCAGCGAGTCCAGCCATACGGACGCGCGAGCACGATCCGCGCATGATGCGCGACATTCTCGACGTTGACGTAGACTCGGGCTCAGAGTCCCCACGGTCCTCGGTGCACCGCTCGCCGATAGAGAAGGCGCCCGTCGAGGACGGCTCTGTCTGAACTGCCAGTTACGTATGTGCTTTCTTCATTTCCGCTCCTTTCTTGCGCAGTCCTTGGGCAGTAGGCAACGAACCCTTCTTTCTTTGTAGCTAGTGTAGTGTAGCAGTCCCTGTCTCGGTAGCAACGTTCACGCTCACGACGACTCCCTTCCATTCCATTGTTGTACCCGTAGCTCTCATGTAGTACCGCCGTGTACCGCAGTATACCTCGCGCAATCGATTTCCGCGCCCCGTCCGTCCGAACTCCCCGCAATGAAAACAGCCGGAACCCCTATTTTCTTCTTTCGGTGGGAGTATCCTTCACAGAAGATAGGCCATGCGAAAGTTCACAGATCTTAACAGTCCGCGGAATCTCACGGAGGTGTCATCTGGGCAGTGTTGTTCGCAGCGCGTGCGTTTGCCATGGGTATTCGCTCGCGCATGCCTGTGTTGAGTCAGCTAGGTATTTAAGCTACAGAACGCGAATAGCGCGAATGAGCGGGCAACGTTGCAGACGATGTGAGCCTGCATGAATGGACCGGCGTGGGCGGCGAAAGTGAACGGCGCTTACCTGCACGTACGTATGATTTCGAAGCGCTTACACATGTGCAGCTTTTGTGCAAACCACCATCACGGTCAATGTGTGACTCTTGATTCTCTTCTCGTATTCAACGGTAAGCATCGGTTTTGAACTCCTCTGAATGTCAATTTCGTACTAAACCCAGCTCGGAACGTATTTCTCAGCAATGCTCAAGGAGCGCTGTACTTGTTGGATTGCGCCATCTTCGGCTGGTGTTGAGCCACTTCAACGATCACTTTGGCCACCATGTTTGCCTAAAAATCCTGCACATAGAGGGCCGGGATTTTAACGCTCTCCACTCTATTTCTATCTCCAAGCGGCCCGGGGTAAGGTCAGCAGAATCCAGTCACGACGTGCACTTTACTTGCGGCACAGCCCGCAAGACGCACGGTGCGGACCCTATGCAAAAAAGACCCCAGTCGCGGGGGCTGCTTCGTCTAGCGTTGTGAGTGCCTTACTCGCACGAGGTGCCGGACATTCGGCAGCCTTGTTCTGTGCTGAACGTCTCCGAAGTCGAAGTTTCTCCGGTGCTTCACTGCGGGGGATCGTGCTCGCTGTGCCTGCTCGTACTCAGTACCGCGAACGAATACCCTGATTCTCATGAAGCCACAGGCACAAAAATCGGAGCCGCAATTTGAGAAGTTGGACGCCCTTGGAAGAGCAAGAAGTCAGCCTCGGTAGCAGTTGCGGGAGCGCTCGCCAGGAACCTCAACGATCTAGCCCCCAGCTGCACTAATGCGGCAGCAGGTGCGTTATGTCCACGAGACCAGTGCTCTATGATCCAATCTTATCCAGAGATACCACGATGATGGCATCCACAGCACTCCACATACTGGAAGACTCAGGTGTTCCCAATGCCAGTACGAACTACACGACGCTGGTCGTTATTCACGGGTACACATGGCACTCAGGTACGGACCACACCCTCAGGGCACGGCTTTATGCGGAGAAGTGTACGCCCACCACATATTACGTCCTAACCCTCTACACGGCAGGTATCTTCTCCAAGTTTGTCCCTCTCGCAAAGGATTGTAACACACGTGTGATCCTTGTGAATCGGAGGGACTACCCGGGGGCTCGGCCATTCACGCAAGAAGAACGCGCATTGCTGCCTTCACTCCCTACCGAGGAGGCGGCGAGCGCGACCGAGATCGCCGAGGCGACGCAGAAGATTGATGTTTTCATGAAAGAGCGAGCACGGGAGGTGTATGACCTCCTAATCGAGCTAGTGAAGAATGAAGACCTACCACCGTTCCAGCGAGAGAGGAACACGGGCGGAATCATCGTCGCAGGCTGGTCTTTCGGAACCGTCTGGATCACTGCTCTTCTCGCACACTCAGCCTCATTCGCCACAAACAGCGTAGATCTGAGCGCATATATGCGGCGCGTCATTTTCTTCGGTGAGTAGACGTCGCCTTGGTAGCTCTCCAGTTACGTGGAAAGGGCAAGTACTCACCCACACGTCTTGCCACAGATCCGTCCTACCACCTCCTCGGATATCTACCGCCGGAAACTTCCGGGTACCACCCCCTCCTCGACCCCGAGCTCACCCCGGAGACCATAGACCATGTCTTCGCCCGATGGGTCAGCGGTTACTACGGCCACGGTGACTCGCTGGAGACGCTCGAGCAGAAGACACCCGTGCAGGATCCGCCGCCGACGATCGCCGCGCTGACCCCCGAGGAAGTAGTGCGGGCCCAGTACCTGCCGCCGGGCGCGTCTGGGGGGTCCGACGCGCTGCTATTCCAGAGCGGACGTAGGCTGGGTCTGTTCAAGACCCTCAAAGAGCGGGCGCTGTACCTGCCAAGTCCGGGCGCCCCGTCGGTGACAGCGGGGAATACGTGGCCCGAAGTCGAAGTCTGCTTCACCTGGTGCTTGCGCTCTACCTGGGACACTACCTGGGGTGCGTGGGCGCTCAGGAAGGAGCTCGAGGACGCGGAGCAGAAAGGCGTCGCGATTCGGCGTGTGAGGATGATGCGGATTCGGGGTGCAAACCACTTTGTACGTTCTTGAGTGCGCGATGCTGTAGCGTGATTTAGCCTAACATACTGCTGTTTGTGCAGGTATCTTGGGACCAGCCGGAGAAGGCCTTTCGTGCTCTGGTTGGGGATGAGGATGACGTCCAGTAGTGAGCGCCATACTTCATTCATTCCGTTCACCCATAACCCACGGATGATCTCATATCAATCAGGTTCATTTCAACTCTGATGCGGGGAACAAGCCCTATGCAGGTAATCATACGAATACTTAGCCTGAGGCTTGCGGGAGGATGTATCAAATATAAAATGACTACCTGCCCGCTGGAAGTTTGGAACGACGTAAGTGTGCTTCATAATCCATGCTTACCATGACTACGATGCTCCGTACTCCGTGGAACAACCATTATTCGGTCTTCTAGTCCACCGATTCAAGCATATTCGATCGCAGGTTAACCGGGTGAAGCCCTATCGGAAGCCTGAAGTAGTGGACGACTCGACCGAATACAAAAATACAGCTCGAGCCGGTTGCCAGCAGCTACAGGCCCAATTGTTGTACTATGAAGCGATAGCCCCGGTCGAGAAGCATCCCCGAAGCAACCACTCGCACACCAACAAGGGGGAAATTACACCCAATCAGACTGATCCCGAAGGGCGCTTCCCCGAAATGGGCTAGCCGCACTACCTAGTATCTCGAAGCCGCCGGCGTCCCAGGCGATCCCAACACCCTCTGCGTCCTTGCCTTTCCAGTATACGACGGGCTCTCAACTCTTTTTGACGTCTTACTCCGGTCAGAAACGCGCGCGTTCGTGAGCTAAACCGTTTACGCAGGCTTCCGATCCGTAGCAACTAATCGCCGACTCACCGCATTGACAACGCTCGTTACGGCCGACATCCCGAATTGCGAAGTCTGAACGCACCCGCCCACTGTCCCGCGATGATATCCGCGGGGTCCACATATGAGTGTGGGGATGGAACAGCGCCAACAGTGGACGAAGCGAGACGATGGGCGGCGTTGCGCCGCGTCTCTATCTTCGCGACCGCGCGCTTCCGCCCCCGGAAGCGAAGCTTGCACTCGTAAAGTGCGTCCCCGAAGCGGGCCATCAGACGACGTTATGGCATGCACCCCTTCCATCCCTGCACCCGCCCCTTCCGCTGCTAAGGGGCGCACTCGGACCAGTGTGTGGGCTGCGGGCCTGCGGCGACCGCCGTGCACTGGCGCGTTGCGCCTGTTTGCCGGGCTGCAGAGATGGGAGTGCGCATGCCCGCGTTGCTCAAGTGCGCGAGGTGGGGTGTGTGCCCCTTGGACGTCGCCCGCGACCTCGCGCTTCGTCTCTGCTCCTTCCCTGAGTCGCCGGTCCTGCAAGTTCGCCCTTCCCCTTTGCTTCGACTTGTCTCCGAGCCTCTGCAGAGCGCACGGGATCTGTGCGACCGTCCGCGTATATAGCAGCTCACGCATAGCCGACGTTCCGTGTAGCGAAGTTGCCAACGGCGGCGGGTCCGACTGCCTCACACTCCTTTCTTCGCTTGTCTTCCCGTTTCCCCCGGTTCCCCTACCATGCTGCGCTCTGAAGCAGCGGTGTTCTCGACGTCCTTCGAGGGCATCCTTTATGGTGAGCCTTTGCCCCTGCCCCGCATCGTGCCTGATCGCCGCGCATCTCTACTTGTCGGGACATACACTTGGCATTCACGTTGATAGGCTAACAGGTGATGCGCCCGCAGGACTTTCTGTTTTCTTGTTCATACTTACGCTGTGGGTCCTCTTGCGGAATCGGAAGAAGCGCCGCGTCAACTGGTCGATGGTGTGCGCATCGACAGCGCTGCTCGCCTTCTCCACCATGGTGCGGCATTCCTTGCATGTAATGAGCTCCCCTTGACCTCTTTCGTTGGCAGGAGATGATCGTCAACATTGTGCGCCTATACGAGGGCTTCATCAGCAAGGGCCCGAAACAACCCGGAGGACCCGAGGCATATTTTGGTAACGTCTCGGAGGTATCGTTCGTGCTCAAGAACGCGCTGTACAACGCGCAGACCCTCATCCTCGACGGTGTTGTCGTACGTGTCCCTCTCTACTCCTTCACGCTCGCAACGTACGCTAATGCGCAAGCATGCGCTTAGATTTATCGCACGTACAAAGTGTGGAACAACATTTATGTCGTCATCGTCCCCATACTTGGGTGGCTGGGCCTCGTTGGTAGGCTTTTATACGCCGTACGCTCTCTCGCGGTCGCGGTTTCTCATCCGTTTCTATGCAGCATTCTCTAGCGGCGTGGGGTACTCTCTCGCGACCACATCGGCGGGGTCGAATGACCTTTTCGAGCGGGACACCAGCCTCTGGCTTACCGGCAACTGGTCCATGACCCTCATCACCAATATATGCTCTACCCGTAAGTTCAGAGGGTCTGACTTAACCCGTGGTATCTGACAGTGTTCACCTAGTCGCGCTCGCGTACCGGATCTGGCAGGTTACGAGTAAGTCCGCGCAGTACAGATCCGGGGGCCGTCTCTCGCCCATCCTACGCATCATCGTCGAGAGCGGCGCGCTGTACTCGATCACTGTCACCGCTGCATTGGTCCTCTTCTTGCTTCACTCCAACGGCGTGTATATCGTTCTTGACATGGTAAGCTCCCGCCTTTCTTCGTGTCCGCTACGTCCCTCAAAACAATACTGCGATCCAGATCTCGCCCATCATCTGCATCGTGTTTAACATGATCATCGTGCGCATCGGCCTTGCCGCGGACGGCACCCTCATCCCCGAGCCGACCCAGCCCGTGCCCGCCCCAACGCGCGCCTCCGACGCGTCCCGCCCGAGCGCGGCGATGCGGCGTATGGTGCGGCGGCAGCAGTCGGACACGGAGATGAAGGACATCAACATCACGGTCGAGATCGCGCAGTTCGTGCACGAGGATTTGGAGTCGCGGTCTTCGCGCGAGTCGCAGGACAGGCCGAAGACGCAGAGCGAGCGCGTGCAGAGTCCTGTCTCGCTCACGCTACGGAGCCCTACAAGACATGGGTTTGGGAGCGCGCCGGACGACGGGGTGCTGTCTGTGTTGGAGCGGTCGATATCGCCGCAGGGTGGGCAGAACGGGAGCCAGATACATGTCGTTGCCCTTTGAGCGGCTTGTACCAGTTGGACTCTGGCGTGTTTTTTGTAGCGTGTACTCGGACAATGCAGTCTGTTGTGTTTTGTTTTCTTGGTCATGGTGGGCTGTGGACGCTCTATCCTAACTTCTGGCCGCCACCGTCCCACTGATGCTCCCGCAACCGGTGTTCCCCTAATCAGTAAGCAAGCTTGCTTCTTCCTTCCACCCTGGGGTAGATTTATGCTCACATCGGCGTCTTGCGGCTTGTCTTGATCATATGCCTCGACAGCTCGCAGCATCGTGCGGGAGTACTATCCTTCCCTTCGCTCGGGCGGAGCGCGTGCCATATCACAACGCGACCATGTGGTCTACACACCTTCGACGCGTCTCAGGCCGTCATGCCCACCTTGAAGGATCTGTGGCCTTTGAGAGTAACAAGATGTAGACCTGATTAGAGAAGCTATATATATATGTACATTTGAGGCGCGTGGACTCGGAGCACAGTAATCCTACAGTACAGTGCTTGGACCTCTCAAAGCTTAGGGCGGCAGAGTAACCCTACTACGTCACGGTCAAGACAAAGAACGGCCTGGCTGCGGGGCCACTATCACAGCTCGTCATGCGCATACTGGTCCCTCGGGAAGCGCACGCTCTCGCCCTCGGCGTCCCCGCTGCGCGCCGCGACGAACGGGAAGAGGAAGCGCTCCTCGTCCGGGTCGAGGTACCCGCTGTAGAAAATCAGCTGCGGGTCCTGGTGGCTCGTGTTCGAGGGCTGGTCGCGCGGGACGGGTTCGAGCTCGTTCGGGCTGGGACCCTTGTAGATGTCGCTGATAGACCCGCCGGCGAGCTGGTTCCGGATGTACTTCTTGGCGTCGTTGAAGAGCGAGGAGTATGTGGGAACGCCGCGCTTGCGCTTGACCTGTGCGAGTATGTCAGTAATTCTTGATCTATGCGAGAGCGATGATGACGCCAAGTATGCTCACGGCGTTCTTGATGGTGGCCACGATGGCGTACATCCACGGGTCCACCCTGGCGTCGTTGGTCTTCAGCGCCTTGACGTTGAACTGCGTCTCGTGGCAGCCTGCGAGCAGGACGCCTGGCGTAGCGGTGTGCGTGTCGAGCATCCCGCCGCCCATGCACGACGACGCGAGTATAGTCAGGTTCACGCCGGGCTTCAGGTTCTGGGAGAGCGGAGTCAGTAACACAGCCCGGCTCCAGTAAGTCTCGTACGACGCACGGCACGGATGGTGTCTGCCAGCCAGTCGTCGTAGACGACCTCCTTGCGTATCCCGTCGTCGTCTTCGGCCATGGTCCAGCCCTCGTCCATGTCGTCCGCTTCCCCGGAGCTGTCGTCGTCGGGGCGGATCGTCCCGTGGGTGTCCACGTACAGGAAGCGCACGTCGCCCGCGGCTGCTCCCGCAATCAGGTCGGTGAACCGCGCCTTGAAGCGGGATGCGCTTGGGGCCGCCTGGCCGTCGGATAGCACGCCGGGCGCGCCCGCAGGCTCTTCGCTGAAGTATAGCATCTCGACGTCGTCGGCGTCGAACCCTAGGTGGTCGACAAGCATGTCGCGCACGAAGAAGATGCCGTTGTCGATGCCCGTTCCGTAGCGGATGATGAGGGCCTAGTAACGGTGGCGAATACACGCCGTCAGTGGGGACTTCGGACACGCATCGCAGCTGATGGCACACCTTCTTGCGGTGCATCTGCCTGAAATCGGTGTGCTGCGCCTCGACCGTTGTGGACGCGCCGTTCGGGTTGCGCATGTGGATCGTCGCGCTCTTGTCGTCGCTGAGGATCGTGGCCTCGAATGTGTAGTAGCCGTCGTCGAACGTGCCCGTCGTCTGCCCGCCGGACGCGGACACCGCGCGGAAGGTGCTGTTCACGCTCCTGTTTTGCTTGAGGTTGCCGTTCGCGTCCTCGGTCCACTGCCAGTACAGCCCCACCGGCGCCCCGACCGCAACGCCGCGCGGCACGACGAATGTGATCATATCGTTGACGGCGTAGTTGAACCAGTTGAGCTTTCCGGTGAACACCTCGGTGGACGGCACGCGGCAGGCGTCCGACAGCTGTTCCTGCAGGGTGATAGCGCTGGAAGTATCCCCGGATTGGTTGCGCATTGTAATCGTCACAGACTTGAAATCAGCGGCGACGACGCTGTCGAAGGAGTAGCCTGAGTGGTCGAAGAAAATGGTGATCTTGTACTGGTCAGCGGTCTTGGTGACGGTGGTGATAGAGCCGAGCTGTCCCAGACGTCAGAAACCACGATTGATCATTAAGCTAAGGGAGTACCTGGCAGGTGTTGCGCTTCTCATTGCCTTCGGCGTCCGTCGTCCATTGCCAGTACGCACAGACGGGGTCCTTCAGCGCGAAGCCGGCGGGGAAGACGATGGTGATGCATTCGTCCTTGGCATAGTCTAACCAGTCAAGCTTGCCGTTGTAGACGTACATTTGAGGAGAATGCGCCCGTGTAAACACGGAAAATGAGCAGGACTTGGGATGGCGTAGGTAGAGAGTGAGGCGAGGCAAGACCAGACGAGCGGCGAGAGACGCAGAACGTATGGGTGAGAGAGGAGAGTGCGCTGGTATGGGCGTTGGTTAAGTAGGGACGTCGAGAGAGGGTTTGCGCTTTAACAGCTCGCTCTGGCCCCTTCCTGAACGTGCTACGAACACTACGATGTAAGAGAACCTGAATGCAAGGTGTCAGCATGAGGCCGCATGACCATGAAAGATGCCAGAGGAATTGTCTATCGATACGTCACAGAAATAATCCTCGCCCCGGTTTGACTGAAGAAATACTAGATGTGGACCCACACGGGTACGATTCTCCTTCCAAGCATTCGACAGGTCAATCCGGCACGTCTGGCACCCAGCCTTCGACTTCCCCCTGGTCATAACTATGTCATGCGCACCAGAAGCTGCAGACCCGTGGATGTCGATGGAGCTTGATAGGGCCCTTCTGCTACGTAGCACACATAGACTTCAATTGAGCGACGGGGTCCTTTATTAATCACGCCAGTCGCAATGCTGAGTACTAAGAAGTTGACCTGAGCATTACTAGTTTTTGAGCAGTGAATCGCCGGATGCGCATGCATACGTACAAGATGTTCCATCGGAGTCGTCGAGGCGTCATACACACTTGGTGGCCCAGTGAGCACACTCGGTCCCGGCCCCCCTTGCGGGTTCGCTCGTTCCGCTCGTGCATGACCTTTATGAAGCGGCCCTTTTGATCGCTGGAGGAGAGCAATGGCGTTGAAACCGCCAGACGTATGCTCTCCCCGCAGCCTGAAGTATGCGTGGTCTCACTCAAGGAAAGGTAGAGGGGCGACATACCGCATAGATGGAGGACGTGGACGTGCGCGTGCGTACGTAAACTTTAATTATAAAGGTGGGCTTGAATTCGGCCATTGCCGAACCACCGGCGCCTGCGGGTTCTCGTCCACATCTCATGCATGCATGTTCCAAAGGCCTGTACGCGGTCCTGCGGCCCTGAAACTTGGACAAGTAGCTTCCTAAAGGGCCTAAAAATGTATTCTTTATCCGTAAGCTCACCGGATTTGAATTTCCATGTCGTAGCTGACAGCCCCCACCCAGTCGCGCTCGCATATCGGGCCTGGCAGGTTACGAACAAGTCCGCGCGGTACAGATCCGAGGGCCACCTCCTTGCAGTTGGGAGGGCCGTGTATAGTACTATATACACTCTGTCGTGTGCCAGTGTATCAAATGGGTATGGTACGAATTTGTCCGTTGGATTGATAACATACGGAAACCCCATCACCTTACAAAACAATCTGTTGCATAAACAGCTGGTTCAGCTTGAACGGAGAGTGGGATGCGCGCCTACTAGGACTCCTCTAGCGCTGCTACCGGTCGGTGGTTGCTCCGTACCTACTGCGGTTTGCTGCGGGCCAGTGGCGCGTAGCCTTTTAAGCGCCCATTGAGCAGACGCGACCACGTGGCTGCACGTGGCCTCCACTCCAAGGTGGAACGCGACCTAACGCGACGCGATCGACTTGCAAAACCGCCACCGCCAAGGCGCGACAGGTCTTGAGCTTCTGTATCCACATTTGGAATGTCTTCAGCCATTCTGGGCAGGAGAATTCGAGCTCAGCGCCGTCTTCCCTGTCGCTCCGTTTCCTCTCTCTCTTATAAGACATCGAGCGAGGTCGGGGAGTCGGTGCCACCCTTCCCTTCCCTCCACCTCCCACCATCCACTCCTAACGCACCACCAGTAGGCAACGGCCTCCTCAAACAGCCCGCTATCTCTACTTCACATCGCTCATTCTGCGTACGGCGCGGCGCTGACCCGTCTCCTCTGTAGACGCTTAGGCGCGTTGCGGTAGGGACGCGTGACGTCATCCGTTTTCTCCAACAGCGAGAGCGTCGACGAGGACGTCATGGCCCGTCGACATCATCGGAAGAAAACACATGCTTCAACGAAGACGCTCGATCCTGTCTCTTAAACGCGGTCGCGACGACCTCGACATCACCTTCCTCTCTCAACAACGATGCCGACCAAACACTACGCCGCTCTGTTGTCGCCAACCCACTGGGCGGGAGTAATTTTCAACTTCTACTATAGGCTCGTCCAGCATGCCATTATCTGGCTGTTCAAACCAGTGAGTGCTTCATTTGGCTCATCCTGCACAGGCTTGTGTATAACCTGCGTGCAGCCACCGCCGCCAGGTCCAGAATACCCCAAGAACCCCAAGGGCAGGATAGCAATCATCGGCGCCGGTCTTACGGGTGTTTCAAGTGCCGCGCATGCTATCGCACATGGCTTCGACGTCGTTATATATGAGCAGGGGGACTCTGTCGGTAAGAGTAGCCTACTGGACACTTGCGCCTGGGACTAATATGGCCATAGGCGGCATCTGGGCGCACGTCAACAAGACGTCTGGCCTTCAACTCAACTCCCTTCTGTACCGGTTTCACCCTGCCGTGCTTTGGTCAAAGTCGTTTCCTCGACGCGACGAGATTCTCAGCGGTATGTATGCGCACTCCGGCATACCAAGATACGCCCTCTGACGTCATAGCCAGAAATCCGCAGGATATGGAAGGAATACCAGCTCGAGCCCCGGACTCGCTTCAACACACCTGTAAAGTCGGTGCGCCGCGTGAAAGGCACAGGCGAGCACCTTCAAGCAGACCCCTCTGGCTCGCAGTCGCGCTGGATCGTGAACGATGGCGAGGACGGCGAATTCGACGCGGTCGTCGCTACTGTGGGCACATGCGGAGAGCCCATGCGCATCAACTTCCCCGGGCTGCCCTCGTCGGATGGAGACGCATCGGAGAACGGAAAAGACGGAAAGCATGAAGGCAAGGAGGAAGGCGAAGTATACGAGGGCGAGGTCATCCATTCTTCTGAACTCGACGACGCCGCGCTCGAGGGGAAGCAGGTCCTGGTCATTGGCAGCGGCGCGAGCGGAGTCGAGGCTGTTGAGACAGCTCTCTCCTTGGGCGCAAAAGAGTGCGTGATGGTAGCGCGCGACGACAAGGTGTGCATTCCGTCCCTCGCTCGCATATGTTGTACAGGACTGACGCTCAACTCCAGTGGATCATCCCTAGGAACATGATCATCGACACGCTCATCTCCGCTCAGCCGTTCGGGCGCGAGATGCCGCTCTCGTTTATCTGGGAGAAGATTGTCGCGTTGTGGAACTACCGCGGCGCTCCTGAGCTCGTTCCCGCCCGCGCAGGTCTATTCGAAGGAACCCCTATCGTGAACGACGAGTTCATCGGACATGTGAAGAATGGGAAGTGCCAGTACGTCCGCGCGGATATCGAGCGCTTTACGAAGGCTGGCGTGCGCGTGAAGGTGCGCGGCCGTGAAGACAAGCCGGGTGAAGGCAAAGAGGAGAAGGAGGTGCGTGTTCCTGCCCTCGATGTATGCGTCGCGTGTGAAACTCATTGGCGATTCCCGCAGTATACCGGCGACGTGGTTGTGCTGGCGACTGGTTTCAAGAAGCCGACGATCGACTTCTTTCAGGACGAAGTCTTCCCAGAAGGATACGACGTAGGTTACCTGGAATCGCGATATAGTGAGCCTTGCTGACGCTCGCGCCGCTGCAGCGTCCGAACCTGTACCTGCAAAATTTCGCAACAGAGGACTGGTCTATCCTCGCGACGAACTCTGCCTACCAAAACGCAATCGGCACTGTGTAAGCAACCCACTTATATGCGCTCCTTCCATGTTTCTGACCACTTGTTCCTTCTTCTCCCGGCGTAGTGGCCACTTCCACATCGGCATGTGTACGTGTCCCGACATTTTCTATCACCTGCGGCCCGAGACTCACCTCCTCGTTCGTCTGCCTGCAGACATGCGTATCCTCCTTACGTTCCTCATGGACCCAGACGCGCGCCCGACCCCAAAGGACATGAAGCTCTGGGTCGACGTCATTCGCTTCGTCAAGCGCGGCGCGCGCGGCGGCGCCCTCAGCTTCTTCACGTACGCGGAGCTCAGTGCGTATCTGTCCCCCGTCTTCCTTTCTCGCTTTCCGCTGTTGCAGACCCTCGGCTAATAATCTGTGCAGCGATCTGGCTGCTGCTGTTCCACCTCTTCCGGCTGGACAGGCTGAAATGGTGAGTACTGATCCGTGTTCCGCTCATTCTTACACTGACGTGCGGCGGGCGTATAGGGTGTTCTTCATTATGCAGGGATGGGGCGTGTATCCAGAGGAGTACAAGCATGCTAAGCGGTCTGCTGGGCATGCGTAGTAATGTATCGTTAGCATATGTTTATCATATAGAACGCTCACTTGGTCTTCGCGAAGAGCCTATTGGTGGCCTCAGAACCGTCCACGAGGATATAAAGCAGTCTCCAGGTTGGACTTGGAAGGAGGCCTTCGACCCTCGGCCTGCCATGGCAGGAGCTCGACCGTATCGCCGTAGACGCCGGCATAGCAGTGTGCGCTCAGCGCTCAATATTCAATGCGCATATCTCTCTCTTTCTCTGTCTCGCACCTGCAAACTGTTGACTCTTAGTTCAAGGCCCAAAAATGGTATGTACCTCATAGCGACCGAACGAAATATTCGATGCTCACGGAGCATATATACTTAGCTTCCGCAAGAGGACTCGGAGTTTATTGACCTACTGTCACGGCATTTGGTACTGCCAGCGCAGCACAGTTGCTACACGTCGCCCGATGATGTCCACAGAGTCATTGTAGAACCTAATATGTCAACGCAAGACTCACCAAGGCGTTGATATGCTTTCGTTCGCTTGAGTGAAAGCAACGAGAAGCAATGGCGGGTCAAAGTTTTAGCGAGGCGTCGCACACGTGGCTACGCGCGCTAGTCCACATATCCTCAGGGCATATGTGAGGGATAGCTCGCGTCGCATCGTTGGCTATTCAACGTCGCACACCGGGCGATTTCAAGTCGCGCAGATGGAGTATATAAAGTGGCTACGTATGCGCTCGTCGCCTTTTCGTCCTCTTCCCCACTTTTACCACTGCCTGCATCCATCGACTCGCGTTTTCCCCGCTCCTCATGTCGGATAACTCGTAAGTTTACATCTCCACCCGGATGCCTGTTCGTTTTCAAACGCCACTTTGTATCGCAGGATTCATAGTACGACGCCGCCTCCGGCAAAGCGCGCCCGCGGCAACCACGCGAAGGCCGGCGGAATAGTCAAAGGACACGGCAGCAGTCGCAGTACTGGCAAGTTGGCTGGCTTCATGCATATGCCGATGGACATCTTCATCGAGGTGCGTTTTATCACTATCATCCTCGCGTTTGACTATCATGTCACTTTCATACGCAGATTGCGTCGCATTCGCATCCGCTGGACCTGCTGCACATCTCCAGAACATCGAAGCAGCTGCGCTCGGTTATTCTCTCGCGCAAAAGCAGATTCGTGTGGACGGAAAGCTTGGCCAGCGTTGACGGTCTCCCGCCCTGTCCGGAGGGCATGACTGAGCCTGCGTACTCTGCGCTCTTATTTGATCGTGTTTGCAATGTGAGTGTTCTTGAGTTCAGTTAATCTTCACATACTGATTTGCCATGTGCTAGCTATGCGGTGCTCGTTCCTCCTGGGTAGACTACGCTATCAGGTTGCGGCTCTGCCCGTCGTGCCGCAAAGAAAAGTACGTGTTCCCGGTCGGCAAGTGTCGGTGTCGTCACAGGCTCATGATGCGCATTTAGTATATTGACAGGAAAAGAAATACTACCGGATATGGACCCTCTCACGCAGAGATGCTTAACGGCCATGGTACCTTGTGAGACTGGCAAAGGTACGAACCGCCTCCTCTCGGACTCCCGTCTTCGACTTGTTGAACATGTACCAGATATTGCCGTGGCCGTGCTTTTGGAGCGTCCGTTGATGCACACGCCTGATCGCAAGTATTACGCCCCTCAACTGCAGGCGACGGTTATGCGTGAGCTTCGGGCTAAGAGGGAGGGCGAGACGAGGCGGGAATATTTGGATGATGTTTTCTCCGAGAGCGCGGAGGCGCATGTAGTACGCAACCCCGTACTCTGAACGAACGAATGTGGTGCTGACGATGACTTATGTAGCATGCGACTGCATTGTTGCGATGGGAGGCCGGTGTCGCGTTGAAGAGGCAGAAGGAACAGGATGCGCTGAAGGCCAGGCGTAAAGCTAGGTTAGTCCTCAGCCCTGTAGTGCATAGTAGTACTAACCGCTAACTACGGTGACGCAGCATCGTCGAGAAGGTCAAGGATCTCGGGTACGCGGAGGCCGATTTCCCTACTAGTAACAACGACTGGGCGAAGCTTGTAGACCAGCCTAAGGAGCTCACCGGTCGCAGTACGTGCTCGCACGTCTCCGTATGCCAGTTCTACCTAACGCCGAGCACAGTTTGGAACAACATCAAGGCGAAGATCGTCGCAATGCTCCAAGAAGAGAAGAAGCGCAGGACTGAAGCGGCCTATGCCTTCAGGTTGGAGGCGCGCCTCAATCAAATCTCTGCGTTCTACAACGAGGTCATACTACAGCCGATGGCCGCCGCCCAGCGCGCTCTCATGCCCAACCTCTTCAACTTCCACCGCCTTCCCAGCATCGCCGCGCTCGCTCGGCAAAACGACACTCAAGGCGACGTCACCCGCGACGAATTCTTTGCGCTTATGCCGCAGATCCTGCAGGAAGTCGAGGTCTACAAGACAGAAGCCAAAGCCGCTGCCCTCTCCGTCCTGCATCGGGCTCTCGGATACAAGCCCGAGGTCGCGGGCTGGAAAGAAGACCTAGAGGGCCTGTCCGCGGACGAGGCGCTGACAAGGCAATACGCCCTCTTCGGGTGCCACATGCCGTCGCACCCGTGGCGCCAGAACCCGTACCATCTCACGTTCGAAGAGATGCACGACCACTGGCGCACGGACCATCCGGAGGCGGGATGGGTCGTGCCGGAGTCGTATGAGGGCCGCTCGATACGGAAGGATATATGGTGCTCGGGCGAATATGTTTTGGGGGGCAAGATGCTCGACTCTGCGGGGCTCCCGCGCAATACGCCCATAGCCGTCCTGCCGGAACTCATTCGCGCTGGGAGACTGTACTGCTCCTGTGGCGATCCGGCCATGCCGCCCCCGGAGGAACTGGACTGGCCGAAGTTGGTGAGCATCCAGGTTATGTCTTACATAATTCTCAGATCGCTCATGGACGCTCATTTTACCAGTTCACACACGTCACAAAAGACCTCGCGAAATTTGAGAAGCGGAAGCGAGAAAGGTACGCACTTTCCCTTGGGCTGTCGTCGAGCCCTGTATCTTAGCCCTCTTCCTCCTCCCGCAGAACTAGGGTCACATCCTTCAACCTCCTCCTGAGGTCGCACCACCCGTTCACTGGGCCCGGCGCGTGCATCAAACTGCTCCCAGAGGGAGCGGACACCGCGCCTGCTCGCGCGCGCGCCACCGTCGTCGACTTGAAGACGCGCAGGATGATCGAGGACCGCATGGCGCTGAAACCCACGGGCCCTTACTCCATCGCTGTCTGCCGGCTCTGCAAGGCGCTGACGGCGCGGACTTACTGGAAGGACGGGATGGCCGATATGGAGCTCCCGGAGACCCAAGCGGGGATTGTGCATCACCTTCGTGGATGGTGAGTATGTTATTTGTGCTGAGTTTTGGTGACGCTAATGTGGGTGTACAGGCATGGGAAAGAGTTTCAGAAAAGAGACATCTTGTTCCATAATAAGTAGTTCACCGCTAGGAGCACTTGGCTACTTCACTTTTGAATTTTAAATTGCTTACACCGACGGAGGCGCACTCAGCGCAAGTCGGAGCCGTCTTCGATCGTTGCTCGATCTCGATCAGTCAGTCAGTGCGACGGAGAGCCTAGTTCTGGGTATGAGTCTCTCCGCTGCGGCTGACTTGAATCCGAATAAGCTCCTGCTTGCACTCGGACGCGTTGGTGCACAACTCTGCTTCCCCCTTCATTCTGCTCTCTTCCCGCTCCCTCTAGATCTGCGTCAGCTTTCCCGCTATCCATCTGGACTACTTCTTGCAAACGCTTATTGCGATGACGAGCCAAAAGAAAGACTACATGACAGTACCTGTCGCGCTCCGGGGGTGCCATCATTGCGGAAAGCCACAGGACGAAGTATCGAAGATGATGAGATGCTCGAAATGTGCGGTTGTAAATTACTGCAGCAAAGAATGTCAAAAAGCAGCTTGGCCAACTCACAAGTGAGTCTTTCGCATTGCATCCGCTGAGGCGGAACCCTTCGCGAGCCCCAGAACTGCCCCTGACTGTTCGACCCGTCTGCCTCAGGTCTGCCTGCCGCGTGATAGACGAGAAGAATCCCGAACGCATTATGAAGCACGCCGAGGTCCAGCCGTACGGCTTCCAGACAGTCGACGAGTTCTCGCAAGCACTTCGCGACTTCATAGAGGCGCACTCCTGGACGTTCCAGTCCTACGCGAAGGCACACGTCCTGATGGAAGGCGGCGCGGACAACATGAACAATCCGCCAAAAATCATGGAGATTCGGATGCAGTGCCTCTGCAAACCCGGCGCCGCACGTAACCCCGCGCATACCTTCAGCTTCATGGGGCACGTCTGGTTCACGGTCGAGGAATCTCTCCGCGGAACCATGGGCGCGCGGAACTGGGCGCGGAACGCGGCCCTACGCGAGACGGTGCATCGACAACATAGCAGCCACCCGCGCTTCGTCGGCCTGCTTACGGTGCTCTTCGCGGTGTACGGGATCAGCACGACGCAGACGTTCCTCTACCCGCAATTTCGTTCCACCAGCGCGTTCTTCACGCCTGGCCCGGCGGATGTGGCGGTCAAGCGGATGCTGACGGACATAGTCATGCTGTGTACAGTTAGCGTGCATTTCGGGCTGGCGCTGAGGTGCGCAGAGGGACAGGAGTCCATCGCTGCGCTCCCGGGGCGGATTGTCCGCTCGAACAAGTTGTGGACGTGGGAGCCGCTCTTCACCGACTGGGACGCGTATCTCGCGGGGCCGCGGGGGATCAAATACGTGGATGCGCTCCTCGAGATGATTCAGAACCCCAATATGTCGGTCCCGGACCTTTTACGAGTGATTCGCGTTGTATGTTAGTCGTGCACATGGTATTAGCGGCCCCCCAAACTCTCTGAAGATTCTCAGCGTAGTATGGATATTGAATGATACCGGTCGATCAGCGTTCTTCTCTCGAGGGCGGGCCCGGGAGTCTGGGAAGTGTAAGGTAAAGCCTGAGGTAGGCGGACCTCAAAACAGAATTCATCAGGTTGTGCGCGAAGATAAGGATGTCCTAGAACAGCATTTTATACATTGGTGTATATGAGAATTAAGGGAGATACAACCGCTACAAGGTGAGAAGACACTGAGAAGACGCGCCGAGAGATGGCGCAGAATAGACGCCCGCGATACGAAGGGTGGTGAAACTTTAAAGCAGTGAAATCGCATCTCAGCGTATCCCGTCCAGGCTCAGCCGCTGGACACTCCACGTCCACAGTATCACAGGCTTACATGGAAACTCCAGATGACACCGTCTCCCTCCCTTTAAGGGTGTGTTATCACTGCGGAAAAGCCGAGGACGAACAACTAAAGTTGAGGAAATGCGCGGGGTGTTCTTTCGCTTTATATTGCAGCAAAGAGTGTCAAAAAGCAGAGTGGAAAACTCACAAGTCAGTGCTCTGTGACACCCCCCTATCCTCTCCAACTGACGTCGCTTCAGGTCCCTCTGCACTCGCGGTGAGCACAAACACGATGAGGAGGCCCGATGGTTCGGCTTCCGGGGCGAGGACGAGCTCTCGAGCGCGTTGACGGACTTCATAACGACGCACCTGGACACATTACAGTGCTACGCCAAGGCGGCGCTCGCGTTCAAGGGTGGTCCGCGATACATGAACAATCCCCCAAGACAACTGGAAATCGTCCTGGAATGCCGCCACACCCGCGGATGCTCCCTCGACCCCGCGTCCACGTTCGAGATCGTGGATTCGCGATGGGAGACCATCGCGGAGTACACAAGCACGCCGCTCGGCGCGCTCAACTGGCGGAGATCTGCGGGCAGCCGGGAGGGCGCTCAGCGCGAGTACGGCCACGACCCGCGGTTCGCAGGCATGCTGTCCGTGAAAGTCGTCGTGTGGGGCTTCACTCCGACGTCCGGTGGCTTCTTCCCGCAGTACCGCCGGTCCGCACCATTCCTCAAGGATCTCCATGTCTCGGCCGAGGATATCCGCAAGATGCTGGCGGACGTGCTCGTCCTCTGTGTCGGCAGCATTCGACTCGGGCTTCCGCTGCAGCCCATCCAAACACCGCAAGGGGTCTCCTTTGCTGCTGTGCCGGGTCTGCTCGTCCGTAGTACGAACAAGAGGTGGAATTGGGAGCCGCTCTTGAGGAATTGGGAAGCGTACCTCGAGGGTTCTCGAGGGATCGAGAAGGTGGATGAGTGGATTGGCGATCCAGCCCTTCAGTCCGGGAGGCCATTCGAACAGCTTTTGAAGCTCATTCGCGAGTTGTGATAGGGCGACATTGCGGCGTCCCGGTGGTAAGCTCAACGTCTAAAGCATGCTCAATACTAGTCTCACGTCACTTGTAATATAGCCCCCTCCACGCCACTTCAACCTCCACCTATGCGCTCGAGTTCGCCATCGAGGAACACCGTCCGCGCTCGTCCACGCTTTCCGTTACTTGCCCGACACACAGTACCGTCGCCTCGTTGGCGGTGAGTCTCTTCCGCGTAGAGGTTTTGTCTGGCTATCGCTTCCTGGAAATGCATGGTAGCCTTCGTTTCTTTGAAACAACTCACTGCTCTTTGAAGCATACTGGTCACGATCCACGTGTTGGCATGCGCTGGCGTCTACGCTGTACGAATGTACTACTGTACGTATCGCTCAGCTTCTTTCGCCGGCTTTTGTGAGTCGATTCCAGTGCGCCTGCCCTTCGCTCGCATCGCATTGCTCCTGACCGCGTTTTCATCTCTCTGGTGGTGCTGGAATCTCGATTTGCCTGTAACGAATGGTCGCGGAGAAGATTCCGCGAAAATCGGAGCGGTCAACGATCCTCGCCCGATCTCGATCGAACGCGATCTCCTCTGATCAATCGCAATCGAGAGCCGTCTGTTTCTTTCCTCCTCCGGGCATTTCTTTCCCTCAAGTCGTCCTCCTCGATTTGTTCTGGTCTCTGAGCTCGGCCAGTACCAACAGTACAAGCATCACGTCGCGATGACAAGCCAGAAAAAGGACTACATGACAGTCTCCGCCGTTCTACGGCGGTGCCACCAATGCGGGAAACCACAGGACGCAGCGATCAAGATGATGCGCTGCTCAAGATGCGCATCGGTGGTATACTGCAGCAAGGAGTGCCAGAAAGGAGCTTGGCCTATACACAAGTGAGTGTATATCCTGCGGAGTGACAGGGATGTCCCCTGACAGCTTAGCTCACCTTTATAGGTCTTCATGCCGCCCAGTAGACGAGACCAATCCGGAGCGCATCATGAAAAACGTAGAGGTTATTCTGTACGGCTTCAGGACTGCGGACGAGTTCTCGCAAGCACTCCGTGACTTCATCGAGGCGCACACCTGGGCCTTTCAGTCCTACGCGAAGGCGCACATCCTCATGGAAGGCGGCGCAGACTACATCCACAAGCCACCAAAGCTCATGGAGGTCCAGCTACGCTGCCTCTGCACACCCGGTGGCGCACGGAACCCCGCGCGGACTTTCAGCTTCCTCGGGCACCGCTGGCGCACAGTCGCAGAATACACGAGCAAACCGATCGGCGCGCGTAACTGGGCGCGGTCCGCGACGATGCGCGAGGCGGCGCACCAGTACAACAGCGGAGACCCGCGCTTCGTGGGCATGCTTCCGGTGCTCTTCGCCGTCGAGGACATCAGCTCGTGGCAGACGTTCCTCTACCCCCAGTACCGCCCGTACGCTGCGTCCTTGAAGGGCCCCAGCGAGGCGACGTTCAAGGGCCTGATGGGGGACGTGATTGCGCTGTGCGCGAGCAGCATCGAGCACGGGCTTGCGCTGCGCTGCGCGGACGGGCAGGAGTCGATTGCTGCGCTGCCGGGGCGATTCGTCCGCGCGAACAAGCTGTGGACCTGGGAGCCGCTTTTTACAGACTGGGATCGGTATCTGGCGGGGCCGCGCGGGATCGAAGGCGTGGACGCGCTGCTCAATCTCGTCCGAAATCCCCACGTCACGGTGCCACAACTTTTGCAAACTATCCGCGTAATATCCTAGCTCTATGTCGAATTAGGAATGACACACGAGTAGCTCAGTGAGTCTTTCTGCAAGCCATAGAACAACTTATGCTCACTGATCGGGTTTATATTTCCTGCGCCAAACAGTGTAGACTGTATATGAGCGATCCCCGGCCGCGACATAGAACTCGACGAAAAACACCCTATCCGGTTTCACTTCAATGCCATTTGGGAACGACGTGCACGCCAGCAGTTGACTTTGTCATACGGCACTCAGTCGCCTACCCCTCGTGCCTTGACGAAACACTGGCTCGCCGAACATGAGCTCGGCTTGTAATCTGCCTCTGGCTGCATGTTTCCCTTGCCCGTCCTTGCGTACACTTACTCTTCTATGGCACAGCATTTGGCGATCATTGGCATACTCGGTTCAAGTGCGATTTGACCTGTGAATAAATCCATACCATGCTGCTATGGATGTAATTTGCGGTGTGGTACGTACTGGTACGTACGGAGGAGAATGGATGAAAGTCAGGGTGTGCCGCGATCACCGGCGCCTGCGTCTGCCGCGGGTGCCGCGGCCCGAGCCACCAGTCGTGTTTGAGCAGACGGCTTGGGACAACCTTACAAGTTACCACGACTTACACTCCTCAGTCAGTTCTCGTATCGTACTCTTGAACGCTCAGCTCTGCCCAAGCTTCAGCCAGGGAAACGTGGCTAGCTTCTGTGATCTTGTAGCTGCTGCCAACATCTTCTTCCGATACGATGGCAAGTCAGAATGATGCAGGCCGTTCTACTCACATCGCGGGAGGCATCGTGACTCTGCGTCAGTGCGGTCACTGCAGGAAATCTGAAGGAGGACAAGTTACGCTCAAGGCCTGTTCGCGGTGTCAAGCCAAGCTCTACTGCAGCAAAGAGTGTCAGACGGCAGAGTGGAAGTCCACTCACAAGTGAGTCTTGATGCATTTGCACGATCGCTTCCCTCCCCGAAGAAGTGGCGGTGCTACTTATAAATTCCGACCTCTGACCCTTGCTTGGGGCTTTTCAGGTATGAGTGCCGTGCACAGAACTTCGGAAATATCCCGGAAAGCTTGAACGAGCCACTCAATCTCGTCGCTCAGATCAACGGTTTCCGTAGTGCGGACAAGTTCAACCAGATCCTATCGGATTTTCTGGACGCCCACTCATGGACTCTGCTGCACTACGTGAAGGCGGGGGTCATGCTCATCGATCGCGATCCGGAGTATGCCAACACACTACCCGGGAAGCTCCTGGTGTTCGAGTTACGCTCCACCGTCACTCGAGGCTCTTCGCGCAACCCTGCGCAGACGTTCCAGCTTCTAGGGTATCGCTGGGAGACCATCGAGGAGTACACGAGCGAGCCTTCCCACGCGCGGATCTGGCAGGAAACCGCTCCGCTCCGTGAAGCTCTCCACAAGAAGGGCAGTCATAACCCACGATTCGTCGGTGTACTCCCCGTGCGCTTCGTCGTTGAAAACATGGTCTCTTTCAAAACGTTTCTTTACCCCCTCTTCCGCCAGCGCCCCTTTACCCCGCATTCCACCCGCATGTGGGAGGAATCGCGTGACGATATTTTGACCATGGCCCGTGCGCTTTTCGTCAAAAGCATCAACTCCGGGCTTGCGTTGCGATACGTCGAGGAGCAGGAGTCCCCAGCGGTGTTGCCGGGACGCTACGCCCGCCAAAACAAGAGGTGGATATGGGAGTCACTCTTCACAGACTGGAACGAGTATCTGTCGGGCCCTCGAGGCATCGATAAAGTGGACGCTCTGCTCGAACCGTCCACCGGCGGGGATGATTTTTCAAATGTACCGGGAATATTAGAACTTGTCAATGCAATGTGACGGACTTGCGCAACTCGGTGGGGCCTACCCTCACCTACCACCTGTTCGCTGCCGCTAATCATAACTCTAGGCTCGTCTGCTTGTGTCGTTTCGCATCTTGCCCCTTCTCCTTTCGCTTTGGCACCCCTTCGACTCCTTCGACGTGTCCCAGTCCCGTCCCATCAAATCACACTTCCTGCTCGGTTTGGCCACGCCGCTATTTTGCCCGGGGAAGGCTAGAGTCGGTGGCCCAAGCCGCTCGGAAGGGTCCCCGGACGGTCATCCATGACGTCGATCTTTCATGTCGCTTCAGCCATACCGAACACTCCCGGCGAAGTACCAATATCATCCGCTGACGCCTGTGTATACTGTACTACGCCTCTGGGCGCCCATCGTGAAGACATCATCCTTCGTTCCGGATCCCAGGATCGCTGAATGTTCTCGTCCAACTGTTCTGAGCCGAGCCCGGTGCCCATGCCCTTCACTCACATCCGAGTCCTCCTGACCGCATTCTCATCTCTCTGGTGTTGCCATGGACTCTCGGTTGCCTGTCACGTATGTTCGGGGAGAGGAATCCGTGAAAACCGGAGCGGTCCTCGGTCGTTGCCCGATCTCGATCGAATGTGATCTGCTCTGATTCGGATTTTCTGTTTCCCCAATCTCTCTCCCTCTCTCTCCCTCTCTCTCCCTCTCTCTCCCTCTCTCTCTCCTTTCTAGCTCTCTCTCCGCGTTTACGGGCAGTTTCCTCTTTCCAGCCGTCCCTTCGACTCGACCCTAGTTTCTGAGCTCAACTAGTTCTAATAGTTTGAGCCTCACGCCGTGATGACCGCCCCGAAAAAGGAATACATGGTCGCCTCTGCCGCCCTACGACGGTGCAAACATTGCGGAAAACCACAGGACGAAGTGGTCAAGATGATGCGCTGTTCAAGATGCGCATCAGCCGTCTATTGCAGCAAAGAGTGCCAAACCGGAGCCTGGCCAGTGCACAAGTGAGTGTCTCTGCATATCCCGTGGAACCACAGAAACATCCCTTGACAGCCAAGCTTCCCACACTAGGTCTTCATGCCGCCCAGTGGACGAGTCCGACCCAGAGCGCATCATGAAGAACGTTGAAGCTATTATGTACGGTTTCCGAACCGCGGACGAGTTCCGGCAAGCACTCCGTGACTTCATCGAGGCGCATACCTGGGCCTTCCAGTCCTACGCGAGGGCACACATCCTCTTGGAAGGCGGCACCGACTACATCCACACGCCTCCAAAGCTCATGGAGATCCAGCTACGCTGTCTATGCACACCGGGCGGTACGCGGAACCCCGCGCGGACCTTCAGCTTCGTTGGGCACCGCTGGTGCACGGTCGCGGAGTACACGAGCAAACCCATTGGCGCGCGCAACTGGGCGCGTCTTGCGTCGATGCGGGAGGCGGCGCACCGGTACTATGTCGACGACCCGCGCTTCGTGGGCATGCTCCCCATGCATTTTACGGTCGGGGACATCAGCTCTGCGAAGATGAACCTCTACCCTCAGTACCGCCCGTACGCCGCGTCTTGGAGGAGCCCTAGCGAGGCGGCGTTCAAGGGCCTGATGGAGGACGTGCTGGTACTGTGTACGAGCAGCATCTCGCTCGGACTCGCGCTGCGCTGCGCGGACGGGCAGGAGTCAATCGCTGCGCTGCCGGGACGATTCGTGCGCTCGAACAAGCTGTGGACTTGGAAGCCTCTCTTTACCGACTGGGAGCAATATCTCGCGGGACCCCGAGGGATCCCAGGTGTGGACGCTCTGCTCGACAGCATCCATAACGCCGGCTCCCTATCTGTCCCAGAACTTCTGCAAGTCATTCGCACGATCTCCTAGCCGCACCCGGAGATGTTACCATATCCACCCCGGTGAGTGCTCTGTGAGGATCATGTACGTATGTCGTTACACGGTACGTGATAGTAATTACCGGAAATTGTGAATGAGATGCTAATCTATCGCGCTTATGTGTAGAGCCTGGCGCGCCGTACAAGTACATGCGGTCCTCCCTTCCTCGATCGTTGGAGTCGAGACATTCTACGCTGTAGCGTACAACTCCGTTCGGTGATTACTGCGCTATCATGCATGGCCGTACGTTCGGTTCATACAAGGTCTGATCTGGTGCTAATCGTACGTAAAGGAGTGTCCGCGACCGTGTGACTGGACAAATCACAAAGTCCAACCATTGTCCGGAGCGTCTACTGCATCTTGACCTCCTCCTTGTTCCCCACTTGACACTCTACGCCCAGACAGCGCTCTAGGAATCGTGCGCGGGTACATAGCTAACGCATCTTTACCCCTGTACCGCTGAGTACGATGACAAGTCGTTATGAAGACTACATGACTGCCCCCATCGCTCTGCGACTGTGCTACGGCCCGGGCTGTGGAAAGCCCGAGAGCGAAGAACTAAAGTTGAAGAAGTGCGCACGGTGTGCGGTGGTGGTCTACTGCAGTAAAGAGTGCCAAAAGAAAGACTGGGCAGCTCACAAGTAAGTGCTCCATTGGTTCGCCATCGACATCCCCGATTCGTCGGTAGCTTCGATTCGCTGACTGACAATATGTTTTGCTCTAGGCCTGTGTGTCAGACAACCGATGAGGCACAAAGCCCGATATATGTCGCGCAGAAACGCTACGCAAATGCGTTTGGCTTCCACACCGCGGACGAGTTCGTGGCAGCGTTGAGGGACTTCGTGGCTGCACACACATGGGCGTTTCAGTGCTATGCGAAGGCGCTCCTTGCTGTCACGGGCGGTCCAGACTATATGAACACGCCGCCGAAGCAACTATGGGTTTATTTGAAATGCGTTTGCACCCGCGGATCCTCCCGCAACCCCGCACAAACCTTCGAGCACCATGGACACCATTGGCAGACAATCGAGGAGTACTTGCGCACGCCTACCGGCAAGCTCAACTGGCAGAAATCCGCAACGATCCGGGCGGAGGCTCAGCGCCGGAACAGCGGCGCCCCGCGATACGCAGGCGAACTCCCCGTGCTCTTTTCCGTAGAAGACATCAACTTGTGGCATGGCGCCCTCTACACGCAGTACTACCCGGACCCACGCGCCGCGGTCCTCCAAGGCCAAGGCCCCGACGGGCTCTCAGCCGAGATGCGCAGGGCGATCTTCAAGGACGTGCTCACGCTCTGTTCAAGCAGTATCCACCTTGGTTTAGCGCTGCGGTGCGCCGAGGGACAACCGTCGGTTGCTGCGCTGCCAGGGCGCTTCGTCCGCACCGAGCTGAAAAGGTGGAAATGGGAACCGCTCTTCACGGACTGGGACCAGTATCTCGCAGGCCCTCGAGGGATTCAGGAGGTGGACTACTGGCTCGGCAACGAGAACGACTCTGGACTGCCGATCCCGCTGCTTCTACAGTATGTTCGCGTATTGTTGTAGTCACGGCTGCGTGCGGTGCGCTCTCGTTCCAAACATCTTCAGTCGTATCCAGTGCTTACATTGGGTACAGACCTCAGACTACGGGCCGCTTTCACCCCGTATACAATACCCTTCCTAGTCCTTACGGCTTCACCCCCTCTTGGTGGGCCCGTGTTCCCTCTGAGCGACCACGCTCCCCGCTAACGCTATGTCCCCGTCTGCGTAGGGGAGACAACACAATATGTATACGTCTTTGAATGTCGTCTGATCCACTTGTTTGATCTCAGAGGCGCGTGTCACCCACAGCTGCGAGCTTCTACGCACTGTGCTCAATACCGCGAAGAATGATAATGAAAAATGGGAGTATTGCACAGGCATCTCTAATACGTCAGTGGACATTACAGTCTCCACCTCCGTTCATCAGGACCTAACCGTCTGTTACGGTGGACATACATCACTCTGAGGCCCAGCACGGACAGCGCCCCAATGAGCAGGAACCCGGCATTCGTATAGTGTCCAGTGGGGTACCCGGGCGACTCGTTGCTCTTGTAGATGTACACGCCTGCGCCGAACGGTCAGACACAGGTGAGAAGGGGACTCAGGGACCTCGTACCGATAATTTGGCCAATTTGACCGATGGAGACGTTCAGCGGGACACCGAGCGTCGACGCCCCGGTCGTCCGCAAGTTGGCAGTCAGCCAGCTCAGGAGGGGCGGTATGCACGCGAAGGAGAAGGAGAGCGCGATGATGAAGAACGCGTAGCGCAGCTTGAAGGACTCCGAGGGGAGCGCACCTGCGTGCGAGGCGTATCGATGAGCAACCACGTCAGTCGTGTTCATAAGCGGGTTGCGCACCTTCGACAATGAAGCAGGCTCCTGCAATGGCCATCGAGATGGCGGTGCCCAGAGAGCGCTTTTCGTACCTGTCCGACACCCACGCGACGGACACAGTGATGACGAACGCGATCGCGTATGGCGGCACGGTGAACAGCTGCGCGTCCAGCCCACGGTACCCTAGCCCCGCGACGATCGTCGGCGAGAACAGCGACATGCTCGAGAATGGCACGGAGATCGTGATGTACGTGAGGTAGTGCACGTACAGCCGGTAGTCCTGCAGCGTTGCCTTCGCCTCCGCCCAAGTGATGCTCTGGTGTCCGAGCGATGCGACTCCCTTGATGCGCTCCGTCGCGAGCTCGCGCTCGTCCTCCGACAGCCAGCGCACCGTCTCTGGGTAGTCCGGGAAGAAGAACCAGACAAGGATTGCGCCCGCACACGACGGCGCACCCTCGATGAGGAACAGGTAGCGCCATGCCTCGAGCCCGTGTACTCCGTCCATCTTGCCGACGCCGTACGCGATCGCGCCGCCGAATGCGCCTCCCAGAGTCGCACTCGCGAGGATAAGCGCGATGCGCAGCGCGCGCTCTTCGGGGCGGTACCAGAACGTCAGTACGTAGACCATGCCAGGGAACAGTCCGGCCTCGAACATCCCGAGCAGGAAGCGCACGGCGATAAGCCCGCCGAAGTTGCGGATGCCACCAAGGATCATGGTCATCGCGCCCCAGGAGAACATGAGGAACGCGATCCAGCGGGAGGGGCGGAAGCGCTTGAGCATGTAGTTTGAGGGCGTCTCGAAGATCGTGTACGACACGAAAAATATCATAAGCGCGGTGAGGTATTGGTCGTTCGTGATCCCGACGTTCTGCATGAGCGAGTGCCCCGCGTCTGCATTGAGGATCTTTGCGTTTCCCTACAACACCATCAAGCTTGTGCGGTTGTGAGGATATGATCCAAACACTCACGATATTCGAACGGTCGAGGGAGCATAGGAGATAAATGACCATCGACGCTGGGACTATCCGCAGGTCAATTCGCCGTATCAATCTACGTCGCGATGATTAGCTTTCAAGCGCGTCGCAAACACACGGACGTAAATCCACCTTTTCTCCGCTTCGGGATCCACAACATACGTCGACGCTTCCTTAGCATCCTCCGACACGCTCACCGCATGCTTCTCAAGATCCTCAGAGGCGGTCGAGACCGCGCTCGCCCGTCTGTGGTCGTCAAGCATGGTCGAGCAATGCGGGGCCAGTCGTGAGTAGCCGAGAGTGCGGGGGATGGACTCTGGAGGGGCAAGTCTGCCCGCCGTCCTCTCCCCGCGCCGCTTTTATTGCCCGCGGGCGACGTACGATTATACGCCCGCCGGCAGCGATCCACACGCCAATCTCCTTACAGGTCATAAGAACCGCGCGCATGGGGGAGATTGCGAGACCTGCCGTCAAAGCCGTGAGCCCGTTCGTCAGGTGAACCGCAGATGGCGCCCTCCGCGCCAGTGTGCCTGATGATCGAAAGATGGGGTCCTGCGGGGAAGACTTAAACTCCTTTGGTCCGGGGCGACCGGCCCTGTCCGCCAATGCAGCGGAGAGTATTGGGCTGGCACAGAACCTGATATGCATGGAAGACGAACCGGGCTTTTTGTCAGTGGCGAATGGTTTCGAGTGGCCGCTACAGCACCGCACAGAGTCAGTCCTAAGGAAAGCGTGATTAGAAATGATGGCCGGATAGTTGTCCTAACGAGTATGATACTCTACACCCGGTCTAAATACCTGTAATCCTCCGCCCGACGATATCTGTACACTGAGCGACGCACCATAAGCAGACACTATGTCCGCTCTCCCCGCACGTCCGCGAGACCTCAGCACCCCAGAAACTCCCTCTTGAGCAGAAGGGCCCATGCCATGATGGTGTAAATGATCCCCGCGGGTAGTGCGCACTTGACGCCAACCTGCGCCCAGTCCCACCTGCGTCGCTTGCTCTTGCGCATCAGCTCCTCCTCCGGGACCGCGCTCCCAGGTGGCGCAGGAGCCGGGACGATGTTCGAGGTCACCCAGAGCTGTATGCTCCGGCTGCAGCACGTCGTAGTACCGATAGCGGCCCAACAGATGAGTGGTCGCACTTCGTGGTCGAGCAAGGTCAGGGTAAGGTGCGTGGCAGGCCAGCAGATAGCTACAGACAGTTCAGGATCATATATGACTGGAGCAAGTGCCGACGCACTCACCTTGAAGCGCGAGCAAGCGGATAAGGGCCGCGAAGGGGGAATAGTAAACCTTCCATCGCTTGAGGAGGCCTGTTGTCAATTGTAGACATTGCCATCCTGTGAGCACGGACTGTGGCGACGTTCAGTGGGTTGGCCCTCAGAAAGGTTGGACGCTACGCACCCACAATGCACAAACAAAGTAGTCCACTCTGAGCGCGTCATCCCCATAGGGAGGCGCGTATATGCGGTAGATATTCCACAGGGTGCCGAAGATAGCGGGAACGATAGAGAGGAGGCGGAATAGTTGGAATAGAGATTGGACGAGCCATGCAGTCGACGCGGGTAGTGAGAGTTGCTGGGATAAGGAAGAGGGTCGGATTCTCGCGGTGGGCAGATTTCGTGGCTGCAAATTCGTTCGGCCCGAGAGGATGGATGTGTGCACGGAGGTACTCACCGAATCCTCGCCCTCCGTCTCTGTTTCCCCAGCGCATAATGCTCCAGGGGTGGTCGTTATCGGTCGTGTCCAATGCTCATCACATGCTCTCCCCTTGCCCTTCCCGAGCAGACGATGTCGTAGTGTATCCGCGAAACTGCGCCCTTGCGACCTGAAAAGTACCCCATCGTCTGTCTCCGCACCCGACTCGTCTTCGTCTGATGTAGGATTGATACGTGGAGGCGAGCGCGAATACTCGGAGAAGACCTGGCGAGAGTGTGACGCGAGCGACGAGACTGGACGAGGATCTGCCGCACGATGGAGGTGAGGAGAGGACGAGGCACGCTTCGTAGGGCCGATAGGGTGTACCTCCGGAGGCGTGAGCGAGTACGGCGGCGGACTGCTTGGGGGCGCACTCATGGCGAGTGCGGCTTGGGTATACGTGCGGGAAGACCGTCTTCGAGGAGGGGATGTAGCAATAGAGTGCGAGCGGTGACGCGAGGTGGAGCTCGATGCTGCTGATGACGGCGGGGTGCTATGCGAGACGAGGACCGCGACGGCGGGTACGATGAGCGCGCCAGATGGCGGTCTGTAAGGCGGTGGCTCCTGTTGGTCTGTCGCGTCGTTAGCCATTGCGCGGGGCCGGGGAGGATATGCATTCTGCCTGGACTCACTCCGAGGTGTAATATACCACGCTCCTCTCGCTGATCGCCGCTAGCACTATTGCGGAGAAAATGGAGGCGACTGGGCCGCTATCCAAGAGCTCCAAGCCTCGTTCCGCCCGAACTACCTCCCGCAAGTCTGTCTGAGGGCGTGGCAATCCGCAAGGCACGGAGGACTCACCCGCGACTCCGACGACGCGAGGCAGACGCCGCGCCTCTTCCGGGCTCGCCCTTGCGCTCCTTTGTTTGACTCCCGACGGCCTTCCTCCATTCAATTCATGGTGCTATCATGCCCACGGCGTCGTAACCAACGCACCTCGTTCGGAAGTCACGTAATGTGCGCGGAAATGGGGGGCCGGATTCGGGGGTGGTGGTGGTTCATGGACAAGGAGTTCGAGGCGCGACGCCGCGGGTGAGTCCTATACAGTAATGTCTGGCGTAGGTCGAGACGAATTTCCTCGCGTTCCTTGGCAAAATTCATGCATTCAAACTGCAGTCAACCGCGCGTTCATAGATTGTGAAACCTGGGACGGAGTGATTGTGCAGCATCTCTGCATCCAACGCCGCCCGCACTCTTCCCACAGGAACTCCGCTTGCGATCTTCGAGCAAGCAGTAAGCTTATCTCTTAACTCGAGGGTTGCTTCTGGTGACAGGTAGCCATGATGAGAAGCTCAATGAGCTTGAGGGGTGTCAGGTTATCCAAGTATACAAGACGTCTGACAAGAAGAGGGGTATCCACATGGAACGTGGTACGCGCGATAGCAGCGATGCGCTCGCAAGTTAGAAGATGCATCCAAGAAGATACTCTGCAATGTGCGAGCGAATAGACGTGGGTATACATTACACGATATTACGGTACATTTATCTAAGCCGATATTCCGTCTAGCGATGAGCACGCAACGGACCTCAGTAACGGATCTCCGAGAATAGTAGGGGCATGAACACGACACATGCCGTCCAGAACTGCACAGCTTGTCAGCACAGGGACCTGAGACAATGCACGAGGCGGGTACTCACCACCTGCAAGCTTTTGAACGCCAAGAAGGGGTACTCGTCTGGTCGCGGGCGTGCGAGCACGGGCTTGCCGTCAACCTCACCGACTCGCCGCGGGTGTGTGAAAAGCACCCAGATTGCGTAGAACGCAACCGTGAAGAAGTGCCGGAAGAGCAGGAAAGGTGCCTGTTCGATGCTGAGATGACCGTCAATATCAGGGTGGTCATGGCGCTTGGGCGGCGAACTCACCCAGCAAGCAAGGAGACAGGGTCCCGGACGCAATTGCCGCCAAGTTCAAAGTACTTGAAACATCCGGTGCGGAGGACGTCAAGTATTGGGTCTGGACAATACATGTCAGTACCTCACGGCTGAGTGGATGACACGGACAACGTACCATGCGCGCTGAACAAATCATATAGCGCAACGCTCAGGATGTTCACAGTGGACGCGAGAGGTTTGCGCGCCCAATGCCACTTGTGCAATAGATGCGAAATCTCCTTCCAGTCCGCAAGGTCCTTCACGTCGAGCAGCATGTCACGCAGAAGCGCGACGTCGTTGAACGCGACCATCATACCACCACCGGTGAGGGGGTGCCGCATGTTCCAAGAGTCGCCTAGGAGGATCACACCCTCCTTCGTGACCTTGCCCTGTTCGGACGGAGGCAGGAAGGAGTTGGGCATGCGGCGCAGACGCTCCTTCTCGATAGCCTTCTGCGCAGGTAGATGCAATGACGCGGGGAGTGTGGGGACGACCTTCGTGAGAATATAGTTCTTGAGGTCGGAGGGGACGGGGTTCTTGACGTCGACGAGTATCCGTGTGTCATGCGTACCGATCTGGTACAGAAGCGCCAGTCCATCATCCATGAGCGCGACTGTGCCGTGCTTCGGAATGGGCAGCTCGGCGTCCTCCAGCACGAGTCCGACGAAGTGGCCCTTCACGTCCAGGGGTAGCGCCGCCTTGCCCATGACTTGATTCCGGAAGTTGGAGAAACAGCCGTCCGCTATGATGGTGAGGTCCCCAAAGAACGCCTCCTTCTCCACCGCGTTCTCCTCCTTGCGCGTTGCACGCACACCGAGCACGCGCCCCGATAGCGGACACTCGATGAGCTCCGACACAGTGGCCTCCACGACCTCCACGGAAGCTGCCTCCTTCGCCTTCGCGCGCAAAGCCTGGATGAAGCGGCCGTGGTGGAACGCGCGACCCTCATAGCCTTCGGGGTAGGGTATGTGGACAGGCTTACCATCCAGAAGGATACAGTAGCCGTAGGTCGGAATGGCGTCAATGCCCTCCACGCACGACTCCAGCCCGAGGTTCTTCAACGCCATGATTCCTCCCGGCTGGAGCAGCTCTCCGACTATCCGGTCGGGCTCCGCGAGCGACCGTTCGAGGAGACATATGCGCAGGGGTCGCGAGCGTTGGGCGGCGGCAGCAGAGAGGGCATGAGCGAGGGCAGACCCGGCGATGCCGGCGCCGACGATGAGGATGTCGTAGGAAACGGACCACATGTTGTCTCGTGAGGTCGTCATCGTGCTGGGCGGTTTATGAACGTCGTCGGCGAAGCTCCAGCCCTGCCGCTATCGGTCTGGTCGATGGTCTGGTCGTCGTCGTCGGTCTCGACTTTCGCGTACATTTTGGAGTCGTTCCACCCCGCAATATATAAATCGAATTATCTTGAGCTGTCGAAGCTCCTGCCATATCAGGCCATTTGCCCCAATGGGGATTGCCGAAACGTGTGATCCCAGCCTATTCGCATGCGCCTGGTACACTGCCGGTTGGTATGTTTTTCGACATACGGTCGTCCACTCAATGCACTTCTATTTCTACTGATACAGAATTATTGCTCCATTTCAACGCGGCTTTCGTACCTTCATCCCCCTCAGACTAACTCTTTCACGAGGTCTCCTGAGACTCATCTCGGCGGTCGTCCGCATACCCTCGCGCAATCCCACTTCGCCCTTGCTCAAGAAGGCTGGGAGCGTCCTCACCAACCCGAGTCTCAAGTCCACGGAAGCTCCGCGTCTGGAGGAATTGAGCTACAGGACGCAATCAGCAAGGAACCCTCAGTTTAAGTGAAACAATAGCGCGAACCTGCTGCGCTGTCGCCCATTTTTAAGAGGGTGCCCTCCTGGTTCCGTAGAATCACAGCGGAGGAGTCTGCGTCTTCGCTGGTAGCCGGCTCGTCTGCCCCTGAAGCGGACGTCACTAATATGTTCGCCGATGCAAAGTTTTCCCTGACCTCCGTAGCGTTTTGCATGGCGATATTTCCCTGTGATCAAAGAGAATACCGGCTCGTCTAGATCTTCTGGCTCGTCCTCTTCGCGGATCTCCGTGTCTATTTATCATGAGCATGTTACCGGTGAGGATGTTTTGGCTCTCTTACTTTCTAGACCTTCCTTGTGCTCCCTTAGTAACTGGCCAAAGTCAAGGACATAGCGTCCTGTCCAAGTCTGCGTCGGCTGAAGAGCCACTTCCAGCTCGTACGGAGTTACTATCGGTTGCAGGAATTCCTGGAGACAACGCAGGATCTTAGTATGTACTCCATCCTCTGTTTCATACCATACGTTACCTTAGCATCCAACAGGCTGTTCTCCGGACATGCCACGAGGACGAAGCATTCGACCTCCATGAAGTTCCCTAGCTTTGCGGGGTTTGGCTTGCCCACGGTGATCGTGTATGACTTCTTGTGCGCTTTCTTTATGATGCTGCGTAGATGCGCGATCAAAGGGAGATAGTTCGCTATGGGCGTACATCAATGTCTGCAAATGAATTTGGGTGCGCTCGGAAACAAGACTGACCGACGCCCAGAGTTCCAACCAGGATGCCGATGACGTCCGCATCTCGCGCTTTTTGGACCGCTCCGTATCGCCGCATGAGCAGCTTGTTCGTCCGGCCGGACTCCAACCGGGTTTCTCGAGTGGCTGGGTTGTAAGAAAACACCTGGACAAGACGTTTGAGCGACACATCTTGCGCAAAATGCATGGAACACACTTCGTATGACGCATGCGTAAGTAGCAAATTCGTAAGAGTTAAGCACTCCCCGCCGATATATAGAATGACGCTGTCTTCCGGAGAGGAACCTTCTTGACGCGTGTCTTCAGATGGGCTTGTGGATTGGGTATTGGAGGTATTGTTGAGGTGTGGTGAAGAACCCTGCTGTCGTTCGGCGGCGGGATGCGCAATCAGCGATATCGGTGTATGTAAGATCCGTGACAAGGGCAATCGTTGTCTGAGTTGAGTGATCACTTCATCTGCAGGGTTGCTCAGTATGCACGAGTAGGCAACTAGACTACGTCCATTCATACCGGCTTTGTGGGCATACGCTACATCGTAGCGGAGCAAGATGGTCTTCTTCTCTGAAGCCTGCAAAGACTTCAACGTTTCCGAAAAGCTGTCGGCGCAGTGTGATGGATCCACAGGCTTCCTCCCTAGCACGTAAATGACGGGAAGCCGTGAAGATCTAATGGGAAACTCGTGAGCACATGGATTACAAGCGCATCATGTTATATAACGCACTGACTCATGCATGCATGTCCGTAATGAACGAGTGCGTCGGCGTCTACATGTTGTGCAGCGACTTCGTCCACACAACAGCTGGATGAAAATGAGTTTATCGACCTAATCTGACTTGGCGAAATTTGGAGCTCACCTCCCGTAAGTGGTGTCCGCAAGCACATATAGCTCTCGGTCGGACGCTAGCCTAGACTTGAGCGTTTTAAAGATGGGAACAGAATGGGGCAGAAGCTCATCAGGGAACTGCAGCGCGATCTGTGGGCATATGTGAGATACGTCATAAGGGGGCACTGCTCTGGCTACTAGCCCTGTTGAACTGCCCCTTTTCTATTTCTTGAACCGTTCGTTCGATGTCGAAAGTGTCTTCGAGTTCTTCCGCCGACAGAATGCTTGGAATGTTTTCCTCCAGCTCAATCGTCCTGGTGATGACGTCTGCTCCGGAAGAGGAGAACGTTGCAACTTCCGCCATGTTATCTACACCTGCGGGTAAGTAAGAAAACCGTCGTTAATGCTGGACAAAGTACGGTTGGAGGATCGGTAAGAACTTCTTTACGCGAATAAACAATCAAATCAAGACGAGGGAGGTTTTCTAGGTTAGGGTCGCACGTTGACGGATGACACATAACCCTAACGTAGGGCTTCCGCACCGGCACGCCAAAATTCGATGCGTGGGCGCCGTGCCGAAGTCGCTCATCACCGTCCGCCATGTCCTCCTCCACGTCGGCGCAGGGCGTCGTTGACCGCATCCAGAACTTCGTCTCTGAGCACAAGCATGCTGTCCTTATTAGTACGGCTGCTGCGCTGGTCGCCATCGGCGGGGCAGCCTATTACGCTTCGTCAAGCAGCGGACCTCGCGGTGACGTAGAGAAGGGCGAAGGCAAGAAGGACCGCAAGAAAGGCAAGAAGAGAAAGACGGTCAAGGACGACGACGGTCCCATCCTTGAGGAGCGTAAACCGAAGGCGTCGGTCGTCGAGGAAGGTGCGTCGCGCGTATGTGGAGGACCAGAGCTGCAGCTCATCAGGACGCAGAGGAACCAAACTACACCGCTGAGGAGATCGCTGTTCTGCCCGAGGAGGTGCGTCGTATCTTCGAGTAACCCGACTTGGCCTTCATGATTTTCCAGGAGCGCGTCAAGGCAGCCGCTTCGCTGAAGGCGAAGGGCAATTCTGCGTATCAGCAGCGCAAGTTCGCCACCGCTATCGACTACTATACCCGCGCAATTGCTGTCACTCCTAAGCCAGAACCCGTCTTCTTCAGCAACCGTGCCGCGTGTTTCGTGAACTTGAACCCTCCACAACACGAGAAGGTTATCGAGGATTGCGACCAGGCTCTTGCTCTTGACAAAAACTACCTGAAGGCTCTCAACCGTCGTGCAACAGCGCTCGAGGCTTTGGGCAGATTTGAGGAGGCTCTCCGTGGTATGTCGCACCGTATGCATCTCACGCGAACAATATTCACGCTTGTGTGCAGACTTCACGGCGGCGGCTATCCTGGATAAGTTCCAGAACATGTCTGCTGCTGAGTCGGTCGAACGGGTGCTTAAAAAGCTTGCAACGGACAAGGCGGCCGAGATCTATGTGGTGAGTACTCCCTAGCGAAGTAGTGGCGGTCCGCTGACGCTATACAGACTCGCGAGCCGCGGCTCCCTTCGCATATGTTCACCTCCGCGTACTTTGGTGCTTTCCGGCCACGTGAGTTCCGAAGATGCTGGTCCGCTCGCGATCATTAGTTGACACTTCAACCAGGACCGGTTCTCGATCTCCCCGAGAACCACACTACGGGAGACTCTACGCTTCGTATGGCACTCGAGGCACTTCGGGCTGCGGACTACGCGCACGCGTTCACGCTTGTGAATGAGTCGATCGAGCAGGGCATCTCCTGGGACGCCGGCAAGGCTGAGGCTCTGAACCTTCGCGGCACCTTCAAGTTCCTCATGACGGACATCGAGGGCGCCAAGGCGGATTTCTTGCAGTCGATTGAGCTTGCACCCTCGTTCACACAGACCTGGGTCAAGATTGCAAGCGTATACATGGAGCAGGGCGACCCGAAGAAGGCGTTCGAATGCTTCGAGGACGCGATCAAGCACAACCCGAACGACCCGGACATCTACTACCACCGTGGACAGGGTATGTTGCTTTACGTTATGATTGCACCGCATATACTTACAGACTGGCAGTTCTGTTCATCATGAACGAGTTTGCGGAGGCCGCAGAGAACTACACGAAGTCGACTGAGCTGGACAACCAGTTCGTGTTCAGCCACATCCAACTGGCCGTCGCCCAGTACAAGTCCGGCAACCTCGCAAACAGTATGGCGACGTTCAGGCGGACGCTCCAGGCGTTCCCTACTCGCAGTGAGCCTCATAACTACTAGTACGTCTCTCGTCTCGCTGTCGCCCCCGCCCAGTCTAACCGGGCTCCAGCGGCGAGTTGCTTTTGGATCAACAGCGCTACCCTGAGGCGATCCAGAAGTTCGACAACGCCATCGAGATCGAGCGCGCGAAGTGAGTTGATTTTTTTTTAAAGATCACGCGCCCCGGACCTGACCATGCACTTTGCAGAGCACCACCAATGAACGTTCTTCCCATGGTCAACAAGGGGCTCGCCATTTTTCAGTCCGAACAGAATGTCGAGGCGGCAGAGAAGTGCTGCCAGGAAGCGCTAGAGATCGACCCCGAGTGCGAGGCAGCGGTCGCGACACTCGCGCAGCTGAGCCTGCAGCAGGGCAAGATCGACGTCGCGTTGAAGATGTTCGACCGGCAAGCAAACCTCGCGCGCAGCGAGCCCGAACTCATCTCCGCTCTGACCTACCAATTCGTGAGTAATTTCCTGATCCGCCGCGTGTCCACACCTGACGTCCCACGTAGGCCACGCAGGCGCAGGTCAAGTTCATGGAGTCGTACCCGGAGATGGCGGCGCAGCTGGGACAGATGGCGAGGATGATGTGAGGCGGTCCTCGACGCGCGTGGACATTGGCTTGAGTAGTTCCGGCGTGTTACTTGACTTGCTTATATTCTATCGTACTCGCATCCATAAATCTATCCTCACTCCCTTGGCCTCTTTACTCATCACTATGTCCGCGTATGTACGTGCATGCATAGCATCATTGCTCTTGATGTCGTCGCCGAGGTTGCAGATCTGCAGAAAGCGGTGGCGAAAGTGATCAAGGGGTGATGGTTCCGAATATGTCGGGCTCGGCTTGCTCAGGCGCGTCTTTGTGCTGGTTCACTCTGCACCACCACGACCTCCGCTACGCCCATCTCACGCTCACGCTCTACACGACACTCAGCTTGTTCTGCTTCTAGGTCTCGGTGATTGTAAACCCCACGAACTCTAGCTTTGTTTGACATCGCAATCTATACCTCTGATCATGGATACCTCGGGCCCATCGACTCCGCCGGACGGCTCCGTGAGCCAGTCGAAACGGCGGCGGCAGGTCGCATTCTACCCAAACATGAACGCTACGAACAAACCACAGAAGCCGTTCAGTCGCAGCGCGGCGAAGCGGGAGAGCGTGATGGCGCTGGGGAGCATCGAGTATCTGCAGCACTACTTCACGAAGACCGGCATCGCCGCCGAGAGCGAGTGCGTACTAGTAGTGAGCTCTCTCTGACAGGTATGCTTAAAGGGTTGCAGTCCGTTGCAGAAACCGAACAGCGGACTCAGGCCGGCAATTGGTGGGCTGCAGACTCTCCAAAACAGGTTGTCGGTCGCGCCGGACTTTGTGCTGCCCCCATCCCCGGCCATGCCTACCGCACCACGAATAACATTCCCGCCATACGTCAAGACGTTCGAAACCGATCCCGAGAACCTAAGACCGGGTGTCATCGAAGACCTCATCACCGTCGCCTCCGGGTGGAATCTTGATCCCCAGAAGCAGGCGTCCACTGAACAGGACCCGAATCTACTCGGAGTCGGGGGAGGGTCAAGAAACAGCATTGATATCCTCGATCTCCTGAAGAACACGACACGCGCAGTCCGCTCCGTCCGCAACTACCTCGTATCCCTCCCGGATGACGCCCAGGCGCCACAGAACAAGCCACATTTCCGTCCACACACGCTGTCTAGCTCACCGCTCCCAAAGCGCCAGGTCTCGCAGCCAAATTCCCCTCACGACCCGTTGACACGCATCCGCGGTCGCGCCCTCGAGGTACTGGCAGTACTGCGTGAACTCGAAGAGCGCGCACGCCTCCCGCTCGATCACGACGCGTACGATGCACAGAGCGACCATGGGTCGTCGAACGACGCAAATACTGCCCCGCTCTCCCGCGGTACGTCGCCCTCCTCGCAGATCGAGGATGCCGATTTTTTGGACGCGGACACGTCCGTCTCCATCTCATACGTCGACGTAGGTGGCCGTCAGCGCCAAGTGCCCGTCTGGGAGGACGAGGAGTCATCCTACGATGTAAACAGCGTCAGGGAGGAGGACAAGCGGGACCGGTGGGACGAGCGGCTCGTTTTGGGCGGCGGGTGGCTGTACCAGCAGAACCTGCGGATGGAGGACCTGGCGCGCGAGCGGGATGTCGTCAGCCGGTATCTGGACGCCGTAGACGATGTGCTTTTCGGAGGTGCAAAGGAGGGCAAACGGGGTTGGGAGCGTGAGAAGGAGCGGGTCGAGAGGAAGGAGAGGGCCGACCGGGAAGCCCGAGCGAAGGGGCGGAGAGTCAGTGCTGGGGACGCTTCAGGCCACTCTGGCGAGGGTTCAGCGCGGGCGAACCGACGCGTGGTCTCTACAAGTATGCTCGACTCCTTCCGGGGCATGACCGTGACAGAGGAGCCGGAGGAGATGGAGTCTCTCCAAGAAGAGGACCTCATCGAGGACGACGACCTGCCTGCGTGGGCGAAGCGGACGACGTTTATTGGCGATGACTTCGGTGAGACCGGTTTTCAAAGTGGCGCGGCATGGAAGCTAACATTCCATTGCTAGGTCGGCTGGTCGCGCTGTTGGCCGCTCTACTTCCGGGAGACCTCCTACGGCTGCTACCCACCGACCCTGATGAGCATGCCAGCATCCTACGCGTGCTATCGTCAGGCCAGCTTCTATGCACGGCCTACAACGCTGGCGTACGCAAGTCGCGGAAGCCATGGGGCTACGTTGACAGGGACGCCATACACGACATCGCCGCGCTCGAGCTAGCACAGGCGGTCGAAGGCAGCACCGAGGCGAAGCGCGGGTGGACGTTCCGCAGGACAGACAATCTACGTCTGTGGGCAGCGTGCGTTTTTTCCCCCGGTATCACGCTCGACCGTGTTCAATTTCACTGACACCTCTGCAGAGCTCTCAAGCTGCGCTATTCTCTGCCGATCGTCCTCCCGGGCAACAAGCGGCCAAAGGAGGGCACCCCAATCAGCGGCGGATCCCGGACACCCGCAGACGGCAACACCCCGCTCCCTTCGCCCTCCGTTTCTGCGGTCAGCTTCCCAGCTACCATCACGGAGGACACCATCCTCTTCGACGCGCCGCTCGTCGCGCGCCTGGAGGATGGGTGGGAGCACGCGCTGGAGAGACTGGTGTTCAAATGGATGGATGCGGTCGTGAGCGAGAAGCGGGGCGAGCGATAGGCCGCAGGGGTCCCGTCGTCATTTCTTGGCTTCTTTCCGGGGCATTTGTATACCCCGCTCCGGGTACAGGTTTGGTCTGGTTAGCATCAGCAGAAGTGGTTTGAAGAACAACAGTATAATGTATCGAATCAATGTCGAGATGTATGCATACACAAGAGGAACGAGGTCGCGTACAGTAAGCAGTGAAGAAGGGATGTTAACCAGTTGTGGCTACTGTGGACGGCTTCTTTTGTATTCCGGTATGGTGTAACGGCTAACATTACCGCCTTTCACGCGGTAGCTCGGGGTTCGATTCCCCGTACCGGAGATTTTTGCTCTTTCACCACATATACAAGCCCCCCTCACCAGTAAGTACTTTTGCTGCGCGCACAACTCATGTTGGCGAATGTTTTGCTTCTATTGCTCCACTCGGAAACCTGGGGCAAAGCCTAAGCCACGATTGACAGGATGTCGATCGTGATCGGTAAGTGTACTTCGTGGTGTTGACAGGAGTGATCGCGGCAGGGAGTCAAGATCGACGTCGATCTACCTTCGGAACCGAGGTGCTGGTCAGCCCAAAACCAACCTCGACGCCTCTACGATAGTCGTGAGGGTAGATGACGACGATCGCGAAGATCCCTCTCACAGAGTGGGAGAGACGGTTCCAGTGCGCGCGTAGAGCGGAGATGTCCCGACGGCAGAGTATGTAGGATTATGCAACGAGTTGCTGAAGCAGTCGAGTCAGCACAACTGTTACAAGCGGCGAGAAACCAGAAAGGGCTCACCTGAGGCGCGTTGTCACAGTAGACTGAGGAGAAAAAGCAGGCGCTGTACGTCTAGATATTCGTGCTCGCACTGGACGAGCATATCGTCCACCGCCGCGGTTCCCCGAGGGCCGTCAAGGTATTGGTCCCAACCCGTGAAGAGCGGCTCCCAGACCCACCGTCCCTTCGAGCGAACAAAGCGTCCTGGAAGCAGTTCCGGGACACGCCGCGCCTCGGTATCTCGCAGCGGGATGCCCAAATTGATACTGCCGACGCAGAGCGCGAGCCCGTTCGTCAACAGCCTGCGGCGCGACTCCTCGTCATGATCGCTGAAGAGTGCAGGGATAGGGTGGTGCTGGGCGTAGAGATTTATCACATGCAGGGAGTGGACGTCCTCGACGGTGTAGACCACGGGGAGCATGCCGAAGAAGTGTTCGCCGCCGCCGCCCCGTTTGTGCGCGACCTCAAGCGTTGGTGCGAAGTTCTGCCAGCTCCGCGCCCGATCAGGATCGCTCGTGTATTCCTCGACCGTCCACCAGCGCGTGTTTAGGAACTTGAATGTGAGCGCGGGATTTGTAACTGCCGAATAGCCGCTAGAGCAGAGGCACTTGAGGCGGATCTCCAGGATCTTCGGTGGGTTGTGCATGTGGCCCGGACCGCCCCTCAAAAGGAGCTCCGCCCTCGTATAGGCGTGCAAAGCCCAGGAGTGGGACACCATGAAGTCCTTCAGCACTCGCGGGACCTCATCTATGGTTTGGAAGCCGAATCGGTGGACCTCGGCGTTCCTTAAGGGGCGTAGTCCGTTATCGGTGTTGGATTCGCTGTATGTCAAGCACGCGAATCTAGAGCAATACAAGTTGTCAGAGGCCCATCCGGCAACTTGTGGGGCAGGCTCAGCGCCCTGTAGGGATTTTATCCGCGGCACTCACTTGTGGATTGGCCATGCCGCCTTTTGGCATTCCTTGCTACAGTACACGCCGGTTGAGCACCGCGCGCACCTTTTCAGCTTGACGTACTCGCCCTGAGGCTTTCTGCACTGGTCGCACCGCCGAAGGGGGTCAGCGCGGCTTGTCGCACGGTCGTCTTGGCTTGCCATGGCATCAGAAATATACGTTGAAGAGCGCCGAAGGGAGAACACCGAGGCTCACGACCTGGCTGATCACAGGACAGAATGATAGATCGAGGTTAAAAGCAAGGTGCGCGAGCGTCGCGATAGCTGCGTAGGCGCCCGCGATGCATGATCGACGGTGCACTCCGACTTTCACGGACTAGCTCGTTGAATGACCGGCACTTGAAGCTTGAGTATACTTACAACATCTAATCGTCCTAACACAATCTGTGCTGAGATAGGACGGTCACCAAGTAGTATCAAGTACAAGAGAAGGGATAGCGGTAGAGGTGTGCGGCCTGGGGCCCTCATGTGGCTAGCGGCCGTGCACTATGGCATCCCCGTTCGAGACGGGAGCGACAACCTGGCATCCCGCAGATAGCACAGTGATCACCAAACGAATTTGTACGATACAGAGTAGAATGTCTCGATTCCAACGCTCGAGTGAGGGGGGCCGCTTGTACTTGAACGGCGCGCAGGCTCTACGCAAAAGCTCGGTGAATCAGTCTCTCATTCTCGATTCTCGGTGAGTATTTTCACGTACCGTGTAACGAAATACGTGCATAATCCTCATAGAGCCCTCACCGAGGTCGGCTGCGGCTATGAGATCATGCGAATGACTTCTAGAAGTTGTGGGACAGACAGGAGGTCGTCGTGGACGCTGTCGAGCAGAGCGTCCACGCTTGGAATCCCTCGGGGCCCCGCGAGGTATCGCTCCCAGTCGCTAAAGAACGGCTCCCAGACCCACAGCCTGTTCGAGCGCACGAATCGTCCCGGCAGCGCAGCGATCGACTCCTGTCCGTCCGCGCACCGCAGCGCAAGCCCGAGCGAGATGCTGCTCGTGCACAGCGCAACCACGTCCGTCATCAGGCTCGTGAACATCGCCTCGCTGGGGCCCTTCCATGACGCCAGGATCGGGCGGTACTGGGGGTAGAGGTTCATTCCCATAGAACCGATGCCCCCGACGAGATAGAATACGGGGAGCATGCCGACGAAGCGCGGGTCTCCGATGTAGTATTGATGCGCCGCCTCGCGCGTCGCCGCGGACTGCGCCCAGTGGCGCGCGCCGCTGGGATGGCTCGTGTACTCCTCGACCGTGCACCAGCGGTGCCCGACAAAGCTGAAGGTCCGCGCGGGGTTCCGCGTGCCGCCGGGGGTGCAGAGGCAGCGCAGCACGAGCTGCAGGAACTTTGGCGGGGTGTGGATGTGGTCGACGCCGCCTTCCAGGAGGAGGTGTGCCCGAGCGTAGGACTGGAAGGCCCAGGTGTGCGCCTCGATGAAGTCGTGGCGTGCTTGCCGGAACTCGTCCGCGCTCCGGAAACCGTACTGAGCGACCTCTTCGTTCTTCATGATGCGCTCCGGGTCGGACTCGTCCACCGGGCGGCATGAAGATCTTGTGCGGGAAGCTTGGTCGTCAAGGGATGTTTTTGTCGTTCCACAGGATATGCAGATACACTTACTTGTGAGTCGGCCAGGCTCCTTTTTGACATTCTTTGCTGCAGTATACCGATGATGCGCATCTTGAGCAGCGCATCATCTTGAGCACTTCGTCCTGTGGTTTTCCGCAGTGTTGGCACCGCCGTAGGGCGACAGACGCAAGCATGTACTCCTTTTTCCGGGTGGTCATCGCGTCGTGAGTCTTTTGCTGCTAGTCGAGCTCAGAGGCCAAATGCAAGATCAAATCGAAGAAGACGACGAAGTGGAGAAGACCATCTCTCTCTCGATCGCGATTCATGTTGATCAGACCAGATCGCGCAGATCGAGATCGGGCGACGAGTGGGGATCACTCTGGCAGTGGGTTGAACCAAGGTAGAAAGCAAGTCAACCGGACAAGAGTAGAGAACGTGGTGTACTGACTGTCCTGTTCAGTAGCGTTGTGGTGCAGAGGCAAACAGATACATAGTGTACAAAGAAAAAACCGGGCGCGATACTGAACGCTTCGGCAAGCGCCGAGGCACTCGCTCAGATTCAAAAACCAACAAGCCCATTTCACGGACTGTCGTACGAGTGTTAATCCATTCAATACCTAAAGCGCACATAACTAGTACTACAGCGCGCATGGCATATTGACATATGATAAGATCGTAATCGGTGTGCTTAGAGCAACGAGCTATTAACACTAAACGAGTGCCGACATGCGTTTGCAAAAAACCGATGGCCTGATGAAGATTACACGCGGAAAAATCCGCCATCGACGGCACAACAGCATCAAGAGATTCACGAAGAACGACGGGTTCTCGGCGAGCGGACGGATTCTTAGCTGAGCGCCGAGGAACCCGGGCGGTGGAGGGCACTGTGTGTCAAGCGACGTCAGACTAGTTGTGCTGAACATGCGTTGGGCATTGAGCTTACCGCCGTGCCGCCGGGATATAGCCCTGTCATAGCACACTAAAGAGCACCATAAGTGTATCGAATGCCAATCCAGATTGTAGGGCTGCATCGCCGACCAGACTGTCCACCTTCTGGATTCCTCTAGGGCCCTTGAGATACTGTTCCCAATTTGTCAAGAGTGGCTCCCAGTTCCACCTCCTGTTCGTACGGACGTAGCAACCCGGCAGCGGAGCGCAGGACACCCCGATTTGTGGCTCAACGGACCGCAGCGCGAGCCCGAGGCGAATGCTGCCGACACAGATGACGAGAGCATCCGCCAACATCTTGCGCACGTCCTCGCCCGAGACATGGGGCGCCTGGAGGAACGGTGCGAGGGAGCGATGTTGCGGGAAGACCATGCCGGAGTTCGGGGAGAAGCCCTCTACGGCGAATTGCACGGGGAGAGCGCCGATGTATTGCGGGTCGCCGCCGTACTCGCGCTGAATCATCTCCCGGCTGGCTGCAGACCCCTCCCAGTTGAGCGCGTTATGGGGTTCGCTTGTGTACTCCTCGATGGTCTCCCACCGCGATCCCACGAGCTCGAACGTCGACGCGGGATCGAGGGTTAAAGATCCGCGGGTACAACGGCATTTTAGGTTGAATTCGAGCTGCCTCGGAGGGTTGCTCATGTACTGCGTTCCGCCCTTGAGAGCGAGCTCTGCCTTCGCGTATGCCTGCAGCGTCAGCATGTGCGCCATGATGAAGTCTCTCAACGCGCTCGAGAGCTCGTTCTCGTCCCGGAAGCCAAACACTCGGGCCTCAGCGTCATGTCTCTTCTCACTGAAGTTGCAGAGGGGCCTGAAACGACGTTAATTGTCGAGCATGGGAAACACTCGAGGCACTTACTTGTGAGTTGGCCATTCCTTCTTTTGACACTCCTTACTGCAATATACAGCGGAAGAACACCCCGCGCATCTCCTCAACTTGAGTTGTTCGTTCTCGTATTTTCCACAGTGAAAGCACCGCCGTAGAGCGGCGGGGACGGTGACATATCGATTCGCCATAATACGAGGCTGTACAGGAGATAGAAGTCTGCGACACTCGGAGTCGGAGGTGGCAGCCGGGGAGGTGTTTGGCAATCGTCGCCGGTGAAACTCAGAACTGATTGCACCAAGTTTTGCCAGAGACCAGTTGTCCTCAAACAGTAGATTCAAGTCAGTGGGATGAGAACTGATGGAGAGAAAGTCGTTGCAAGTCGGAAGAGAGAACGAGAGGCAGCGAAAAAGTTGATGCGATTAAGTTGACGACTGCACGGTTGGGCGCTAAGCGCTAACCCGTGTCATAACCCGGGGAGAGAGCTAAGGGGTTTGATCTATTGACGCAGCATTACGGTAAAGCAGTCCCTAATACAGCTAATTACGTAATACTTAGACCACAAACGTTCAAATTCGCACGCGTACTTAGTATGTACGGTCACCCGTTCTGAGATACTTACACACCCTGACAGAGAGGGCTGCTAAGCAAAGTATCATTCATTGGAGCCTTCTAAATACTGACGTACATCTACTAAACCGATAGCTAGGCAAAAATTATACGCGGCACGAGGAGCTACATATAATCCTTCGTATATGTTGGGACACATGCAGCAGAGCTGAGTGCGTGGATAGAGGTTCATCAGAAGGAGGATGGGCACATCAAGGGAGAGTAATACAGAAGGGATGGGGATACGCTGTACTGGGGGAGAGCGACTTGTAGACTATGAGATCTGCACTGAAGGTGAGTACTTGGATTTATCGAGTATACATCGGACAGGAAGCTTACTGTACACGGGGATATGCCTATAACAGTACGCGAACCAGCTGCAGAAGCAGTGGGACGTCCATCCGGGATCGTATGGGGCTACCAAGCAGGCTGTCCACCTCCTGGATCCCTCGAGCGCCCGCGAGATACTGGTCCCAGTCCGTGAAGAGCGGCTCCCACCGCCATCTATTCAGGTCAGAACGGACGAAGCGTCCTGGCAGCGCCGCGACAGACCGCTGTCCCTCGACACACCGCAGCGCCAGCCCAAATTGGATACTGGCGGCGCAGAGGACGAGCACGTCCGCCAGCATCGCGTTACGCATCCCGACCGTGACCCAGGGGCTCCAGAAGGCTGCGGCGCGTGGGTCCGGGTAATACTGCGTGTAGAGGACTCCTTGCCATGTAGAGATGCGGTCTACGGCGAATAGCACATGGAGCTCCCCTGCGTATCGCGGGCGTCCGCTGTGCGCGCGCTGAGACCTCTCTCGAGTTGTTGCTGATCTCTGCCAGTCGAGTGCGCCGGTTGGCGTACGTATGTACTCCTCGACTGTCTGCCACCCAGCTCCTAGGAACCCGAACGTGCGTGCTGGGTCGAGGAAGGATCCTCGGACGCAGAGACACTTCAGAAAGATCCGCAGCACCTTCGGTGGAGTGTTCATGTACTCGGGGCCGCCCTCGATCGCGAGGAGTGTCTTCGCGTAGGACTGGAACGCCCACGTGTGCGCCGTCACAAAGTCCCTCAATGCGCCTGAGAACTCCTCCACGTTCCGGAAGCCGAACCTCTTGGCCTGGATGTTCTCCCGGATATACTCGGGGCTTTCTTGGCCGAATGTGCGACACGCAGGCCTGACGAGAGACACATTGTCAGCGGGTGTTGTCAAGTCACTGATAGTTCGAGGACACGGGCGAGAATAGCGAACCCGTGGGACACGTACTTGTGAGTTGACCAATGTTTCTTTTGACACTCCTTACTGCAGTACACCACCAGTGAACACCGGGCGCACTTCTTCAGCTTGAATTGTTCGCTCTCGGGTTTTCCGCAGTAGTAACATTGCCGTAGGGCGATGGGCGCAGTCATGTAGTCTTCGTAACCGCTTGTCATGGTACTATGTAGGCAGGGAGGAGGGTGTGTCTTGGTGCCCGTAGATAGTTCCTGGTACGCTGCGTCGGTGTAACGTCGAGAGAACGAAGATGAGAGCAGGATACAGTAGACGCCTCGAACCGTGGTTGAACTTCCCCTTTACATACTTCGAACCGAACAACTGTAAGCCAGCGTTTCGTCGAAGCTGGAAGACGCCAGGCGCGATGTCCCACCATGCGTAGGCACCTAAACATCGCATGGCAAAGAAGGTGATTGTCTCTGAGTCTCACCCTGTTCTCAGAACCGGGTAGCTCCAGCGGCGTCGTAGCGACATGCGGCATATAGCTAGACTTCGCTGCGAGACTTACTGAACTAGATATGATGACACGTATGTGTCATGTCTCCCGGTAAGGCAGGCTAGGACATCGAGTAGATGGTTGGCAAGGGTTGCCGCGTCGTGACGTCCGAGTCGGGGTTTCGGACGATTGCGAGCAGACCGTCCACCCTTCAATCCGGGCCTTGCGAGATCTTGAACCGAGTCCGTGAATAGCGGCTCTCGCTCGCACAGCGTATTCATGCCGACGCCCATCCGCGCATCGCAGCGCGAGCCCGAGCGAGAAGCTGCTCATGCACAGCGCAAGCACGTCCGCCATTAGGCTCTTGAAGGTAGCTTCCCGAGGCCAATCAACAACGCAGCGGACGAACAATACTGGAGGTAGAGGAAGGCTTTCCAGGAGCCGATGTCGTAGACGGCGAAGAACACTGACGGGAGCATGCTTGCGAAGCGCGGGTCCCCGTTGTTGTACCGGTGCGCGGCCTCGCCCACCGGCAATGTCGCAGAGCGCGCCCAGTTGCGCGCGCCGGTGGGTTGCTTGTGTAGTCCGCGCGGCCGCCAGCGATGCCTGAGGGAGCTGAAAATTGGAGCGAGATTTTGCGAGCGCCGGATGTACAGAGACAGTCGCTGGACCCCCATGAGCTCCGGCGGCGCATGAAGATAGTGGGCATCGCATTCCACGACGATTTGCGCTATCGCATAGGACCGGAATCCAGGAGTGTGCCTCGACCGAATCGGGTGAAGCTTGCGAGAACTCATCGCTTCGCGGCGCACTCGGAGTTGTTCTTGTCGATCACGCGAGCTAAACCGAACCGCCAGTTCCTGAGTTCTAACCGCATACAGGGATGGGCGAGACTCACTTGTGAGTTGGATAGATTCCTTTTTCGCGTTCTTTGGGGCATTGGTACAACACGGTCACATATCTTCGTAAGCGTCTATACAACATCTGTCGTTCCGACTATCCCTGTGATTCGAAAGGTCGCAGAGTAGTATCACACGTCGATATGAGCATACATAGACGAGGCATTTGCTATGTGTGAACCATGGAGAAGATACGAAGACAGAGCGGAGGTGGGAGTCCAGGGCGCGGCCGGCGGAGAACCGCGCGTTCATCCAGAGATACGGCAGGGAGGTCGAATGCAAGATGAGAGAGGTTGAAGCAAGGTCAGAGCGATACAAGACCACTCTCAAGGAGACAGCCGCTGGAATCTAGCTGGACCCCTACCCAGACCGTGTCCGAGTCTGTGTTGAGGCCGTCGAGGAAAGGGGAGCCGGTGGATCCTGGTGTGTACTTCGTTGACGTTGCTCAGATCGTGGGTTTCGGAATGAGGGATGACCTCTTCCTGATGGTGCATGAAAGCATAGCGTCCACAAGTGTTGGCAGGCGATGCGGACGCCGCGTCGAGCGTGATTGGCATGCTTCAGACGACGTTGACAAAGGGAGGTGATAGATCGATGTTGGTCGTGGATTACGGCTCGGGCACCATGGACCCGCAAGCGACTTGAGTCGCCGGCGATAGCCCTTCTCGATGCGTTGGTTACATCGTCGATTCGAGAGCGTGATCTGTTGGTACGGCACTGTCGGGACACGTCGAAGGAGGCACAGAGCCAAAGCAAAGGGAAGAAGGTGCAAGAAGTGACGCGACACGAGCCGAGGAGACTAAAGCCGGGGTCAGCGACAGCAAACCGTTGAGAGTTGAAGGTGAACCTCACTGGCTAGGCCTACGGTCGCATCACGATGCACGGATGATTTCGAGTACTGCCCGTACGGATAGCTCCTCCGGGATCTCGCTAAAATACATTGCGAGCAGAGCATCCACCTCTTTGATTCCTCGAGGGCCCGCCAGGTACTGGTCCCAGTCCATAATGAGCGGCTCCCATAGCCACCTTTTGTTCGAGCGGACATAGCGCCCTGGTAACGCCGCTATGTGCCCCGGGCCGTCGGCACATCGCAGCGCGGACCCAAGGTTTATGCTGCTAGAACAGAATGTGTGCGCCGCGATGAAGATAGCATTACGCTGTTCCTCGCCGAATTTTCGCGAGATGTCGGGATGCAGGCTGAAGTAGGCGCGAACTTGCACGGTCCAGGTCGCCATGTGCTCGACTGTCCAGAGCACGGGGAGTAGACCGGCGAACCGCGGGGCACGCCTATAGATGTTGTAAGCGTCTTCGCGCATCCTTGCGTTTTCTTGCCAGATCCGTGCGCAATCAGGATCGCTCGTGTGCTCCGCCACGGTCAGCCAGCGGGACGCTACTAGCTCAAACGGGTGCGCGGGGTTGATCGCGGAACCTCGAGTGGTGAGCGATCGTAGCCTGATCTCCAAGAGCTTTGTCGGGCCGTTTGCATGATCCAAATCGCCTGCGAGCAGGGCATGTGCCTTTACGTAGTGCCGGAATGCCCAGGAGTGGGCCTCTATGAAGTCCCTGAGTACTTGGGAGAACTTGCCTATACTCCGGAAACCGTTCAGCTGGACATCGACTTGGTGGCGCGCGGCATCGTGGGCATTCTCATCCCTTGCGTAGCAGCGGAGCCTGAGATACCCGATACCGTTAGAGACCGGTACCTCTGAGTCGTGCCGCAGCCTCTCCGAGGGAGGAGGACAGCTGTGCGAATGAGTTACTCACTTGTGAACGACCCACGCTGCCTTCTGACATTCTCTGCTGCAGTACATCGCGGATTTACACCGCGCACAAGTCTTCATGGGGGCTTGTTCACTCCGGGGTTTCTTGCAGTGGCTGCACCTACACAGAGTGGCGAGTTCTACCGCATTGTTCTGACTTGCCATCGGGAAGTCGAGAGGAGAATTGATAGTAGCAAGGTCACACTGACAGTGGATAGCCACAATTTGATACAGCCTGGGCGGACAGAAAGAGCAGAGATTTGATCAGCCCAAGTCTTGACTCTTGTCAATGGTGGGATCGGTTGAGGAACGTTGGAGGAACGAGCGTAGAGCCTGAGCATACCGTGTGCTTACTAAGAGGGCGAGGGCGAATTAGACAACGAGCGCTTGTTTTTCTTCGCTCTCTCCCTCCACGTTCTTGCGTTCAGTGCAACTGCAGTCTTTTGCAAAAGATTTATTGACACCTCTTTCGGAAAATACCACTCATGGCTAGAGAAAGGAACACCCTCAGATCTCAACGCTGAGAGAGTCGATTGGATCCATCAGGCGCCAGCGATCGTACCAAGACAGTTCGCTAACCGTTTACCGTTGCGACTTTGTGTACATCAAACCCAAGCTGCTTGTGGCTGTGGGCTGTTTTTTTTGCTACGAGGTTGGTGTACGAGTCTATCGCTGAGACTACTTATCGCGTACTACTCTATGCAGGGACCAGGCCGCTGAAGCATAGTGACACCCCGATATATCCTATCCTACCAGTATCCCTGTTGTCGCTCCGGGACACGCTCCGGGAATCGATATGTTACATAACATTTACACACTTCTACAGCCCGGAATGCTTCGGTCATTGGCATCCGATGTGACGACATACCGAATCAATAACACAGAAGAACACCATCCGGAGGTATCACACGACCGGAGCGTAGCGGCGGGACATATAATTCAGCTAGTTTCCATCACCACCACTTCGTTTCCCCTGCGTCTAAGCTGCAATCATGTCCGAAGGGTATGTCTCCGGCCAATCTCCTTACACCTTCCGTTTTGACCAATAGCGAGTCCAGACCGGGGCGTTCCCTGAGGAAGCGGACACCAATCAACTACGCTGTGGGGAGCAGCAAGGCCAGCGCACGCGAGACCACTCTCCGTTCTCAGCGCGTCCCCAAGGAGCGTGTGCGAGCGCGAGTGCTCAGTGGACTGATGCACGTTCCAGTCGACATCTTTCTCGAGGTGGGGTTCGATCACACTACGAGTCTCGCACATGGCTGACTCAACTCGATCTCGTAGATAGCCTCTCGTTTGCACCCGCTGGACCTACTCCACGTCACGCGCGCTTCCAAGCAGCTCCGATCCATCTTGTTGTCGCGCAAAAGCAGATTTGTGTGGAAGGCCAGTCTGCGAGGCGTGGACGCCAGACTCCCGGCCTGTCCAGACGACATGAGCGAGCCCGCGTACGCGGCGCTGCTGTTCGACCAGGTCTGCACCGTAAGTCTCACTTTGTTCGTCAGAATGTTGCGTACAAGGCTCACATGGATCCCTCGCAGCTGTGCAGCGCGTCTCCTGCTCGCCGGGTAGACTACGCCATCCGCCTGCGGCTCTGCAAGTCTTGCCACAACACCCAGTAAGCATTCTCTACATTTCGAAAAGAGCGACGAATAACGGTCCAGTGAACAGTATCAGGAAGGGAAAGGAGATCATCGCCGAGGCCCCGCCCGTCTCGGAGGAACATGCACGGCTCGCAATGGCCATGGTCCCATGCAAAATTGAGAAACGTGCGGCGCTCTTGTTTGGCTGCCTTCCGTCAATTCTTCCCAGTCGATATCTGACAGCCTCTTCATAGACCCTTTGGATGCGGGCTACCAGGGAGACCCGCGCAACCATGCGGGGTTTATGAGTTATTACGTCCCCCAGCTAATGGCTGCGCTGTCCGCGCCGGTGCGAGCGAGGCGAAAGGAAGAGTCTTTCGACGATTACGTGGATGACTTGTGTGCCGACAGCAAAAGGTTGCATCAGGTATGTCGCATGGACTCCGGTCGTTCAAACACATAATGAGCGGACCTTTCAAGTGCGCGACGGCGGTGCTGCAGTGGAAGCGGGGCGTTGATCAGCGAGAGCAGCAGGCCAAAGAGGACTTCAAAGCGCGCCGCAAAGCCATGTAAGTCGTCCCCCCGATCTGCACTTTGGAATGTGGCTCACGCTGTCATATTTAGCATCGTAGAGAAGCTCGTCAGTCTCGGGTATGAGGAAAGCGATATGCCGGACAATCCAGAATGGTCAAACCTGGTCGAGCAGACCAAAGAGCTGACTGAAAGGAGTACGTCGATATCGCTTTCGAGTCGCTATAGCCGTTAATGGACTCCGTAGTCTGGATCAATCTCCTGCCGAAGCTCGAGCCACTCTTGCAAGAGGAGAAGGAGCGCAAGACACATGAAGCGTACCACGGGCGCGTCCAGCGGCGGTTGGAGCAGCTGTCCGGCTACTACAACGAATGGGTCACAGATGTCCCCGAGGACGCGCGCGGACTGATGCCCAACACACACGACGGAGCTCGACTACCCTGCCTCCTCGCCCTCGCGCAAGCCAACGACGCGCAAGGCGACCTCTCCCCGGAAGATTTCCTTCCCCTGTCTGGCCAGGTGCTCACTGAAGCGAAGGCTTATCTCAAGCACGCGAAAGAAATCGCCGTCATGATGCTGCAAGACGACATTCACAAGATGCCTGACTACGACGTCTGGTACGCCGAGCTCGAGGACCTGTCCGCGGACGACGCGCTGTCCCGGCACTACGCGCTGTTCGAGTGCGAGGAGCAGTACGACGTGTGCAACACCGGCATCGTCACGTTCGAGGAGCTGCACACCCACTGGCGCACGGCTCATCCGCAGACCGCGTGGGGTACTGCGGGTCCTCCCCAACTGCACGTCGCACCTGGTACCCCGGCCAAGCTCCTCACGCGGATCAGGTGCCGAGGGAGCTACCGGGTTGGTGGCGAGATGCTTGACGCTGTGCGCTTGCCGCGGCACTCGCCAAGGAGCGTGCTGGACGAACTCATCAAGAGCGGGAGGCTGTATTGTGCGTGCGGAGACCCATCAATGCCACCGCCCACGGAGCTTGACTGGCTCAAACTGGTAAGCAGCGTGCGCAGACACTTGTTCGGAATGCTACCACTCACGTTGTTCGCGCGCACTCAGTATTCGCACGTTTCTGGCCACATCGACAAGTTCCAGCGACGCATCGACGATTTGTGAGCGACCGTATGTTTTGCTCAACGTAGTGCCCCTTCTCATCGCCCGCTCGAATTCGCAGACCGAAGACTCCCGATCCCAAGTTCGTCCTGACGTCCAACCACCTCCTGACCGGCCCTGGTTCATGTATGCGCCTCCTTCCGAAACGTGCAAAAACCGCGCCCGCTTTCGCGCGCATTGCGGTCGACAGCGAAACGCGGGCGAGGATCGAAGCGCGGCTCGCATCGTGCCCGAAACCGGAGGCGATTGCGCTGTGCCGCAGCTGCAGGACGCTCACCGCGCGGAGTCGGTTGAAGCACGGCTCCGTCGTGCGGGCGCTGACGCTTCCCTCCACCCCAGAGGGCATCGTCTATCACTTGCGCGGATGGTGAGGGCCCAGCTTTGTTAGGTTGAGAATGTAGTAGACTGACATGAACGTGTGTAGGCATGAGAAGGAGTTTGAAGATAGGGACATCGTGTGGGACACGCGCTATGCCCTGTAGAAGGCTCGAGAATCGCGCGAGCAGGCGTGCGACCCCGAGTATCTGGATCGTTATTGATCCAAACCAGATTCGCACTTACCTTCGAGCCCCAATACGAGTATAGCTTAGGCAGCGTTGTCGACCATGCTACAGCGTGCAGTTGGGGGAACCGAGTTTCTCCATAAGTCAGTCTATAATTCAACCTCTATAACTACGAATACAGCATTCCTCAAGCAGCGGAAAGCAAGGGTACCAAATAACGATAGTGCGTCAACGCAACCTTATCCCATCTGACCAGCAGCGACCTTGCAGGCGGTAGTCTACGTGCAGACTCAATCTTGGTTGATGTCGCGCATAACCCGGCTGAAACGACGGGGACGGTACCCCGAACGTTTGTCCATGCCGGGGCAGCTGCCAGAGCTTGAGCTAGTGGCGGTCGGTGCGGCAGAAGCGGAGCTGGGGCTGGTGGGGGATACAGACGGGTATGCGGAAGGGGCCGCAGATGCCGACGCGGACGCGGAGGCAGAGGCAGATGCGGAGACGGGCGCAGATGCCGAAGGAGAGGGGTCGGTAGAGGCGCCGTTGCCGCTGTCTGTGACGAAGGAGGCGATGGTGGGACCAGGGAACGTGTAGCTCGAGCCCGGGTTGTAGACCTATAATCCTCTTTTGAGCTCGTTATACAGCAACGTAGAAGTGCGAGCACAAACATTGGGGTCGAAGATGCCGGGGTCGCTGTCGGAGTACGCGCCAGGGAAGCTCACGGTCGCGTTGGGGGCGCCGTTGCCGTTGCCGCTGACTCGCACCTGAGTACAGGACGGGTAGAACTCTGCGCCGCCCATGGACACAGCCAGCTGCAGAGCGATGATCTATGAGGGGCTGGTAAGTACACGTGCGACGGATCACTGGGGGCCTGAACACGTACCTCATGCCGGATGAGATAGTCGCCGGGGACGATGTTGTCCGGGAGCGTCATCGAGTAGGTTTGGCCGTTCACTAATCGTACACAGTCAGTTACGTGGATGATCAAGATGATATCTGAAGCACTTACTGATGTCCTGCTGCACCCAGGTCGAGCCGTCGCTCTTCTTGCCAACCTGGTCGACCTTGAACCACTGCGCGCCCGATGCATCGAACTTGTCACAAGTCGTGCTCCCGCACGACGCCATGTACGTCAGCATGGGCCCGGTATTGTGCGGCCACTGCGTACGTCAAAACCACAGGTCAGCACCCAGTTTCCCATGGGGTAGAACAGATACTTACGTTGCCGCCGTTACCGGAGGCCCAGGCGAAGGCGACCGTGCTGCCGGGGTTGGCGGGCACGACGAGCGCCGCGTTCTGCGCGCTCTGGCCGCACGAGAGGTTCGGGTTGCTCGCGCCCTTTACGGGGTCGACGTCGTTGATTTGGCGGATCGGGCTGTCGGCTGTAGCTCACGGTCAGTATGGTCCCGCCGCAGTTCACTGGCAGAGGACAAGACAGACCTGCGGCCTGGTTCGGGACGTTGCCCTGGTATGTCTTGCCGTCGATGGCAACGCTCTTGAGGTAGCCGTGGGCGGCGACGTGCGGAAGCACCGCGAAAAGAGATGCGAGAAGTACTGGGAAGGAATGCATCGCGGGGAATTGGAATATAAAAGAGGAGCTGGAAGGTATGTCTGAATGAGTGGCGTACGACGACGGGGCTGCTCGTCAAGAGCTAGGCCGGGGGAAGAGAGGGAGCGAGTGTGTGTATGTTGGAGGTACCACAATCCGCGTTGGGTCTTATGTATGTATTCGGTCACCGTGCCGCTTTGTGCAGCATCGCGTTGTGCCTCCAGCCACCAACGGGTCTCTGACAATGCGCCTGCCGTGTCAAAGCTGGTTGTTTCACCTTTGCAAGTGACTATGTCTCTTCACTACATTTGTGGGCGCAGCGCCGACCAAGCTGGCACGATTGCCAGGTCCAAAGGTCGGCACAAGCGTCGTACCGAGGCTCGACAATCCATCTCCGGAGGGACATGTGGATATGTCGCCTGCGCCAGCTATCAGAATCCTTCGTATCGGCCACTCAAATAGACTACAGAGCACGTACTTTCAATATAGACAATCACATGTGCAGTGCGCAGGCCCCCACGATTCCCATGTTGTGCAGCGTGCGATCAAAAAGCCAATTGCGCCACGCACGCCGATTTCAGGAGGGCGTCCTCCGTCTCGAGCACAGCATCCGCAGCGGGCAACACGCGTCCAAGTAACTGCGCGCGAGGCGCATGGCAGCCGAAGACTGTAACTTGAAAGAGCGTGATTTTGAGGGTGGTCACCGAGTCGGAAGAGCGTGTCGATGCGACATGGAGTACACGTTTACTGTTGGCGCCGGTCCCGCTCATCTTCTGCAGCAACAGCGAGACCGTCTTCCGTGCTTCCACATCATGGCGGCCGTCGAGGAAGTTTCATAGTTGAAGTCATTTGGCTCAAATTTGGCCAGGTATCGCAGTCGCGCCGTGTGTGAGCCAGGCCACAGCGTAAGTCACCGCCCTAAACACAAGTACCATGTTCTGGTGACTCCCCGCGCCGTGGTCACATTATTCACTAGATCATTCAAAGAGGCCTACAGCTTGCGGGTCAGTTCTGTGTCGTCCTTCTTCTCCACGTACCCAACTCCCCTTCACAGGACGAGGAAGTAGCCTACTGCCATTGCTATCTCCCCGCCACGCGTTAGCACGCAGTTTCTGGCATGGCACGCGAGATCATGCAAATGAGCGCACCTGATCAGCTAGATGAACGCCTCTTGGATATAGCTGCGCTAGCACACCTATCGGAGCAGGATGCGGGCAAGGGGTTCTACAGATACACGAGGTGCGCAGGTTAATCATCCACGATCCCGGCGGCTGTGCAGCGCAGGGCGCACATAACATGAGGCATACATACCTTCAGCTGCACACCGCGCCGCTGCAGCTGGGTCTTCTAATTTCCTGGATTTGGGGACACGGGGACGCTGTCTTGTTCGGCGTACCGCCGGTGTGGCTCGCTCGAGGACATCAGCGCACGGGTTCCCGTCCGCGACAGATCCACGCACTGCATGAAGCTTGATACTTACGAGCTTTCTCTGTACCCTTCTGTCTAGGTCGTGCCCAAATACAAGCGCCTTGGCCCGTATGTGTGCACCATGGAAGTGTGTTGATCACGCGTGTTGTTCCGTCTGGAAACATCCCACTGGATGCGACGGGGAGGGGAAGTAACTACTGCGTGAGATAGAAGTGACCTGCGTATGAAAACAAATTTCAGTGAGATACTTATAGTATACACGCGACAGAAAGACACGCACCGATCATGCTGATGCAGAACCACTGAGCACGCCCATCGTTCGTTTCCTACTCGACACGATCGATACGCCAGCAGTCCGCGAGGACAGCGCGAACACCCCAGTCTCTTTGTGCACACCGCAAAGAGGGACCCGGTGTGGGTTTTGCCTCAGACGGGTACGGTGTGGAGGCAGGGAATGCGGAGGAGCCTCTACCGTATTTGATCTTGCTGCAGCGCATGCGTGCGAGTGGTATACAACTTGTAGAGAAAGCGTTCCTTCAGACGTGATAAGTTACAGCATTTTCGTATGATACACCATGCATCCTAAGACATTCGAGTGAGTGAGTTCAATGTCGAAGTACACAATGCGCACCAACCGTTTCATGGTCTCGCAACCTTGTGAAGGCGACGCTGTTGGTGGTAATCTCGAGCAATTTGTTGGCGGGCTATCATAGTCTCTAAGACATAGTATGGTGAGTAAGATGACCGCATGCGATATTTCCTGGGCCCTTTAACAGTGTAGTAAGAGTTGGTACACGGAAATGCAGCAGCGAAGCGTTGGGAGAAATTTCATCATGAGCGTTCTTGTCAAGGAGTACGTGGTTAGGCGCCCGTGGTACTTGGTATATATTTGATCTCGGCTCTTGAGCTCAGTCCTCCAGCCGAGTGTCCCTTTCTCATCATACGCTATCCTGGACCGCACAGAATCTCCACCGTCCATCGTCCAGCATGTCTGAACATGTACGTATCCTTCTGGGGCCACAGATCTGCGCACAGGTAGGCTCTGAATACAGAGATCAATAACGCTCGGCAGCTGCCGGCACGGACGAGTGGACGGCAGAAGCCCCGCTGTAGCACAGCTACTAGATCCCCCCGCTTACGCTCATCTCTCTTGTCCTTTTACTTCCATCACCTCCACTCATACCTCTAACACACTCTTCCCGTATAGCGACTGACACAGATCATGGACATGTTCCTGACCTCGCTTCAGTCCTTGGACGACGACTCACTCCAGATTCTGCTCCGGTGGATGGAAGGTCTCCCCGCTATCCCCAGCAATGCTATCGATACCGAGCCTGCGCACAGGGCCGGAGACGAGCAGTCAAGCTGCTACTATCATAGCCCTGTGCTCTACCCCACTGCAGACAACTTCGACACCCACGCCAATCAGGTCGGATTGCAGCTCGACCATCTTGTGGCTAAGCCCAGCTCTGGCGACGTGGATTGGGTGTCCCGCCCGCATGATCTACCGCAGTCGCCTTCAGAGGCGAGCCTCTATTCAGACCAAACCGCGGCCGACACCCCACAATCCTCGTTCTCTATGGCCTCAGACGACACCGCGGTCGACATCTCCGACAACGGTCTCGCCAATGGCTTCCGCGACAAGCAGAAGGCCGTCCCCGACTTTGATGCGCCCTATGCCTACCACATTGAAGCTTTCGAGGGCGCTGCCCCAGTCACGTACGAGCTTCCTTCTGGCCCGCCGCCTATCGAGGGCGACCCGTTAGCGTTCTCATTTCGCTACCACATGGGTGTCAATACCTATGTGCAGCAGCAGCAGCATCTGCCAGGTGCTGTTGCTTCTGTCCCATGCGGAATGAGCATGCCAGCGGGCGACTGTGTCGTCCCGCTGACCTCCCAGCTCTTCGTCGACGTTCCCGAGATCGCCCCGGAGGGCGCTACTCCGACTACCTCCCGGATGCGCGCATCTACCGCGGACGCCGAGAAGCCGGCGAAGAAGCGCAAGCAGCAGAGCACTGAGAAAAACCTGTCCTGCCCGGAGTGCGGTAGCCGTACGTCCCATCCCCTTGCGCGCTTCGTCGATGCTAAAAGACATCTGTAGTGTGGGCGCGGCGCAACAACCTCGACGCGCACATCAGCTCCGTCCACAGACAGGAGCGCCCGTTTGCTTGCCCCGCGCCTGGCTGTAATAGGGCGTTCAGCCGCAAGCACGACCTCAAGCGACATTTTCAGTCGGACCATACCGACGAAGGTTCGCCGCGCCGCAAGGCGCCCAAGGTCTAAGGTACGGTACGTGATCATCCTTCTTCCACTCCTGGAGATGCATTGTCAATGGCGTGTGCATATCCTGCTCGCACCACCACGTCTCGCGCGCCATGCTGACGCGCACCTCCAGGCACCCGCGCATCGCGCCGACCAGCTTCATAGCGGCTTTCGGGTCGCGCGCCCCCACCGCGCCTCCAGTCACCGACACTGGATGCGCGTTTTGGCGTGCGACTCGCGTCGAAGGACACTATGCAGCTGATGGACGGGAGAAGGGCGCGCGTGCGTAGCCGGCGGGGGATGTGTCTGCGTGCCCTCGCGCCTCGCGAGGGCGCGCGGAAGTGGCCCCCACGGCGACGCATGCGCTTCGGTTGGGTTGTTGGTTTGTGGTTTTTTGTTTTGGTTCTGGGCTCTCGTATGTCCTGGCTTCGTCTGTGCATGGCCGCTTTTGCTTTCATTCTGTTCTGTTCACGCTATGCTTTCCTCTCACTGACATCAAAGTCCGGCGCATGTCGCGCCTCCCGAGTCCCCATGTTGTTATCTCCCTCGTAACGCTTTGTTCCACATCCGTTCTTACTATTGTTCCTCGCTACGTTGTATCCCGTGTTCTGTATCATGCTGTTGGAGGCACTGCGTTTCTTGCCCACGTAAGAGCAATCGAAGAACCAGCGTGGAGCGGCGTCCTACGCCTGCCATGTCTATGGCGGCACTGGTTTCTCGCGCAACTGGTCAGATCCCTATACTAGACGCGACTTGTATCAATTCGCCCCGGATGTACGCGTACTTACGTGCTTAATACAAGAGGGAGTCGACGCGGGCATCCAGACAGCAGATAATAGCTTTCGCCAAATAGCAAGCGCCCGCGGTCGACTGGATAGAATAGCGTCATGCACATATGAAATGCGAACTTCGAGCACGGCGTGTTGCATATGCCGAGGCAGGGGAGCCATTATAGGGACTTGAAAACAAGGCAGCATCGCAAGCTTGATGGGACAATCCCATATTGCTATACTACATCCTCCGATAACGGGGCTTGTCGTGAGCTCCGAGTCGGAGTAGATTCGTGTGCGACAGGAGAAGCGGGGATTGGTTGGGGTCGTGGTTGTTCGGCATTCGTGGTGAACAATTTAGCGTCATCTAACAGATTGAGACGCAAAGTCACAAATATAAGGTATCAGGATTACATCAACACTGGTACCGAGAAAGACTCGCCTTGGCTGAGTTTCCAGAGACATATACTGCCGTTCGTAGGCATCTATGGCCGATTTGAAGTTTTCGAGGGACTGAATGACGCTTGCTTGACTGCCGGAGAAGTACTGTTTCCGTTGCATGGACTCGAGCCGCGAATAAAGGCTCCTAAGCCGCTCCGGCTGCAAAATACTCAGTTCGACGACGAGAGGCACGAGGCCGAGGTGCTCGAGAGCGAGGCCGTTGACGAGATCTGAGGCGAGGTCGAGATGTTCATGAGACAAGTGGCGCAGGGCCTTTCGGCCTTCGAAACCAAAGTCGCAGAACAGGAAACAGTGGACATCGAAGAGGACCGCGTGCATGTGCTCGCGTATGACATGGTGATCACGCGGTCCACCGGGGTCTCTCGACGATAGGATGTGTGCGGCGTGCGTGAGGAACTCTCGAGCGGAGCGGAGGCAGGAGAGCTGAGTCTGAACTTGAGGGGGCCTGGCCTTGCGGCTCGGTTTCTTATAGTCACGAAGCCGCAGAGGAGAGAAGGTGTCTGCGAGCTCGAAACACCGGAGGACTTCCCGATGTACTAAAGGGTCGTAGGCACGGCGAGACGGAATGGAATCAATATCTGAAAGGGGCACGAATGAGCGATACAAAGCGACTGCTTCGAAAGATGGCTGGAGTCCAACTTACCGAAGCTGAGAAATTTTCCCGATTTCCGTGTCGTCATTTGACCCTCCCCAGACAGTATTAGACAGTATTGTCGCAGTCCATCTAGCTCGATCCGCCCGATGGGAGGCCTGACCTTTGCCGTACCAGGGTTCAGAACTCGACGCTCCAGCCAAGAGGCGACCGTTTGCGACCACACGGCTTGTTCGGACAGCCGCGCGTTCCCGCCGAGGGTGTGGCCTCCAGCTATTGGGAGGAAGGCATCGCTGTGCTGCCATATCCTGCTGCAATGCTTCGCTAAGGGCTCCATCGTGCTGAGTTGTAGAGTGCAAAGGAGGACTTGATGGAGAAGCAGCTCGTCCTTGGGGCAGTGATTTGTGTACAGCATACTGAAGAAACGCTTCTTGACGGTCTTCTGGAGTCGCAAGAAGTAGTCGAGGATATGAATAGACGGTTGGTCGAGCAAACAGACGGCTGCAGCAGAGACCGCCTTGACATCCAGCGTAGTGTCGTAGGCTTCGTTCAGGATGTCTAGATCAAGAGTGTCCGCGAGAGCATTCACCGTGCGTCTCTCGTATATATACCAGGGAGAGGTTTGCGGAGTGGTTCGGGGGAAGAGATAAGTAGCGTCGAGCAGGATATCCTCGATGATGTTAGGGAGGAATCGGCTAGGAATCATCTCCCAAAGTGCGTTCGCAGATTTCGTTACTACGTAGTAGCCAGCAGCTCTGACCACAGGATAAACAACACGTCTCCAGAGAGAGTAGAAGGCGAACGTTTGCGGAGTGAGGTACGCGCAGCCGTGATTGAACAACGGCAGGAAGGTGACGCCGATCGTGAACACGCCGACCACGCCGACCAAGACCGACGCAACGATGGCGACAGTGGGATGGAGGGTCCAGAGGAAGATAAGGATTCCTGCGAGGAACAGGCCGAGGGAGATCAGGAGGAGAACGGGGATGAGTATGACGATGTCCCCTACGTGCCACTTGACGAGGTTGTTCAAGCGATATTGCCGCCGTCGCGCCGCCTCACGGGAGGTTCCGGAAAGCCCAAGGCTCACGTACTCGTTCAGCCACTGCTTCACCAAGATGCCTAGGAGCGCGGAGGTGAGGCTGGTGATTAAGCCCGAGAACCAGAGGATATTGAGCCATATCACGGATCGCGGCACTGCGGCCACAGCATTCGCCTGTGAAGGGACTGCGGGTGACGCAGTGGAGTTGACGAACGGCGGATTGATCGAGAAACTTTGCAGCTGCAGAGAGATCTGCTGCAAGACGGCGATGGGATCGGCAGTTGGTGGCTGAAGCAATGGATATGACTGGACGTTGAACGCCGTGAGGATCGCGGAAAACAGACCGGCCTAGGTAACGCTCATGTGTCAGATAATTTATCAGAGAATTGCGAAGTGTGCTGCACATACGAAGACGAGGTAGGTGTCGATGACCTTGTTCCACCGGTCGACCATTTCGTCGCTGTATGTCTTCACCATGTCGGCTGCGTCGGCCCAGGCCTTTTCTTTCTCCTCTTTAGTACGGAGAGTCTGTCGCTGCTCCAGTAGTTCCTGTACGGAGGGAGGTTCGTATGAGTGATTTGCAGGTCCGTCACTCGCAGAGTGTCGTACTACGAACATCCAATTCAAGTTTCGCGATCAGTTCTTCTACTCGAGCTGGATTTATCTCTCCCGACGACGACAATTTCGGCTGGTGCAACGATCAATGTCCGCGCTTAATGCATTATTCATCATATAGAAGTCACGTACCTCCATATCCTGTTCAGTATGACCTGGTACGGAAGATTGAGGTGAGGCGGCAGGCGAGATTTTTGGTTGCGCAGGATGCTCAGAAACATCCATATCTCCTCTGAACGTGACCTGTGGGGCATCCGTCATGCTTCAAATTCTCGTTCGCGAGGGTATTGGGTATCACTAGGTTGTGGAGGTGGAAAGGACGTGGGAGTAGACAAGAAGGAACGTAAATGCTGAGCTAGCAGATGTTCCTAGGGCGTCCCAAGATCCTCACAGGGTTGACAGCTTCCAACTTTCCGGCTCGAAGCGAGGCACGTGGGCTGATACTGCGGAAATCTTCGTTCAAGGCCTTCTCCTTCTCCTCTTCGGTACGAATGGTCTTACGCTCCTCGAGAAGGTCCTACATGAAGCAAAATTTGCATTAGTAGGTTACCTAGATCTTTACTGCTCAGACAACGAACATCTAGCTCAGTTTGTATGACTAGTTCTTCTAGTCGAGCCGGATCTATCTCTCCCGGCGAGGCCTTAGGCTAGCGCAGCAATCAACGCGTGTCCATAATACATTGAATGAGAGTACGCACCTTCGTGCCATGTTCGTCAAGGCCTGGAGGGGATTGCGTGGCAGGGAGACGCGAAGCGTAAAGTAAACGACGAACCTTTTTTTGAACGCTGAGTGCGCAGGTGTTCGTGGTGGACGCCCTCAAACTATCCCCGGCTGTTAGCTGCAAAGCGCCGCCGTTGACACAGCATGCTTCCGACATCCGGTAAGCTCAGGAATGCCTCACTCGCGACCAGCGACATCGATGAACACTTAAGAGGCAGCAGGCGTGAACCCAGTCCGCGGCTGTTCTGTCTGCATGCGAAGTATTGGAACACCTCCGATTGGACATTGCCTAATGCCCGACTTCGGGGAGGAGCAAAGCAGCGCTCAGAATAAAGAGTGAACGCCCGCTGAAGAAGATCTATCATCAGGTTCGTACAAGATGCATCACAGAGTTCCGCAAAACTAACCGGGATAGAGGAGCAGGTCAGGCCCAGAGATGTGGCCTGGAACACTGGGCGAGGGCGAGTATGCACACGCAACGATGAGTGTCAGTGGCGGGGTATAGTCGTTCGGAGTGGCGAAGATATGGGATGGCAGCGTTCGCCTTACACTGGACAGCAGCTACATCCTCATACACAGTATCATACATCCTTCACCGCTTCTTCCATCCAAGCCCACAGCTTGCGGCCGAGCTCTGGGTCATCCGTCTCCTTTCTGGCGCGCCCCTCCCGCGCCCAAGGAATAAGATACTGCACACATGCGTCAGTTGCGGTTACAAGCATGGCGCACGAGAGGCCGATCTGAGAATGAACGCACCTGACCGCCTAGTTTCGCGCCCTGCGGCGTGGTGCCCGCATACAGCTGCGTGAGCGCACCCATCGGCGCCGGATACAGGAAAGGTTTCTGCAGACACGCGCGGTGTGCAGGTGAGCTAACAACGTCGTCGGCGGTGCAGTGCGGAGTATACGCACGAAGAGGCACTGCACCAGCTTCGACCCATGGCGCGCCAGCTCGGTGTTCAGGTTACCTGGATGGAGCGAGACGGAGACGATGCCCTGGTCGGCGTACCGCCGGTGCAACTCATTAGAAAACACTATATTGCCCTGCAACACAAAACTCCCGTCAGCGCGCCGGTCAGGAAAACGTTGTTCGATGCTCACAAATTTGCTCTGCGAGTACAGTGTCATCGTACCCATCTTGACGCGCTTCGGGCTATCCCGGAAGGTGTCGAAGTCGAGGCCGGACACGAGGCTGTGTCCCATGGACGAAGTATTTACCACGCGCGCCTTCCCGTCCGGAGAGGTCTTTGCCGACGCGATGAGGAGCGGTAGCAGCTGCTGCGTGAGATAGAAGTGGCCTGCGCATGCAATGCAACTTCAGCAAGCGACACGTACTATAGCATGCACGCGGAAGGATACGCACCAATCACGTTGGTGCCGAACTGCAGATCGAATCCGTCCTTCGTGGTCTGCTCGATCGGCGGAATCATGACTCCGCCGCTGTTGAACAGGACATCGAGCCGACTTTCCTTGCTAAAGCACGGTGAACCTCTCTGTGAGCAGACCAGCGGGCAAGACGGGTTGCAGCTACGCACCCGGCAAATTCTGAGACGGCACGCTTAATCGACTTCAGGTCCGCGAGGTCCAGCTGTAGGAACAACGCCTCCTTCCCAGTCTCCTTCCGTAGGTCCTCGATGGCTCCCGCGACTCTCTTGGGATCGCGTCCCCCGATATATACCTTCGCGTTATGGTTTAAAAGGGCCTGTGCGCCAAGGGAGAGCATATCAGTCTACATACGGCTGATACTAGTCTGGGCCGTCGGCTCACCTTCACTGTGTCTTTTCCGATACCTGTATTCCCGCCGGTGACGAGCATGACCTTTCCGGACAAGTCCGGGATGTCGTCCACGCCCCATGTCGGCTTGGGCGGGAACATGTTAGTCCACGTGCTGGACATTGTGGCGGATGATTAGGGAGTAGGTACTGGGGGTAGGGTAAACGGACGAGGAGTGATCTGCATGTGCCGTGCGATGTCGCTCGTCTTCTATAGTGCGCGGTGCGGCTCCAACAGAGGCCCTCGCCGTCTGGACGCGTACGCGGAAGCCGACATTATGTCGCACACCCGACCGGGATATGCATAAGAGCGGATAACCGGATTTGGGTGTGCGCGCGCAACGCTGCGCAACGTTGATCTCGCTGCCGATCGCTCGGCAAGTTGAAAGTCAGCCCGCTCAGTCAATATCAGGCGAACCCCTCATAACCCATACCTCGGCTAAGGGCTTGTTTCTCTGATCACCCGCCCCCAGAAAGATGCAGGCCCTTCGAATGCTGCAGGGTACGTGCGGCGAGTTGCAATGCATCTCAGGGTATCATTTTTAGCACAATTTGTGCAGAGACCAAGGCTGGGGAGCCCTGCCGAAGAGTATGGGTTATGAGTGTTTGTACGGCCGCCGCCTGGATAAAGTCATAGCATTTGAGTAAGTACAGTCAATCAACACAGCCCTAGCACACTTGGATCAGCGAAGTGAATTTCGAAGCACAGCAAGTACCCCCACCGTATGCACTCGCTATAGCTCTGGACGCTTACTCGTCCTCGTCGTATGCGTCCACTACGACCCCGATCTTCTCCTTGACGGCACGTTCAACCACCGCGCACGCTACTGCGACATCTTGCACGCCCACGCCCACGGACTTGAAGATCGTGACATCGCCCGAGGTCTGCACTTCCTCGACCGGCCCCTCGCGCGGAATCCAGGTGCGTTCCTTCGCCTTGTAATCGAATAGTTGACCGATCTCAATAAGGTCAGATTCTGACAGCTCGGCGTCGATGAGCTCTCCTGCTTCTTGCTACAATAAATGCTTGTCAATCGCGGCATGGCCAGCGCAAATGAAACGACGCACCAGACATGCGGTCTTCTGGTCTACTATGATGATTCCTGCTCGCTTCACCAGGTCTGTATCGATCTCGTGCCTGCGCGTATCGAGACAGCTAGCGTCAGCGTTGTTAAACCTAGAAGGTGAAGATTGCACGGACATCTCAGGTTTATACGAGCCTATAAGGCACAAATGTGCCCCTTTCCGCACGAGCTTCGAAGGGAATAACGGATGCGTCGAAGAGGTGGCGGTGATGATGATGTTCGCCTGTCTGACGGCGTCGTGGTACTCTGCCTCATTGTGCTTGGAATGGGCGCCTGGCAGCACGCCGACTGCTACGCGAACCGACGAGAAGGTAGAGGCTAGCATTTCGCGCAGGGTTTCGAGACGAGCATTGCGCGACCGGTTGTAAATAGTACACTCCTCGATAGAGGGGTATGCGGTGAGGAACAGCGCAAGGTGGGCTTGGATCTGAGCCCCGGCGCCGATGGCTAGTATATGTCTAGGCTGTGCACCTTCAAGAAGAGCGAGTCGGGCAGACAAAAGAGAACCTGGGGATAGAATCACAGTGACCGTCAGTTAGGATGTGCAATCGACGTATGCCCCGTTCAATGAGTGTGCCTATACGGCGAGCTTCGGCGTGTGGAGAGCTCGATTGACCAGCGAGGGAACGATCTACATGAAACATGTGCGTACCCGCTGCATTCCTCAGCGCCGTCAACCTTCTCGAGTTCACGATCGCCCTCACACCTCCCGACCGCTCGTCGAGCACGATGGTCGTCCCTGGAAGGCCCTTCTCCTTGACGTCCTTCGGGGCATCCGCGGAGGGCACCGAGACGACCTTGATCGTCGTCCCCGCCGACGATATGCGCGACGGCATAAACAACGTTGTATGGTGCTCCATGGGTATCGCCGTCCGATGCGGTTGGTGGATGCCCCGGTGCCGCTCGGAGAGTCTGGAGAAAACGTCGGCCATGAGCGCGACGAGCTCGTCGGGGGTGAATTTGGCGGTCACTTTCGCCACATCGGCCGCAGAGAGAACCAGCAGAGACATGCTGAGCACTTCAGACCCCAGTAGCAGACAGAAAGGGAAGTAGTATCTGCAGTCTGACTCTGACTCTGAAGTAATCGATAAACGTCAGGAACATGGTGGCGTGTGGACAAGCGCTGCGGAAAGGCTTAGGCAAGCGTAGTGTTGGAAAGTCGAAGCCGAAGCCGCACGTTGCGCTCGAGCGGCTCTCTTGTGCGACACACGCGTCGTCGTCCGGAGTCTGGCTCTCGTAGGCAATTCAAGTTTTTCCCGAGTTAAAATGGTGCCTTTCCGCGGGAAGGCACCGAGCTTGTTATTTTAATACAAACTGCACACGCCACAGGGAAAGGTCTAGTACTAATATACACCAGGAAACAGAAAAAGAAAGTCCAAAACAGACTGGAAAAGCACTTAAGTGCGGCGACGACGCTTCTGTGAGCATTCTGTCGCATCGGCGTCCTCGTCCTCCCGCTCCTCCCGAGAACGTCTCCTCCCCCGCGTCCTGCTCCGAGTGTTCTCGAACACCGTGTAGTTCAGGTCCGCGTCCACGTCGGAAATGTTATCGAACACAGCATCCTCCGGGTCCGGCGCGACGTCGGACGCCTGCGCGGCGGTGCTCCAGGTCTCTTCTTCCTCCATCTCCGCCATCCGCGCGCTGAACCCGTGGTCCAAGAGAGGGAGGTTCCTTGCGAAATCGCACTCGGTGCGCGTACACCCGGGGTGCGATATCGACCTCCGGCGGCGCGTGCGTGGGGGCTCGTCGAGTTCTGTCTCTGTGTCTGAGGCGCTGCTGTCGTCGGCGTCGGAGTCCCGGGGGCGCTTCGCAGGGCGCGAGCCTGAGCCCGATGCGACGGCGTTGGTTTGCGGCTGCGCGCGGCGAGGCGTGGTGGCGGCGACTATAGGAGCGGGGGCCGGGGATGGGGTGCGAGGGCCAGCGCGAAGGAAGTCGCGGTCTAGGACAGGGCTCAGTACATGGCTGGGCGGGAGGTGGGAAAAGACTTACGGCGCCTGACGGGGGAGTTCTGAAGATGTTCTGAAAGGTTGGCAGTGCCGCTGGCAAAGGGTGCTACAACACGAGACGCGCATTAGATCTGGGGAGCATGGTCCTCGCATAAGTGAACGTACCTGCGGAGTACCTATAGGGATGGTTCGACGCGCGCCGGGCGTCCCGTGAAGTGCCTTGAGTAGAAACCGAGCGCGTACTCCGAGTAGATGAGGCAGAGGCGACGGGTTCGCCAGCGTCTTGCTCGGGGTCGGCGGTTTCCAGTTGCTCTTCGTGCTCCTGCGAGCGCGTCTCGGGGACCACTTCATCGAGAGACGCTTTTATTTCTGAAAATGCGTGCATAAGTAAGGGATGCGAGTCCATGTTACGTGTAAGCATACCGCTGCTGTCGCTGCTCTCTTCGTAGTCAGAGTCCGAAGAGTCTGACGCCGAAGATGAGCCTGAGCGTTGTTCTTCTGAAGGATGCGAGGCGTCGTCGGCGAGCGAAGCACCCTCATCCGTTTCACTATTGAGAAAGCTGGTTAATCGCATGTTAAACGGTGAGTTGAGACCAAACCTACCTGGTCATGAGGGTTTCCGCGCTCGCGTCTTCAACTCCTTCCGTCGGTGCGGGGTTGTGTTGAATTGCAGTGCGTAGTATGCCAAAGAGGCTGGAGGCGGCCTGATCTATCAGCGCGAGAGACAGCTGGCCGGTCGTGGTGAGTGCGCGGAGGATGAGAGGCATCTTGAGTCAACGTTGGGGTGAGATTTGGGTGAGGGGTGGGAGGCTGGTTGACTGCGAGGCTTCGTAGAGTACGAGATGAGTGCGGGATCCATCGCTGGCAGCCCATCGCTTTATACACGCGACGAGAGTATGTCCAAGCGTTGAGGGCGCTTTCGAGTGGCGTGGTACACCGACAACCATGCGCTAGCGAAGTCCAAGCGGCAGCACGGAGACCAAGCGCCCCGACGTCCAAGCGGCCGCAGCGGGTCCAGGCGCCTCCGCTATTACAGCACAGGATTCCGAGCGGTCTTCGGAGGGGGTATGGGAATTCTGGCTGGTTTTTCTTTCAGCATACGAGGTTTGCGGGACGAGGAGAGGATGAAAACGGACCCGAACTTGGATGCCAGATACGGAAGCGGCCAACTTGAGCAGGTCCATCTTACGCGTGCGCAACTCAGATGCTCGGATTATTGGTTAGAGGCTCTTCGCGCGTGGGCCTACGAGATGTTCCCAGTGCGGTGACGCAGAACTGTACGCGCCCAGGAGTATGTATAATAAGTATACCACTGATATGCAGGAACTCTACATGGGAGTTCCCATGAGAGAACGACCCCCGGCGAGACTGAGTTGAGCGGCAGCAGTGAGTGCCACTGCGTCGAGGAGCCATGTGATCAGGTCGCGGCACGATGCGTTGTTCTGCCGCGATCAGGTTGCGTCGTGCCACTGGTCGAGTACGAAAAGTGGATGCCCTTCTAGCAGAAGCATCAGCTCCGCTAACGCCCTGCACGCGCACTTCAGTGCGTACGGCGCACGGCATCTAGGGCGGGTCAATGTGAGAGGGAGAGCCTAGGAGGAGGCGCTTCCGGACTCGGAATTGACAGGATCGCAAAACTCCAGGCGTCTATCACTGTAGCACCGCCACACACATTCTTCGCTGGCTCAGCATGCAGTTTTGCCCGCAACGCAACGTGACGGCAGGAACACCTTCGACTGATGTCTGGCCTCATTCGCTGCTGCTTAGAACTCCCTGGAACACAAGAGCAAAGAAATCGCACGGAAGTGCCACTGGCGATAAGGACAGGTGCCACCGAGACCGGCGCATGGGCCATGTGCGCTTACGGAATGGGGTGCCATTGTTCTACTAGGTGGGCGTCGGAGTTGTTGTTTTCCATCAATCCGTCCCTAAACCATCCCTCAGATGATGCACGAGACGTTACAAGGTCTCCCAGCTTTCCGACGTTAAGACGACGTGTCAGTGCTAGTGCTGCCGGTGCGATGCTCGCCGGTGGACGAAGGAACCATCGTGTATTCAGCAGTGCGCATCCCCAGGACGCATAGCTTCAATATCGTGCTCGCGCATGATTGAAGAGGGATGTTGCAAAAGTGCCGCTATCAATCCTGCTACTGCCTTAGCGGATAGCGGGCAAGCTCCGGACGGGCAAAATCGAGGGTATTGAGGCGACCCCACAAAGCGCCCGGATGGGGCACAAGCGCAATCGGCACGGGTCGAGAATTGTTTACGCAGTCCCACGGTCCCAGGTCCTTGCGTCCATTTAAGGGCGCCCGCCACTGCTGCTTCTCTCTTCCTCCCGTACCATCATCATCCCCCGCACCCGCACCCGCCCACGAGCCTCTCTCCCGTCCACTCCCCGAGATCTATCCATCCACCCACATCTCATCTCAGCAACATGTTCTCCAGGAAGACTACCCGTGCCGCAGCCGGTGAGTACTCGCGCTCAGAGCACGCCAGATGTAAGCTCAATCTTTACCATCGCCCCCCAGCCGCCGCCGCCAGCGCCGCCGGCCCATCCACCCATCCAACCCCCGCGCCCTCTACATCCTCCGCGCCTTCGGCAATGCGAACGCGCTCAGGAAAACTCCTCGCTCCGCTGGTCGAGGGGGCAAGGGCCGTCCGGTCCAAGCTGACCGGCGGGCGTCGGGGCGCAAAGGCCCCCGCCGAGGTGCCCGCGCCTCCCGAGGCCTCCACGTCCGCGCAGGCGGACGCGACGTGCGTTCTGCGTGATCATAGTTTCCACATGTGCAGTACTCACGATGCTATCTGCAGGTCATCGAACGTTGCTAGCGCCGACCGCGCTCCTGCACCCCGCAAAGCCGCGCCCAAGAAGCGCCCAGCGACTCCTCGTGCCCGAGCGGCCAAACGCAAGGCGGCGGCGGCCAACTCGGCTCCTGCTCCCCTGCCTGAAGCTGACACCACCCCCGTCGCCTCCGCTCTCGTCGCCATCGCCGCTCCTGCACCCGCGCCCGTTGCTGTCCCTCCAAGGGTTGCCACGCCCACCCCAGGGCCATCCTCCCCGCCCCACTCCGATGCTCCTGCCCAGCCGGCCGTCCCTGCGCACCGCCGTCTTCAGCGCCAAGGCGCATGCTACCTCGACAAACATGGATGGGCACTGCCAGAGGGTGTATCCATCGACAAGGACGGGAACCCGCCGCTCTCTGCGCTGCTGGAGGTGATCGAGAAGAAGATCTCGCTCGAGACTTTCTTGGGCGAAGACAAAATTCCGGTGCAAGATAACCTCTACGGCTACAACGACGAGAGGCTGCAAGGCCCCATCCTCTCTCGCTTCTATTTTTGGCCCACAGACCGCGCCCCAATAATCATCGGCCCATTCTATGAGCACGAATTGTGGTGGCAGGTGCTGGGCGAGTGGAACCCTACGGTCTTACCCACTGTCCGGCGGATGCTGCGGCAGGACGCGGACGCGCCGGAGGGTCCTACCATCGGGACGCGGATCACCAGGCAGTACGCTGACTTCTTCGGCGAGGACGGGCTGCCCTTGCCCTTCGAGGACGACGGCACGGGCGAGCCGGTGCCCATTGGCGAGATGGTCGCCAACCTGCTCAAGGCGGAGAGGACGGGGCCTCTCCCGTCAACATGGCATGGGCCGTTTTTCGAGCAAGAGGGCGAGGCGTCGCAGAGTGTCGCCGTCGCGGCGCCTGCTTCCTCCTCCGTCTCCGCCGTCTCCACTCCCCCCACCTCCGCCTCTGCCACCCCCGCCTCCGCCCTTGCCACCCCCGCCCGTGCCGCCGCCTCCTCCTCCTCTTCGGCCGCTGCCTCCTCCTCGGCCGCTGCCTCCTCCTCGGCCACCCCTGCCACCTCCGCCCCTGCCCTAGCTGTTGCACAAGCAGTGCGTCCCATGCGCCCCCTCCCCCCGCCCGGCCGTCGTCTCCAGCGCCAGTACGCCGTGATCATCCCTGCGCACTCGGCCGCCCCTGCTGCCCCCGCCCCTGCT